GATGGATCGTAGAGGCTACTGGAAGGGTCGATTTCCACGATGGGAGTCGTGTTGTGCGAAGGTATGGCTTTCTTTTTGTACTTCGAGCAACGTGCGAGTGTAACTTCGTTCAACTTTCCGGCCACACAAAAGCGAAGCACATGCACTCAGCTTGACGAAGTGTGCAGCAAGGTTTACCACTCAAAGTAATTTAATTTTTTTCGATTTTATTCACTTTTTTCGGTAATTTGCTACATTCGCGACTTAGAATGAAAACATTCGTTCTCGTTCTACGGTGCAGGTTAACTGATTTCTTTTACCTACCTAAATAACCTAAAGAAATGTGTTTAAATCATGTCTAAATCATGAGGCAGCATAATATATAAAAATTACTTTCCTGCATGTCAATTGCATAACTGGCGACTTAACCCTTGATTTCATGCTGTATTTGTCTCAAGAGTCGATGAAAAAGTAACTTGAAAACTATTTCAACATGAATGTTTAGCCCACAGTCGCTACGCCCCTGGTCGTATAAACGGCAAAAATCGACAAATAAACTAATGTTCTCAAATGTTTCGAAATTTTTGTGTCCAACGAGTCTTTATTCTTGTTGCAGATACATCCTCATGAAAGCCGGCGACTTTTTAACACCACGGTCGCTGCTGTTAGCTCTTCAGACGAAGTTTTCTGGCGTCGCGTTGATACGCAACATCACAGAGGGGGACGCCCAGGCCTATTACGAACAGCTTCAGGCTGAATATCGGGACGTTCCCCCAGCCCGAAGGATAAACGGGTTCGTCGCGGAAAATCTGGGGTACCAACGATTTCCATCACTCGATGATTATTGGTACCTCGGAAATGGGGTAAGTATTGTTATGTTTGCATATAATTTATATTTAGAGTGTTTAGTGGTAAATAGCAGCACAAAAGTATAGGTCAGTATGAAACCACACAAAAAGTACATGGTTATAACTTGTTAGGATAGCTATCAGTAATTGCAATCGTTTATAGACTATAGTTTTTGATTATATAGAAAAGCTATAGCTGTTTTTGTGTTTCTTAGGGCCTGCTTCTAGCCTTGGGGATGCGCTTCGCAACAGTGTGGCCCCGTATAACATCTGAAGGGGCGAATAGAATGGAAGCCATCCTCCGCCGGTATTTGGGAGCTCGGGAAATCCCAGACAAAAGATTGGCGAAATTACTGCTCGTCAGAATAATGGTTAGTATCCAGCGGTGTAGCTGACGAGTGACGATAAGTATAGTTGTAATATATGAGCATTTTATTATTACCTTTAGATCAACATTAGTGCTGGCGAGCAGCCCGAGCTCCACCAACTGCTACAGGCCCTTGGATATGTTCTGGTAGATGTCCCGGTGCTGATGAGGCTGCAGCAGAGCGTACTAAGAAAGTTGCTGGATGAGGAAAATGATGTAAGTTCCATATGTATGTTGCCATCCTGTATAATGATGCAACGAAGTCGGAATTGATGAACCTCGTCGCTATGAAAGCATGCATGTTTTTGATGGCGACGAGGATTTTTGATTAATTTGAACACGATGAAAACTGAAGACCAGTATTTAAAATCCACTCAAAAAGGTTTCCGTGATGTGTTAAATATTCCCAATTGGGTTTGCGGAAGTTGAGTAATTCTGTCTTCGTTTTTGATAAGTAGAGTTGCTGTATCTAGGTTTTATTATTTCAACAGCTACCATCTATACTCGTTAAGATGGTCTCGCTCGCTAGTTGCTAATCATGTCCCTCACTAATTTGGTTTTCAGCCAGCCGCTGCAGCCTTGATTTGGATAAACCCATCAGTGAGAACCCCAGCGCCGGGAAACGGCGGCAATGAAAGAGCTATATCTTTCAAAAAACGGGTCATCCAGGCGTTGGGCTTGTCGTGGGAGGTCAGTGGATATTGAAAGAGATGAAATGGCACTCGAACATTAATGCCATTAGTATCTTCATATGTATTATTAACTCTCCTAGTTTGTTTTTAGAAGGTTACACGAATACTCTGGCTACATGCGTTATAGTCTAGCTCGATAAAAAAAGTTTGCAGATCGATGACTCGTCATCTTTTGTAAAATACTTGAGTTATATATGAACAATGACACCATGCCGAACTGCTTCTTATCGTAACAAACGATTTTCGAACTCCGCATAATGTTTAACTTTTTCTTTTATACAAATCAGGAGCTGGTTAATGCAGCGAGATGTGAAGCTGCAAATCCAACATCGCGCTCCATCTCGTTCGCGAAGACTCCTTCCGCGACTCTGAGAGATCTGCGAGCCAAGAGGGACTCGAGCCTGCAAACATCTTGCCAGGGCATTAAAATAGCAGAAAGATTGCTGGACCCCGAGTTTGTGGCCTAGCAAAATCCACAAAACAGGCAACTGCAGCTGAAAAATGTTGAACCATCTGATGAAAATGATTTTAACATTTACCCGATCACAAATTTACAGCAAGAAATATTCGCAGAATAAGCTGTAAATGTCATGGTTTTAAATTTACACCGTAATTTTACACCATTTATTATTATTATTATTATTATTCGTAATTTTACACCATTTATTTCACCCCTTTAGATTCACTTAATTTTACTCCATTGACGTCACCCTATTAGTTTATTTTACACGACTGACATTACACCATTATTGAGTTACTTTTCTCTTTACAGGTTAAGTTCTACAGACGGCATAAGTGGAGCTGTGATGGACCTTGTCAACATCGTCCACCGTACTACGGTATGGTGCGACGAGCAACAGACAGGGCTCCATCACAGCATGACCATTGGTGGACCTAAGTATTATCCATGCATACAGTCATTTGTCCGTTCGAATGTTTTTCAGGCTATATAAGGTGACTAAATTCGATCCAAAAGTCATACTTGATCCAGGAAGAATCACAGGAGATGCCAAGGAAAAGTTTAAGGAATCTTGCTGAGGTATATGAAAGAATATCTGTCAACTTGATTTTTGCCTTTGGCTTTGCAGATGAATTAATTGCCGTGTTTTTGAATAGCCAGAAGACAGCGAGTGAAGACATTCTTGCTGATTTTCACTGCTATATCTTGTATATTTCGATTGAAAATTTTCTCTTTACAGGTTAAGTTCTACAGACGGCATAAGTGGAGCTGTGATGGACCCTGTCAACATCGTCCACCGTACTACGGTATGGTGCGAGGAGCAACAAACAGGGCGCCGTCAAAACAATGACGGTGTGATGGTTCCTTTCGAAAAATTAAGGAACCGGAAGGTTAAAAAGAAAGAAAACAACAGAGCGTAAAGATAAAGGATATTTTTCCTTTTAGACAAGAAAGGTCATGCCTAAATTGATTTACATTCACGTTGTCGTCAGCAAGTGTGTTTATAAGGGAATTTAGCTTTTTCTCAAAATTCGTTTGCATAATAAGCAAATCCAATTTAACCTCTTCGAGATCGGCGGCCAAACCTTTACAACTGCAATCAGAATTATTAGGTGATGCAGTCTGTTCCGTCTGAGAGGAATTATTGACCAACACGGGGGACAGTCGGCTGTGTGTGCTATTTTGTAAATTTTGGTTACTTTTTACCAGGCTAGCGCCAACCGAAATTGAACTATTAGGACTGCCGGACATGACCGACATAGTTGACTGAGAGTGTTTGGTATAATCATTATACTCAAACGATTGTGATTTCAGTTTAGGGGATAGTTCGCTTGTTCGCAGATAAATACACACTTATCCCGCACTCGGTCACCGTCACTGCCTTAAAAAATCAGCGTATTTTGTTTACATCTGTACCAAGTAAACTGCAGGTCGACATTCGTACTAGAAAATTTCTTTGTCAGTTGACCCCCTTGTGACGACCATTTTCCTTCGATCAGCTTTTTCCACACAGCAGTCTTCGGAAATTGAGCAATTAGCTGTTTCCAAACAGCAGTCTACCGTACCCACACGTTTTATGTTTTTAATAACAAGATTTATGTATCAAGAGGAAGACAAGAAAAAGAAGAGACGCGATCTCGACTTTAAATTAACTCTGGAGTTCAAGAAATAATTCCTTGTGCCATGGAGGGATATGGGATATTATCTCAAAGAATGGATGCCAAATGGACCTTGAAAGCAAGGTGAATTAACTTCAAATTTGGGACATCAAACAAACCTAATTAAAGTGCGGGCCTTTCATTTTCCTGCTTAAAATCTCACTTATACTCTACTTTTTATGTCGTTTTACAAATATGAAGTTCACTCGTTCAAAATATGGCATGATCATCTAAATCACTTCATCACGAGGTTTCAGATGGGAAACAAAAATAAAGAAAGAAAGATCAAGAAAGAAACAAAAATAGCAGCTGATGCTTCGTTAAATGGCCTTAGTTCTACAAAAAAGAGCCGTGTAACTGGAAACCCGTATCATTCATTTCAAGATCGAGTTTAAGGCAAATAAAATGAAGGGAAAAGTAGTGATTATAATTGATGAAGACAGCGATGAGAAATCGAATGTGTACAACGTAAGAAAAGACGGTGTAATTGAGATATATAATGTTGAAGAGAACAACGTATGCACGGGAAATTATTCATTATATAAACACAAATTTCAGTATCCTGGGTGTTACTTTGTAAAATTTTGGACTGGATGTGATTTGGAATAAATGTTAGTGGTGACAACCTTTCTAACATTCAAATTTTGACGATGTAATTATGTAATATAGTTATATATAGCTGACTACGATCTACGAATACCATGGCCAAAGGTTTGGAGATGATTTTGGTATATAGTAGCTAAAATCAAACTTGCTGTGTATGAAAACTATAGGGTTGACGTGTATCATCTCGTTCAACATGATCCTGGATGAACATCGTTCATTTTTTATGTTCAACTACTTCAAACATCACTCGTACTTTTTATGCCATTTTGTTGAATTTCGACTCAATAAGTATTCACAATATAACGATAAAGTTAGGTCCTTTCATAAGTGTCTGGACGTAAGTCTTACGGGCGATTTAAAAATCGCTTTAAAAATCAAAGTTCAGAAATCAAAGCCTGTTAACCAGACACAAGTTTATCCATTCTGATAAACGACCATTCAAATGCAGTACTTGTGAGAAAGCATTCCGTAGATCTGGGGATCTTGTAAAACATGTCCGTACTCACAATGGTGAAAAACCTTTTAAATGCAGGTTATTAATAAGGTTATATTTTTCAGCAGACGATGTCCGCCATGTTTTTTGCTTCAAAAAGAAATTCGAAAAGCTGAAACTCGAGAAACACTCCCTCCAGGAATTATAGTATAGCTCAGTGATCGCAGAAAGCTCCTAAAAGTTCGGAGTCAGCTCATGAAGGAACGTAGCTAACCTGCTGCTGAAAGATCGCAATTTGTTGCTGAAAAATCGTACAGTGTGTACGCACACTTCTTCTGAAAGATCGTACTCTTCAAAGATCGTACTCTTCGCTAAAAATCATTTGTCTCGAAAGAAAGATCGTACTCTTTGCTAAAAATCATTTGTCTCGAAAGAAAGATCGTACTCTTTGCTAAAAATCATTTGTCTCGAAAGAAAGATCGTACTCTTTGCTAAAAATCATTTGTCTCGAAAGAAAGATCGTACTCTTTGCTAAAAATCATTTGTCTCGAAAGAAAGATCGTACTCTTTGCTAAAAATAATTTGTCTCGAAAGAAAGATCGTACTCTTTGCTAAAAATAATTTGTCTCGGAAAAGAGATCGTACTCTTCGCTAAAAATCATTTGTCTCGGAAGAAAGATCGTACTCTTTGCTAAAAATCATTTGTCTCGAAGAATGATGGTACTAATGAGGATAAAAAAAGTAATGAAAAAGAAAGAAGAAATAAAGAGTCGCCAATCACTCAACATTATCAGGAAATGAACGTCTTGCCATTTCTCTACCCACTCCTTAGCTCTCTTTCTGCAGCCATTAATTAACTCTTTCTGAAGGTGGCAGGTATTTCATGAATAAAGACTCTAGAATGTCTCTTCCACGGTAGCAGTGGACGACAAAGGCTTTTAAAATGATGTTGGAAAATATAAAACCAATTTCATATCTTTGCAACTTTGCGAGGCCGGATTCTGGCAAATGCTTTCCACTCATCAATAAAGTGAACATGTCTCTTGCCCCCATTGTCATTGCATTCGCAAAGTATGCGTCTCCAAAATAAACTTTCCCCGGTCATTCAGTAAAAGTCGAATATCCAGGCACAAGTCCTCTTTGAAATTTCTGATCATGCACTTTTGTTGAATATTGAATCAACATACCTTTAACACGTTGAGGTGTTGAGACTGTGTCCAATGAATTTCCAGACGACACACCAGGTCCAAATTCAACAGATTCAGCTGCAATATATTTTGCATTGCCCCAATAAGATATGCCACTATTTGAGCTCGTATTTGGTCCAAATCAACAGCGCTGTCAGACTCCACAGCCTTTCCTTCTGGTTCACTTTGGAAGTTCATTAATTTTCTGGTTCGAGAGCAAAGATTTCTGTATGCAGTCGTAGAGTTCTGATTACTCATAATATAGCCATATTGAACTAAAATAGATGGATGAATAGATAGATTACTTTTAATATTACTTCTCAAATGTCAATCAATGGCGAAATATGAAGATGCTTTACATAGTCATAGATAAGCTGGTACTAGAATACTATCACCAGGGCCGTCGCTAAGCAGCTCGGGGGGTGCGAGTATCGAATTTGCCAACAAAATGGGCTTGATCAATGGGTGTGGTTTTTCTAAATTGATTACATTATTACACTTAATTAAATATTTGAAATTCGACATCTTTACTTCATGTATATTGATGAAAACGCCGGGATTCAATAATAAATCTAAACTGCTTACAATGCCAAAAAAATAAACAGTAAAAAAGGTCCTGCAAGGTTTAAAATCGTTTATTTGCCGACAAACTAGTTTTCAGGGGGGGTTCATGGTTGGTTGGTTAAGTCCCCTGCTGGTCGTTTTATGTGGTTTAATTAGTAAAGTTTAACTCAAGCTTAGTCAAAGCCAAAGGTTGCTTTCAGGATAACCGCAATCAAGAAACACTTATTAATCTGGCATTTTGGTCACACCACTTGAGAAAATCACTAGAAGTTTGGTATGCAGATCATAATCTTTTGTGGGTATAAACTGGGGCATCCAGTCGGTACAAGTTAAATTTTCAACATGTAAAAAAACTGTATATTTAAAGGTCCTTTATGAACTTCGAAGGTTTGTGAACTTTTTATAAACTTTTTAAAATTGTTAAAGATGATGTAAAGTCCGTTCTGAGCATATATTCTGCGCATAACAATGTTTGTTTACGTTGGTTATAAAATCTTTACATGACGTATGCGTCGTTATAATTTTATTATTTTCTTCTCGCTCAACGGGCTGTGATCTGTGATGAATATGCTTATTTTTCATTATATTTTGAAGAAAATATTGTTATATTTTGAAGAAAATATAAAGCGAAGCTTGTAAATAAACCGGCCGTTATTTAAAACGTTTTTTATTTGTAATTGTAGGACAAGCGAGAAGGTGGCGTCTGTAGCGACAACAAATAGCCTCGCCATTTCGGGCCTTATTCAACAAATAAATTCTTGGAGCATTCCTTTCAGCATAATATTGCTTTTTTCTAGCAGCTTTATGATAAGATAAGTTATCGTCGTGACTCGCAATTCGAGCCTCTTTGCCTTGCGACATAAAATAAAATAATTTTGCTCCCGAACTGCCGTTTGTAATACAACGCGCTAATATCGCATATCATTAACATTCCAAAAGTTGCTCCCCCACTGATGGAATGTGTTGATGCGCGGAATATATGCGCAGAACGGACTTTACCTCATCTTTAAAAAGAGTTGTTTCTCATTTTTATTTGGTGGTCAATCTCGATAATCTCCGACAATTTCCGAAGATATTTCGACATATTCCGACGTTTTCCAATCTTAAAATTTAGATAGATGAGCTTTTTGTAATTTTTGTGAACTTTTGACGTAACCAAGCATATTTTTTTGGAAATTTCATCTGCCAACCACTGAGCTATATAATAATTCCAGAAATTATATAGCTCAGTGCTGGCAACACTGTGTCGTCATGTTGCTATGGTTACCCGTAACATGGCGGCTGTATCGCGAGTTGATTTACACAACTGAAGTTGCACATAAAATGGAATTTTAAAATATTTTCTTTTCTATTACTGTGTATAAATACGAGATGGCTGCAATAAGAGTTCAGAACTACTTAAAAAAGCATAAAATTGGGCCGTTATTCGAGGTAAAAAGATTCTTTTAAAACGAAAATGGATCATGTGTATTTTGCTAGCGTTCGTTTTCTTTATATACTATGCGTTCAGTTTAATAAAACTTGCGTTCCTCAAAGCCTGTGTTTTCCGTTAATATCTCAGAAGTTAAAGATTTATGAAACCTGTTTTATACGTAAGACGAGGCAGTGTTATTTATAGTAAAATTAACTTTGGTGTTGACATTTCATTTCGACGTAGATGCTGGGAAATTGACAGAAATCCTCTCTCAAAAATACATGTTTGATATTTTACAATTACTGTATTCATAGCAGTGCTGCCAGCCTTCAAGAATGTCTCTAATACTATACATCTATAAAGATCACTTTATTTTTCAGTGAAAGTATTAAGTAAATTATTTCAAAAATGTAGAACTTTGAAAGCCTTTTATAGTCAAGTTTTTCTGTGCGGAAATAATCATGGTTGAATTGTGTTTAGTCATTAATGGCAAGTGTCATTCAGGACACACCAGATGATCCAATTGGATATATAATTGAAATTCTACAAGTAATGCATAAGAAACAGTCCAAGCAACTTGAAAGTAGTTTTGTAAGTTAATTTTTGATTTCATACAAATTTGCTACATCAGTGATTGCGGGCATTTTTCATTGGTTCAAAGTATAAAATTTTACTAATTTGTCACATATAGAATAATCACATGTCACCCAGATCATCTTTAAGGCAGACAAATCATCCACAAAGTGGGGGTCAGTATATACAGTTGTATAAATTTTGGTGTGAATAGCATTTGCTTATTTTGATAATTTAAAACTGTTTCAATAAAGCTTTTAGTTGTTATATTCTAAGTTACAGACAGAACAACAAATTTGGCTACTTATTGGTTGCCTATATGAACACAAGGCAATTAAAATACAAGGTTTAAGAAGCGACTATACAAGATAATGAAGATATAACAAACCTCATATTGATTGTACTCCATGGACACACATCTTTCCAATTTAAAGTAAAAATTCATCCATCCATTTTTTTTTAACTGGATCCATATTAGGTAATAAGAGAAGGTCAGATCATAATTTGGCTGCATCCTGGTCTGCTGGTGTGGATCGACCGGAATCTAAAAAACAGGAAAATCAATTGAGAACTTGGACTGGAAATTATTTTAAAACTATTAAGAATGAAACATGGTCAGGTGATAGACAAGGTTAGACTAGTTCAAGGTAGATGTCTCATCTAGGATTATCAAATTTAGAAAACAAAGTTTTGTAGCATCTGTGCACTTTTCTTAAACCATTCTTTGTGATGTTCAATGATTTCACTCAACAGTTACACAAGAGGCTATGGCAACAAACAGTTAACATAAAGACCATATCTGCCTGTGTCCTTTTTGCTAATGCTTTCAGCTTTTGTATATATTGACCTGATTTAGCTTTCTATCTCGATGATTTTGCTTGTCAGTTGCACGAGTGTATTTAGTTAACCCTAGTTCAAACTTTAACAACAGATATAGTCTCACCATTGTTAGCATTCTTTCCTGGACACATTTTCTTTAAATAAATTTCTCATCCATGAGGGTTTTGCAATCAAATGTTCACAGCCCTAGTTCAAAGTTATAGTAGTTCAAAGTTATAGTGGTTCATCCAGCCAAATTGTATTTTTCTTGTCGACATTTTTCTTGTACTGCATCAACCTGAATTAAAGAGCAGAGAATACTAATAAATAAAACGGATTTTATATAGTAAACACAGGCTAGAAATTTAAAGCAAATCTTACCTTCTCTGCAGAGTCTAAACCTTCGTGGAACAATGACACTCGCGTTCCAACTAAGGACTTTGATGAGCTGTTTCAAATGCAGAACGAAGGTGCAGCTCAGATCAAATCCTCGCCAAATCAAGATATATATCGTGGGGGTAATATATCATTTGAACACCGCCGTCTTTAGTTCGTAGCGCGTGAAATTTCATCATTACTTCTATAATTTGAACGGCCCAGTGCCCGGTGGTACGTCGTTGTAAAGTATCTTTCTCCTGAAATGTTTAGTTCGAAGCTGGGACGACGGCGAGAGCAGACGTTCTGAACAAAAGATTTCATATGAAGCAGATGACAATGATGAACTAAGCAGAGAACTTCGTTTGAAATCGAAGCAATCAGATAAAAATATCCACCAACCTGTATCAATGACATCTGGGTACGGGTCTTATTCACTCACAAAATTCGGATAATGTTATCCCATGCACTAAATCAGAATTACGCCTCGTGCAGACGAACGAGATTTTCTTCTGAAGTTTTCTTGATGATGTTTCTTCTGCACGTGTGAGCGTTAAACAAGGGCTGGGTCAAACCTCGCTTTTATTATATACCTGGACATAATGAGGCATAAAAACAATAGATAATGAGGATTTCAGCTCATTACCTTTTGTTTTTAATGCATGTGACGCATGACAATTGTGACGTTCAGAATAAAATGCTTTGACATCGCTGACTGTCGGTGATTAACGAGAAGTAATTACATTATAATATCATTGTTGTCTTCAAAACTAACATTCTTCTATCATTCCTCCAGGGGTCGATCTATAAAAACAAGCAGACAAGCAGTTGAGAAGCACCGCAAAGAATTGCAGGTTGAGACTGCCTCGCTAAATAATTTAGAAGTCGTCTTTTAAGGCTCGAGACTTTCACAGAAGTGAACCTCTTGTTTCGTACATAGTTTAAATCAGAAATATTTACGTTTAGGCGCTGCTGTTGGAAGATGGTCCGGGGAAAAAGAGAAGAAGTACAAAAAATTCCTCTCCAGAGGAACGTGGAACAGAAATAATGGAAAGAATGGAAGATTTACAGAACGAAGGAGTAAATGAAACGCCATCTCTCAAAGGAGCTAAACTCGATAAAGTAAATTTAAACTGGTCCATGAAGCAAAACTATCTTTATTTATAATTTTTCTTTTTATAGTCTTTTTTAACATGAAATATCTTACTTTCTTCTTAGTTAAAACGGATGGGAAATAAAGAAGTTTCCGTCACAATTTGTGCAAGATGTGCCAGGTATTCTTACATCCTGAAATAAAAAGTATTTTCACGTTCAAAATCTTCAAGAACAATGTATATTTTAATACTTTTCTTTTAGAATAATTGGTGATAACGATAACAGTTTGTCTGAAGGTATAACTAATAAATATCTAATTTATCACATGAGATTTTGTTACTGAGATACAGTTTCCTTTTCATTGAAGCCGAGAGAGGTGATTTTAATTCAAGGCTGTTCGACGATCTCAACAAAAAACAAGGTGGATTATAAAATGATATGATATTATCAGAATTAGGAGCGGAATTTAAACTAAAAAGGGCTTGTCTTTATTTTAGACCTCAATGATCTTGACAGTGCTTCTGAAACAAGTGGAAATATGGTGAGTATTTAGATGATGATAGCTCTGGTGTTTTCTTGTGATAACCATATCCTAGAGCTTGCCTAATTTGATTGTTTTAGGGATTGAGGGAAAGAAATACGTGGCCTTTGTCAGACAGTGAACGTATGTGACCATAATTTACTGCAGCTAAATATGTGTCTCGGATGTGACCAATGATGCATCTTTTTTAAATATAGAAGAACTGACACCGAGAAATACCGTGTCTTTCAACAAGACGTTTGATAGATCTTTCCCAAATGGATCTGAAAATGGGTTCAACAACTCTAGGTACCTTTGTTTGTTCGTGGTGTTTCAGTCTTTTAATGATGACTTACCAATTAATATATTTCATTGTTTATTCCTATGATTGACGAATCTGCAGTGACATCTTCGATGATGATATTCCAGTTGAAACGCAGCGATCATCGCGGTCAAAGACGTCGTCACGAAGTCGCAACAGTCATTTCGACTTCACAAAAGCAGCTGGAAATAGCGGCTGGGGCTTAGGTGGTGACGAATCTGACAACGAGGTAAGGATGCAAAGTACTATTCATATATGCCAAGTTTTCATATATTAAGTTTAATGTTAATATGTATATATATATTTCAGAGTAACTATTCTGATACTATGCAGCCACGATCTAAGTCACAGGTCTCTGGCAGTATTAAAGGCCGTGCGTGGAACAGAAACTCTGGGAACATCAGTGATGACGACAGCACGATGACGTGATCTGGGCGCTTTTTGGAATATTGTTTTGATGTTTTCATCAATAATAATCATTATGACGTAGAGTAAATTATTAGAGTAAATTAATGTTAGATTATATATTGAACGAGGTATGACTCGTTACACTTAATGTTTAAATTATTAGAGGAAATAAAATTAATAGATTTCACCTGATTTTCCCCGGTAGAAAACGTTGTGCTTGTACACTCCACGCATTTTCATTCAACTTAATTTTACTGGTTAAAACAGCGCCACACGACTCAAAAGAAATTAAATTAATAAAAGCATTCAAAGCAATTCAAATTCACAAACTCTTCTTCAAGGTAATAATTATAATTTCATTAAATAAATTCATTTTCTTAAACCTTCTCCATTGGTTATCTATAGCGCAACAATTCAGGACGTCACCTTCGGAATATTTCCTGCAAACCAGATCATTAATGGATTATATAGAGTATTTGTATTACATATTATGACGCAGTATTGTAACACGGTTACGTGTTTTCAAATTTACCATAAACTTGATTTATAATTGGATTTATCACTAACAATTTTAAGAGCAAAAATACATATACTGTATTCTTTTAACACTATTTATAATTTTCACTTATTTATTTTACTCAAAGCACCAAATCTCCACACCACTGCATAGAAAGTCTTCTTTAGTGCTCAAAGGTTCATTGTTGTAAGTCTTACAACGATGGCTACTCCCATGATACAAATCCTCATCCACAGACCAAAATTGCCTCTGCCGAAAAATTATATGCTTTAGATCGATGTTACGAGGTTGAATCGTATATAAAAATATTAGAATAGCTTTATTGGTTTCTAAATCACATGCTGGGGATGATAGACAGAAAGAAATCTTAAATGTTAAGATTAGTTGGATCATTTCTTCAAAATTAAGAGGATCTTATCTTAGTTGTTAGTCTACCTTAGTTGGTAAAACAAAGCCTGAGATGTAAACTTACTGGCCACCGCCAAAAGCCAAGGCGTCCATGTCTCCTTTGATGAAAAAATTATTCTCGCCACTCCAACGAAAGACCTGCAGAATAGAAAGGATTATTAAAGATTCGTTACTAAACAAACGGAACACAAGTCTTGTGTAGGATAAACTTGTTGTTCTTACCTTGAAATGCGGATGAAATGTGTAGAGAAAGCATTCTCCTGTGCCATAGAAATGTTCACTCACAGCAAAGGGACTGGAAGCGAACGCTCCAAAGACCTAAAAAGATCATCCATTTTGAAATATGTACAAGTAAACAGACTTCACCTATACTGGATAGCTCTATCAGTTCTAAACTGTTCTTCCTAGAGGTCCAGTAAGAATCACCTCTTATTGATCCAGTGTTACTACAGAAGGAAACCTAAACTAAACTAACTTTATTTATACAGGATAGCTCTATCAGTTCTAATTGATCTCACCTGGTGTGAGTCATCCAAGATGACCAACAAGGCTGGTGTGTCGTATTCTGCTAATGTTCGATATAATGTCTTCAGACTGATACCATGAAGATATGTGCTGTAGATGAGGCGCCAGCTGTGTCCAATCGTACGAGACGGAAGACACTGAGAAAGCTGAAACAGAGAGATTAATAAAATCAGATACTGTACGTTTCACTTCTCTACATGAGTGATCAAGTGTTGCTACAGGAAAAAATTTGTGAAAACCAGCGGGAAGCTGTAGAAATCCCCAACGGAAGTGCGTACCTGTAAGATATGCGAGTCTGTGAGTATTTCAGATTTACCAATAACTTCAGGCATTATCGGTTCATCTATCGAACACATACTCCAGGAACTAAAAATATTGGAGAATCGTCAGCACAACTCTTTCTCGTTCCAGGCAACTCACTGGATATATATCACTAGATATCACTGGATATATATCACTAGATATCACTGGATATATATCACTAGATATCAGAATTTTTACAAACCTTGTTCTTCTCTCTGGTTCTTTTGTTTCTGATTTCTTTTTCTTCTTTTTCTCCCGACTGTGAGTTCTCTTCCTAGTCTTTCGCTGATTCATCTGTTTCTAAATCAGGTTCAAAACTCCGTGGTCAACCAGAATGCCTTCACAAGTTTCCTGTTAATTTCTTTAAATATCGCCTGGCAAGAACGTCTTCAATGATATTAATTTTAAACGACGTACCTCTTTTTCTGGGCTGCCGGAGAAGAAATTATCCACAAGTTCAAATCCCTGGAAGAAAAATAATTGACACGTTGTAAAAACTGTACGACACATAGACGTGAAAATCACGTCAAACTAAATGCAAATCTCTAACAGAAAGCAAGTCTCTCATACATCTTCTTCATCTTTGGGTATTGTAATAACACTGTAGTCGCTGTCCAATGAACCAACAAGATCTCCGTCGTCTGATCTGTCGTCATCGTCCGTATCACCGTCGTGAATTGCCGGACACCACTCGAGAAAGAAACCATAGACTTCCAGCAACCTGGTGGTAAGTATTAAAACAATAATTAAAACCAGCATATTTCAGTATATTAGATCTTGCTAAGGTATATATTCGACCATGATACGAGAACGCCAGATCACTGGATTATGACAGTATGACTAACCTTTCACAAGGAATGGAAAACCAGAATTCTCTTCTTTCGTCGGTCGCTCGTTGAATTGCCTCATGTGCAAAACGACAGCACACAGGACGGTGTTCCCGCCAACACGATCTCTTTATTCTTACGCACAAATATTTAGGCATGTCCGCGTAATGTTCTGATCTTCTTGGAAAGACGCTGTCCTCTAACGATTCTATAAAACATACAAAAATAAAACTTGAGCAAACAAAAATACACAAATAAGAAAATAAGGACAAAACGTCAGGATGAAAAACAAATTTACCAGAGTTGTGCGGATCTATCCACTTATGACCATCACTATCCACTTCATCAACATCATCTTTACTTTCATGTATTCCACTATCTCTAGATATCCCCTCTCCATATCCTTCCTTATCTGTTTCCAACCCTTGTTCAACCTCAGCATCCTTATACGGTCTTAATTTAGGAGTACTGTACATTTGCAGTGCTGGATCAGTTTCGTTTTTAAAATCAAGATCTTCCTTTGCAAGACCTGGGTTCTGGCTAGATGATAGTATGACGTCATCTGAGCATATTGCGTCAGATGACGTAACGTCTGTTTCAACAGAATTGTCAGTTGTTTGCTGGGAGCTCATTTCAACTGAACTCAATGTAGCTCGTTCATAGCCAATTTTTGAACATGACTTTGCAGTCATTTCATTTGAAGTCCTATCTTCTGATATTTCAAGGTCTTTTTCATGTTTACTTGAAACATTTTTCAAACAATTTTCTCCCTCTTCTAAACGTCGTAATCTATCTTCGTTTCCTAAGTCAATATCTTCAGTTTTGCCTTCATTCTCTGAGGAATCATTATTACTCTCCATTACTAAATTGTCTTCTTCTTGAAATGTTTCTTTCACAGGACAAGTTTCGTCCGTCGTTCCTCCATGACTCTCCTCCGTGAGTAAAACACTCTCTGTCGTCTCACTTAAGGATTCCATTGATTGTTCCTGGGACGTTGATGGATCTGTTGGGGTAATTGATTGATGTGGGGACGTTGAGGGATGCAACGTACTACAGCTATCCTCTTCCTTGATGTCCTCCAAAGGTTTTAACTTTGGATCCCCAAGCCACTGCATGAGAGGTTTGTCCAGGAAGAAACTGAAAGAAAATAATTTTACACGTTGTAATGCAAACTTATATTCTTTATTACGAAGTAAATTATAAAGCTTAGACTAGTTCCATAAAAGATAAGCAATTATTCAGGTAAATGGATCAACTTAAAAGGATATCTATACTTCAGTTAGTTCAGCAAGATTTTGACTCAGCAGTTAACGTGCGGAGTTTTGGCCACAAAACTGGTTACGGTCTTTAGAACAGGATATAATATGAACGTAATCACAAAAAATGCGACTGTCTGATCATATTTTCACTTCAATCGAGAAAGAAGTGTTTCCAGTTTGACGTTAAAACTACAGCTGAAGAGAACGAGTTTACTCCGGGTTTTAACTTGATAGGATTAACTTGTACTTACTGTCCTGGTTGTAAGGGATCATGAACGACCATTGACGCAATATCATCAAACATTCCAGCTGAACAAACACTTTGCATCGTGAAGTTTACTTTGTAATATTCGCTTCCTCGATCAACCACTAAAATCTCGCTAACATCTGGATGGAAGATGACTGCGTGTGGCGTGATTAATAAAAATCCTTTTACCACACCCTAGACACGATCAAAAATATACAATATTTTTTTCTTCAGAAACGCTCACTCAATATGATAATAAATTATTGTTATCTCACCTGTCCATCTGTGATGTATTTGGACTTAATCTTTATAAATGTTTCCAAGACATCTTCACCAATATCTTCAAAAGAAACTCTCTTAGCGAAGGGAATGTTCTCCAGCTCTAAACCACGATCCATTGCCATTGACTAAATAAAAGCAAAAAAATGAAAATCAGATCTCATCAAGGCATAAAACTTGACCTACATCAAACCTGAGTGGCTAAGTCACAGAGATGAAGTGTGTGATGTATTAATCACTGTGTTTGGTAGATTTAAACAAGAAGCTAGAACTCTTCTCACAAGGTGAAATTATAATCACACAACTGCATATTACAGAAATCAAAGCTCAGTCACAGAGATGAAAGACACATGTACTAACCACTGTGTTTGGTAGAGTCAAACTAGAAGCACTCTTCTCACATGTGACTGAGGTGAAATTATAATCACACAACTGCATATTACAGGAATCAAACCTCAGTCACAGAGATGAAAGACACATGTACTAACCACTGTGTTTGGTAGAGTCAAACTAGAAGAACTCTTCTCACATGTGACTGAGGTGAAATTATAATCACACAACTGCATATTACAGGAATCAAACCTCAGTCACAGAGATGAAAGACACATGTACTAACTGTGTCTCACTGTGTTTGGTGATGCTTAGTTATAGTAATGTTTGGTCGTGTTTATATCTCATCTTGAAATGCAATGTACATTACCTTAGGAGCATCTGCAGTGTCTGTATTTCCTTGAACAGTTTGAGAACACTCTGAGCAAGGTTCAGCAGGCTTAGTACAGGGCACTCTTAGCACCTAAAGAAAGAAAACAACATACGATTAATTAATATGGCTTTACAGTCAGTTTCAACATGGTTTTCAGATTCTCTTCCTATTACTAGGCAGAAACATGCAGTTTTAACAACCTTGAAGTTCACACATTTGACTTTACCTTGTGCAATAAATCATGCTTTGTTTAAAAAGATTGCAACACAAGGAAATACAACACAAGACAACAACTTAACAGCAATGTTTATATTACATTATGCAGTATCACTGAATTCTTAAAATTTGCATATGTAGATCTTAAATAAGATGTACAATAAAACTAGAATTGCACACTTCATGATTAGAAAATGCATAGTTTAAATAATATCCATACAGACAAATAAAAGCATTGGAAAAAATTTTAAAAAATGTTTACATTGAAGCATTTATCCAGAGTCAAACAGGAATAGAGAAAATCCAATCCATGCTTTTTTTCCACTGATTTTTCCCCAGACATCTCTCTCAGAGGAAATTATATTTCATCTTATCACAATGCTCTTGACTAGTATTAGCATTTTCCTTCGTTATTTTGAAAAATATTAGCATATGTATTCAGTATTTATAGAGAACTGAAAAGATACTTCGTAAATGTATTGCATTTGTTATGATATATGGCCTTGTTAAGCAGACTGTTAAGGATATTAATTATTTATATCAAAATACAGGTGCCACTTTCAAAAACAGGTACTTAGGTTGACTTAACTACACTAGACAGAATGAAAGGATAGAATTAATTTTCTGAAGGCTTTGCACAATATTTTTTGTTGTTTTAAAAGAGGTTCAGGCACAGAATATGGCCACAAAATGATAAATATATTGCAGCAAACATAATAATGCTCTTTCAACAAAATTTCAAGCCACATGGTACAATAATATTCACATTATTTTCAATGCATATTATTGGCTCAACCCTCATAGAAGCCAGTCAACAAAGCTCTCAAATCATTACCTGTCCTGGGTATAGTGTCCTTATTGCCAATTTATTTAATCTGCTCAGCTCAGAGGGAGTTACATCAAACTTCAAAGCAATTTTTGGGAGTGTGTCAAACGCTGTCACCTAAACATGAATTGTGAATGAAATTAACAATCTTAATTGTGACACAATGAAAAGAGGAGAGGGGACATGTGGAAGCATTCTTTTTACATGGGACAGCTTATTTGTTGCAGCTTAATTAAGACTAACTAACTACAATGCAGATAGGGGACAAAGGAAGAGTTGCACGCAGAAATATTTAACTAAATTACAGAGAGACATATTCCAAAAAACATGAAGTATACCAACAGCATAATCAAATGTGTTATAACAACTGACTACAATTGACAAAAACTCTCAATGTTTCGATACAAAGCCTTTATCAGAGGAGTAATTATAGCAAGACTGACATTTCTTATGTATGGATGTCAAAAGAGTTTTCAGAAATTTAGACAGTTGTTATTCCATATTTCATAGCAAGGTATATTGCAAAGACATTATACTCACTGTGTACTCCATTGTGTCCTCCATTGCTCCAAGACGTCCCTGGATGTACTCGCTCTTTTGTTCCTGGATTAAGTCTGAGTCAACTGAAATTAAAAAAACATTGATCAATTGAGATTTACACCTCTGCAGCTACACCCCCTGGGGAAGGATTGTTCACTAATATGTTTATAAAACAATGCTCAACAAGTACAGTAGTAACAAGGAATAAACTGACATAAAAGTCGTTTTAATAAACAATCTTTGTCATGCATAAATTGTGCTCAAGAAAATTATCTAGACAAGTTACTTCCTATGGAGATGAAATCTATGAAAGAGAGGTCATTTATACTTATACATCAAACAATCAAAATTAAACTATTTCTTAAGTAAAGCTTTGTAATATTATATCCAAATAAAACTACCAAAATGATTGTCTACTTAATAATATTAATGCACCTTTACCAGTCAGGAAAAAAACACTTGGCAAGAAAGGAATAATAAAATGTTAAATGATTATTTTAACTTCTGAGAAATGTTCTCCCTTTCCTTTTCACAACTATACACTCAGTTGTCTTGTTTTGAACAGTACAAAAACTTATTTTAGATGACAATTTTCCAACGTCCTTACATTAACAATAGCCCGAAGGTTCTTGCAATATCAATTAAAGTAATAAACCTTGAACATTTGTCATAATCTTGAACGTAATCGACACAAACTGAAGCTGAATTATTTCCTTAAACTCGTACAATATAAATTCACATTTCTACCATAATACCTTTTGTCTCAATAAGCTTCTTCTCAGGTGGTGGAGAAATTTGACCACCGTATGTACCATTTGTCCACAATCGTCCAAAGAAATATGATATACCCTCCCAAGATAAATATCCAGCTGTCTGTGGGTTCGAGGCAAGATTTAAAGCGCTTTTCCTGGCAATCAGATGTTGCTCTTTGCTGAAAACGTCTCTTTAATGTAAAGAGTAAATTATTGAAGAGAGCATCCATGCTTTTAGTTACTTATAATTGAACAAAATTAAATTACATTAAACCTGTACTAAACGTGGCAGTTGGTAAACACTCGACTTTTTCCGGCGTAGTCATAATTTAACTGTATTTGCCTGAACATTTCTGCAAAGCTTGTAAGTTCTGCACTTTTTTCTTATTAATGCCTTGAGTTTTCAAACATTAAATCGAGCCAAAGAGTTTTAAGACGAATGATTGCATGCATAATATTTACAATACAATTGAACACAGTGCAAATCAATTGATGATCGCTTCTTCAAATCAGCAATACAATTGAAAGAGGTAGGCTCAGTACATATCCCTACAACTAAGCAGCAATATAGTGCTGTTCTTTGAAATACACACGAAAACCTGTCCACATGGTTGGTATTGTTGCGGTAGTTCGAGGTGAATTTATGCTCGAAAACGCATAATAACCTACCGTTTATTTGGACGTGCGTTTAAATAACCATACATTAGATAAGTTTTCTTATCAAAAAATTCATTTCTTTCTCAATAGGAAACGTTTTCTCTCAAAAACAGACTTTACAAGCATTTCATTTGGACAAGAAAGCAACAATACTTTCCTCTTGTGACGTCACTAGTAAACAGGAAGTGAAGAAGTCTCGCACCCAGACTGTTGTAACATTGCGCCTCCTTCCACATCATCTATACCATCTATACCACCTTCACTGGATCACCACACTTGAGATATCTTTCTCAGGTAGTTCAGACACAAACCAAGACAGCTTATTGACGAATACCACCTTCACTGGATCACCGCGTTTGAGATATCTCTTTCAGGTAGTTCAGGCACGAACCACATCAACTTATTGTAGAATACTACCTACACTGAACCACCACGTTTGAGATATCTTTCTCAGGTAGTTCAGGCACGAACCACGACAGCTTATTGTAGAATACTACCTACACTAGACCACCACGTTTGAGATATCATTTTCAGGTAGTTCAGACACAAATTACGACAGTTTGAATACACTATGAGTCTATGGTCAGTCAGAGAAAATAACCAGATAAATACCACAAAACAAGTAAAATTCAGTTTCACATTTATATTATAACAAGCTTTCATGTTTCGTTAAAAACTGGTGCAAAAAACCGATAAAATTTGCATTGTGAGTAATTGTATTTTGAAAGCAACTAGAGATAGCAAAGGAGAGTCAGTTTGACGAATTGGTAGGACTGTTTTACAAACTAGATTCCTCTGTTTTCCAAATCCTTCACTTTGTAAATACGGACTAACCAATGCTCCGTTGTGTACGCTTCTTCCAGCACCTCAAGTTCAAATTCCTAAGAAGTGGGAACGCCAGACTGTTAACACAAATGCAAGTCTTTCGCCGTAGAATATGAAACAGTAAAAGAAAACTTTGGAGAACAGTACCTTATTTCCAATTTCAGTGTTTCTCACACGATCATAGCCAGTGGGCTTGCCTGAAGGGAAGAAAGATTGGTCAATATAACTGGCTAGTGACGGGGTCAAAACGTCTTTTCCAGGCTGCGAACGGATTGATAACAAATGAATGTGATATTCAGTTGAGATGCCTAATGATCTATCGTTGTTAATGTGTTCAGACCATGAGAAGGGAAACGACTTACCTTGCTCAGTATAAACAGAACCGAATCGATAATAACACATTTTATACATCAAGCAATTCAACAAAGTAGGCGAGCCCTCCTTGTCCACTCTGAATTCGCCAGTTTGGGTGTAGTAATCATTTTCCTTAATGTGTGAACCGCGGTCTGTACTTCCACCGATACGAACCATCCATAAAAATTTATTGATATCTAAGCACAGAAGAAGTTTAGTTTAGGTTTCCTTCTGTAGTAACACTGGATCAATAAGAGATGATCCTGACTGGACCTCTAGGAAGAACAGTTTAGAACTGATAGAGCTATCCAGTATAAATAAATTTAGTTTAGTTTTGGTTTCCTCATGTAGTAACACTGGATCAATAAGAGAAGATCCTTACTGGACCTCTAGGAAGAACAGTTTAGAACTAAGATTAGGTTTAGTTTTGTAAAGAAAAAGACGAACCATCAGAAGCGTATCCAGTGAGGCCTCCAAAGATGACAAGAACGTAGTCAACATCCAGTTCTCTCATGATCTCGTATGCTTTATCTTCTGTCGATGACATGGCCTGAATTTAATGAAAATCAAAGATAAATACATTGTCATTACGATATGAAAATATCGTGAAAAAGATGGTGGTCAACTTGCGTATATCGGAATTAGAAACGAATGTTAATTACCTGACCAACTCGTGAAATGTGAGTATTATTCCAAGTATTGTTATCAACCAGAATCGTACGATTAGCCATTGCTGTTATCTGATAACCATAATCCCACCACGACATGATTTTTGCATTCTTTTCATAAAGAAGGGAATGTGTCATCAGGAAATGAAGCTAGTTGTACAGAATACGACAAGTTCAGACCAGTTCATATCATCTCCTTAATTCTCACCTCAGGTGTGTTTTGGCTCAACCAATAATAAGCTTCACGGAAATCATCAAAAATGACTCGGGATCCATCTTGTTGTCTTGCAGAGAGAACAATGGATGGACTAGAATAAGCCTCAGAAGTGACCCAAGTGCAGTGAAACGTGTATGATAGCAGGAAGAAAGTAACCAGCAACACAATTCCAGTTGCCATTTCATTCTTCATCGGGTAGGATGAGTCTGTTGCTGATTTTTTGGAAGTCTTCTTCTCACGTTTCACCGTATCCAAGTTCTAAGAAAAATAGCAAACAGATTTTGGAAAATTTATCGGACACAAATAAGCAAAACCCAAAGGCAATTAAGACCATGGTGTTGCCAAAAAAAAAAAGTAGAGATGTGCATTTATAATACAGATTACTTTCTGATATTTACAAACATGATACCTTCATATATTTGTTCAGAATTGAGGATATCCCAATGCCAGAGAGAATACACATCACAGGAGCCAAAACCAACATCAAACGCACCATGACTCCCTATGAAAGGCAGACATACACAGTCATGTTAGAGACTATGGAGAAATGTTTAGAACTGATGACTTGTTGTAGGTAAATATTAGGTTCTTTTTAGTTTACTATATAAAAGAAGAATAGCCTGAACTTACAGCAAAGTAGATACTGGTGACACCATACATTATGATGAAGATGTTAGCATCTGTCAGGCCCGAGAAACAGTAATACATTCCCACAGGGAACATAAATACAAGAATTTGAAGATCAAAATAGAATGATGACCATGTTGTAGGCTGATGTTCAGAAACAGATGCAATAATTGGGATGTTATTCTTGGCATACGAAGGGTCGAGCAACGAGTAAAATCTTCCAGTCCATGGAGAAATTTTTCCAATGGCTGTTAGGATACCAAATGTCAGCAGAGCACCTCCACCCAGCAATATGACTGCACTTTTGAATAACACAGCAAACTGAGCTGGAGTGAGTTTAGCACGAACATAATCAATGAAAGCATGGATTTGACACAAACCAAACACTCCAAAGGCCTGAAAATAAAGAATAGAATCACAATTTAGGAGCTTCGTAGAAGAACATTTAGTGCTACCCATCATTAATGAGGTTAGTTTAGGTTTCCTGGTAGACAATACCATTGGAACAATAGAGCTATGAGTATAATTTCTATTAATATTTTGATGATACTCACAGCCATATGTTCACTAGATTGCACAGGTTGGAAACCAACGAATGAAATTTGCATGGACAAAATAGTTCCAAGACAATAAACCTAGAAAGAGATAAAAAAATGAAAGTTGGTTTCTCTGAAATGAGCCAGTAGATTTTGGACAAAATAAAAACTACAAATTTTCTTACGGTGCAATACGCAACATAAATGCGAGTTGAGAAGCGTCCTGTTGCCATGAGTGCAAGAACATGAAGAGGAATTAAGTTGATCAGAAATACATAACCACCCCATGAGGAAACCTAAAATGATAAAAATCCAATTATTTTACATTAGTCAGAAACAAATATTGCCTTGATAAAGTCACTGACTGATTTAATACATATCTACTCTATTATTTTTAAAATTTAGAAACCCAATAAAGCAATACATATCAACATATTGACGTATGAAGAACAATCAGCCATACCATGTAGAAATATGCCAATGCACAAAGTGTTGACCAGAATAATGAACCTGTTTTGACCGACTTAATCCAGAGAGTGTAGGTTAATAACATACAAAAGATGGCAATTCCTTCATTGTCATAGGAACCAGCAACTGAACGAGATATATAACCTAAAAATATACAAAAAATCATTAAAAATATTATGTCAAATAATTTGAGAATAAAATTGCCATTACTGTACCCGGTACAACAGAAATCATCGCAGCAGCAACTAAACCAGCTCCTTCATCCTGTCAAAATAAATCATTTGTTAAAATATTTAAAGAACTAAAAGATTTGTCATGAAATAAACTAATTGTTCTATATATTGATGTCTTTACCTTCAGTTCTTTTGTCATGTGATATGTGACAATTGTTGTAAATGAGGAGAAAAGTGGAGCAAGAAATACACAGACATTACGGATTTCAATTGTGATGTGGAAGAAATGCATCACATGATATAGAATTGCTGAAGTCACCATAAGACCTGTACAAAATTATAAAAATACTTTAGTCAAATGTTACAAGAGTGGTTCCACTAACAATCCATTAGGTTTCCTCTTTCAGTAATATTGGATAAACAGTACATGACTATTACTTGACCACAAATAGTAAAATAGTCCCAGGCAAAAGTTCTGTAAGGCGATAAGCCTTCAGTATAAAGAACTCATGTCCTTCTTAAAAATAAGTTTATATTGCAATTCCATTCTCACCTGGATAAATTGTTCCTCCAATAATACGACCCAGTGGGTACCAGGCACGATCATCAAACCAGTTGTGAAAATTATAAAAACCTTCTTGCGTCAGAAACTTGGTTGTACGGAAATTAAAGTAACTAAGAATGAAAAGAGTATTCTATCATAAATTCATATTCCTAGTTTATGTTTCACCATAACAGGTGCCTACCCTCATAGGTTCAGAGATTCAGGTGCAAAAGAAATTATACAAAGTATCAATTTACTAATTAATTTCCACTACCCTAATTTACCATTGAAAACAACAATGGTGCCTGGGTGATTATATCTCAGGAATTAACTCTTACTTACGGATCAAATTCGTGGATAACGCTTTCGTAACGAAGCACAGAAAATAACCTGGTTGCAAATGCTATACAATGAAAAGTGAAATCTAGTATTAGATTAAATTTTCATGAGTCAAGGTTAGATAGCTATATATTAATTAAATCTATTAAAAAAATTTACAATAATTCTAAAACAAGCAAAAATTGAGATGATCTATGAAGACGTACAATTTGAAATACACTAGAAATGCTTGTTTGATTTTTAAACAAATCACGACACACACTTACATAAAATGGCTGCTATTGATAACACACATAGTTTTAGCAAAGTATCTTGCTTTTCAAACGAGAGCTTGGGCAGAAACGACGGTAACGTGAAGCCACTTTCTTGGCCCTTCATCCTGGAAAAATTCAGCGAAATCGAACGAGATTTTGAGAGAAAATTTCGCAAAAATGCGCCACGTTTTGGAACAAGACTGCTCCTTTGTTAGTAGGAAGAGGAGTCAATCACGTGGACCAATCAGAGAAGGACCCCCGGGATCGGTGCAACGGATCATCTCATACCCGGAGACGCGGGATCTTCAATTGCGGATGCTCAATATTTGCTATCTTTACCCATATTCCCAAGCGATTCCCCTCGCATATTGTGCAAAAATGTTATGGAAATCAACCGTCTTTATTATACATAGTTTATTAACAATCATGTCTAACTATTTCTAACTATACAATACATAATCAATATATACCAATCAAGATGCATTGTGTATGTAAATCACAATTAAAATGAATTGGGTGAATCATTGAAATAATAAACAAAATTATTGATACGTGTTTTGTTAACGAAAGCGAGATTGTTTAAGATACATAGTTCTTGAGCACCATATGAACATAACATGCACTAAATTTTCGTGTTTGGAGAGCTTGTGTTCTAGCAAAAACGATTGCAATCGTTTGAAAACCGTGTCTTTGGCTGTTACGATAAAGTTAATTTCGTTAATTCGTCTGTCTTCTTCATCACTAACTTCCTTGTGTACGTTTCAGCCGTCACACGGCCCACAACCAAGGTTGTTATTTTGTGTCTTCTGTAAAATAACTGGGACAGTTTACCATCAAATTGAATATCAACCAAAGAACTTGTAATTTCTCGTGGGGTGCAAACACCAAAATCGTTGTTTTTTACAAGAAGTGTGTGCGTATTTACATGCTAAAATACTGTTGGTCTACGCCAGACAACTCTGTAGTAAATCCTGCGGTGTCAATGAAAGCATATCTGGAATATCTGTTGCTGAACTACTTCGAGGAATTTTCGAAGGTAGAGGACAGAAGACTGTTGTAAGTTGAGGTGCTTCAATCATCGCTGCCGGAGCGCTGTTTGCTCTCTCCTTCGTCTTCGATTGTCTTGAGTAATCTAAATAAAGATGTGTTCATCAATAATTAAAGTAATCTAAACCCTTTCACAAGTGACGCGCGCAATTTCAGGTAAACGAGTTCTAGGAATCAACGCAACGCGACGCGACGCGACACCCTACCGCTAAGCATTTTTGTGGGCGCCGCATCTTTCCTTGGAAACTCATCGTGTTTTAATAAATTGAAACTCTAAAACAGATAACATATTACATTATATGTACCACTGTCCACTAGTTCCAGTAATTCATCCATCGCCGCATCGACTGAGCCACAACTTGATCCACTATCACTCGACATCTCATGGATGAGCTGAAGTAGATTGTTAAGTTTTCATTGTTATTGACAAATATCAGCGCAGCTACTTCATTATTCACGATGATATAGAAATACTATTGGATGTACTATTGGATGTATATAGAGTTTGTAGGAAATGTCTGTGTAATGTTTTCGAGTCCTCATAATGATAAAACTTATGTGGGATTTATTTTTTTGTGATCAGGAATATTTTACACGATAAACAAAGCTTAACACCTAAAATGTTTCGGGACTACACTTCATATGAATTACACAATGATTTACCTCAACAACTTCATCGTCTGACATTATTTTGTCCTCTATAAAGAGGAAAGGTAACTCGTTATTGAAACAAGCTTGTTTTAGTTTGACAGTGAACACATTTGAAATGTCTGTTTAATTGTCAATGTGGTATGAAGCGGGCAAGATATCATCTTTTAGATGATCTTCAAAGTGGAACAAGCGAAAAAATATCGACAGAATTTAGGCAGGAACATTTTCGCTTACAAAAAATATAAATACGATACAAGTTTTAACCATTATTTCGCTAGGAGAGAAAAATAAAATATGGGTGTGCAACATAAAATTAGAAAGTAATGAAGATGGATAGTCCATCATGCATTGCTCCACACCCCACCCTCCCTCCTCTGCGTAGGATGTGTTGATACATGAATTGCTGAGATTCCCTTCACTGGAGTGGACAATCGTAATATTCTATTCTAGTTCAAACTTTGTACCTTCTTTGATGCAGGAAGTCTCGCTTCTCCTGGAATCGAGTCCGTTTTCCTGGAAGAAAGATTCAATAAATATAATTTATCACGTGGTATTATTAATGTTGCAAACGTGGCTAATTTGCTATAGCTTCATGTAGACGGCTTTAAACACGAAAATTTATGGTATACAACTAAAACATTTCTAATGTTGAACAACATTATTCTTTAAATGGAAAGCAGTGGATTTGAAAGCCTTGTTGTTTTTTTTTTACTCCAGTATTGCAAGCATTCCTAAACACGCCCTTAAACACTCATAAATGATTCAACTTCAGTATAATTAGAAGCTTATTTTTTAAACTGAAATGACGCCGATATTGAAGCAAACAATCAAGATAATAACCAAACTACATCGACCTACTTCATACAACGAGAACTCATCTTCATCTCTGAGGCGTTTCGGTGATTGTGGTTCTGTTTTGACTACTGTACTGTCCGGAACATCAAAAACTATGCAAACAAAAATACTTCAGCCCAAAATCTCTCAATTCACTAAATAAGAACTGCCCAGAACCCCAAAGAGACTCATTTTGAAGAGTACGTCGTGTCTCGTCTATTGGTCCGCGGAACTAAAACTTAAAATCCAGTTACCTTCCTTCATATCTTCGTCAGAAGTTTCGTTGTAAATATCGAAATATCTCGTCACGGCGTAGTCGTGATCCACTAAATGTGTATCGTTGATCATCTGAGGAATATTGCAAAGATATTCCGATGTTACATTCGCTCTACAGCTGGCATCATACGACTGTTTTGAGAAAAAAAATGTTCGTCAATAAGGACGTCTTGGAACAGATTCGTTTCAGGCAGTCGCGAATTTTGATTGGAAATGACTCGTTTAAATTGTTCTTATTCTAGTAATTCTACAACTTCTTCCTTGTATATTTTTGTACTGTTTTTTAAAACTGTTAACCTTCGCGTCTTTTCTAACAAAACATCTGAATTGAATCTGGATGGGGTTTTTTTGAAAAGACGCGGCAAAGAGGGCAAACTAAACTATACATTTCGTTTGAGTAAGATAGCCATTTCTGACAGTTCTTCGTCTCAATCTAGTTTACACTCCTGTTCTACAGGATTAACCGAATGATCATGAGATAAGCACCATGCAGTCGTCCAGCTAAATCTTATAGCCGCAAATACCATCCTCTTCACACAATTCGCTTTATTCTATTGGGTAATCCTAATCTGAAGTATTCAGGGAATTTTTTAACGGCAAACTATAAAACAAATGGACAAGGGTGGTTCAATCAAGGTCAAATTATTTCATTGTGATTTATAGGTCATTCGCGCAAGACCTTCGCAACTCTTTGATAAACCTTTGTCTTTTTTCAGTCATGTCGACAGCACCAGTTTGACTGTATTTTGAAAAGTATTGGGATTATTGAACTTCTATCCCATAGAATGTGGAGCTAATTTGTCGCGTAGGAATGCTTTAGTGATGAAAGATAAACAAGCGTGTTGTAACATGTCACGCTGAAATACGAGCGAATTTTTACCATACCTGCAGCAAAAACATCACATCTAAGAAATTATAAAACTTCCCTAATCCCTAATTCTTGCACTTAATCTAATGTGTCAGTAGAAAGAGTTGTTTTACAAGATTATTCAACAAAAACCGCACCCTAAAATTTCACATCTCACGTGGAGCAAAAAATTCCTAGTAATCTAGTTCTGGGAATTTAGAAGACGCCCACACAATAATCTTTTAACGTCGTCCTTTTCCTCAATTTCATTCAATTTATCTTCTTTTAAACACAAATTTCAATTCAATTTACCTTTCTTATCACTTTACGCAGAAAGAAAATGAATCTGATGGTTGAAATATAAACGCGGCGTATTTTTAAATTATTTATTTATTTATTCGCTTTCCTCTCTGACCTGGCTTTGTTCCGCATCTGTTTCCGAGTTAATTTTCTTGATTTTGGGGTCTCTTCGGAGGTTTCTTTCCTTCGAAAACGCCTTCTTCTTGCGCTGGTTGCGGCCTGAGAATGAAATAAATAAAAAAACTGCTTGAAATTTGGCGATTTTAAACACGAATTGAAATTAAAAAGAGACGCCGAAATGAGTTCAATCAAATGGAAAATGTTTTTAAATCGTAAACAATTGACACAGGCAGGGAGAACTCTAGAAGGAATTTCTCCTTTTATGAAACAGAGAAAGAGACATCAGTGAAACGTGTAATCCTCTAGGCTTTTTGGTTCATTTTTTTTATATTTTCACGAGTGATGCAACGCTCATTGTAAAATTTTGCACCCTGCCCTGGAACAATTTAGGAGATTGCTATTTCATTTATAACTGCGTCAGCAGCGTTTCTTGAATAAACGTGAAAATATACCATGAGCTTTTTGTAGAGATTTTATTGCAAAGCTAAAAAGTAGAAAAGCGGATAGTCTTAGAAGAAACATTCATTCCTACGCCAATGGTGTTGAGTCATACTTCGGTATTCACATTTAAATTGCAGGAATGACTATTTAACTATACTTTGTCAAAAATTCGCTAAATTTGGTTGAATGATTAAATGAATGTAGTCGTATATTCCTAAAAGCAGCTTCCTGCATTGCATTGCCTTGCAGTTGAACTGATCTGCACATTGTCATGGGGTATATATTACTAAGTGAGCATGGTCCAGATTAACCTAGTGGTCGCCGAGTTCCCTGTTCTTCCTTTCATACCAGCAAACAAGTCTTAGCAAACCTCGGTAATATTGACGTGGCTATACGGACCTTATTGGAATTTATTTTTGGAACTGAGCTTGGCACGTCGGATAGACTATGCTGACGTTGTCTCAACAACAAGCACGACTGAATCAGAGAATCATAAACACGACATGCATGCAGACACTATTCTTGAGAAACATCTAATTTCACCTCTTCTGCTTACAACTACAAGTCTACAACAGCAATACAGTTGAATATACCTTTCAATTTTTTAGAAGAGTAGTTCTTCTTTGCTACGTCGTTGTTAATTTTGTAGACTTTGAAAGCATCATTGCCCTTCGTCATACGTTGATGCACCATTTCCTCCATGTCTGGCAAAGAATTCAGCGCACAACGAAAGTTTGCTTTCCAAGTTTTTGGGTTCGGCGCTTCATTGCTTTTATACTTTCCTGTGTGCTCAGCCCAGGCACGAAACAAGCACGCATCAGTGTTGATTTTCCAGCCATTTCGTGAAGCATGCTTCCACGGGAGACGGAAGATTTTAGCGTCTTTATCAACCCATTCTACTCCTGGGAATTTATTTTCATTCAAGGCATCTTCAAGCCATGGTCGCATACGAAGTCGTTCAATAGGCATCTTTAACTGTTTGTCGTAATGTAGCTCACTTTTCAGCCTCAATCGAAACGTTTAAAAGACACAGCAGCAAAGAGTTTAAACGTAATCTTGCACGCCCTATCAACAACTTCCTTCTTGCTCAGCGATGAAATGTGAATCGACGAATCTAGTTGTATACACCAGTGTCTCAGTTAAGAGAATGCAACTTTAAACGATTTCGAAAATGCTGCCTCGTTACAAAGGAAACGTACTTTCAATTTTCGGTTGTGTATTCACGTTCGACTGCAAACACCGAATGATAAACCGCTCAGCTCTGCGTTGTTTATGACTGCATAGACACAAGCTGTTTACAAGTCACAGGGATTTCCCAAACCTTTTCACATGAATTTTAGCCGCAATTCCGGGAAACTACCGGCTAATCATTACATCACCAGAATATCGGGACGATTTTATGGTTCGAAACTGGGGTATTCTGTTATAGAAATGACTGTTAAGAATAGGGGAATGTCAGTTGAAGCTTTCAGAAATAGACTAAGAGATCTAAAGTCTTCGTTTCATGTATAAAAATGCTTTAACATCGTGGGTATTTAAGTGACATCATGCGTGATATGTACAGCATGTGATTAAATCAATATATCCCTGCTCTTATGTAACATTATATGATCTTTCGAGGGCCTTAACGTCCGTAAAAAATCCTTTTAATTATAGCCGAGGTTTAGAATGACTCTAACGTAAAAATCATGAATGAAAATTGTACGAAACATTTGGTGAAACAGAGCAATGTAAATAATTAATTATGTTTGTTTCCGGTCACGACAAATCCATGTATTGGATTGTACAGAGGAAAAATATTTTTCAGTTACATCTGCAACGATGTCTTCATTTTAAATGGTTGTTAAATTATGTTTGTGATAAAAATGTTTTTAAGTTGAATGTTTTTAACGGTTTTACAGAACCGGTTTCCCTAGTAACGCTTTCTGATCAAACCTATTTCACACTGCCTGTTCCTGGGTCCTGATATTGCAAAGATTGGAGTGTTGTCTTTTAGAAAGATTTTATAATATTTACAGCAGTTCGAAACAAATACTCGTATCTTCCCGACGCTAAATATTCATGAATTATTTGCGGGGTTTTTCTCGTTTTCAATTTCGCTTAATCGTCATTTTTTTAGGAAGTCGCATCTAACGCCATCTGTTTTCTAAACGAAATGAAGGATGGCAGAAATCAAACTTGTTATCTTTGTTAACGAATTGTTAATATTACTGCCTGGATTTCACTGGAGTTAAAATTTTGATTTCATCATCAGTATTTCGAGTGTCCTGTTTGAGCATATTTTTTTTCAAACTCAACTTCCTTTAATTACTTATACAATGAATTTTTAAAATCTTCTTCGACAAGACGGTTCCATTCAATATATTATAAATTTCTATACGCCGTCTTGTCAGACGAATATCACTCTAATGTGATAAGAGTCTAGTGGTAACTCTTCACTCAGTCCAGTTACGATCCATTAGTCAAAATTGCGGTATATACACTCATCAGAGCATCCTTGAATTTGGTTTTAAAAAACACCCAAAACATAATTAGTTGTTGATATTGGACCCAAAAAGTAGCCTGCTTGTAGTTCCTTGTAGCTCACAGCACTACAAACGTCTATCTTTATGTGTCCTGTGACTTGAACTGCATGAGTGACTTTTCTCGGTACAAAATCTGAACGAAAACAAGTCGAATGTATTCGTATAAACGATAAACAAACGGATATATCATTGACCAATATGAATAAAGTTAACTATATCCATGCACGTAAAACCAAAAAATTATGGCGAGAGCTCGTTATGATACGAAAACTGTTATCTTATGGAATCTTGTGCAGTCGTTTATAGCTCTACCTAAAATAGTGAAAATGGAAGGTGAACTATTATGATGAAATTGTTTTGAAGAATGAGATGAAGAAAGGTTACGCTGGCAAGGTATATCGTGACGATAGTCCTATAACTGTTATTGTGTTGGTAGCCTGCATGTGGGGGAAACGTAGCTCTCAACACGCTGAGACAAAGTTTAATCACAATAAGAATTGATTTACATATTGTTTAGCTTGTCTTTTAATTTACAGGTGAAATAAGAAGACACATTATTGAAATTCCTATCAGGGACTGCTTGTTGCTTCGCAATTGTGGCGTCTCGTTTTAGAAACAATACAAGCAGTAAACCATCGTCTAACTGATCACGCAATCAGTGTTTGCACCATTGCTGTGTCTGGTTGTCCATCTAGAGCTGACTCTTATATATTTAACATTTCCTGCCTCTCTTGACAACGGAAAATTTAGATTGCAATAGCTTTTTGGGGGCGTGCTTTTGATACTTATTGGAAGAGTTCATGCATGAAATTTTCCTCACATGCCATTTAGTACGAGTTTCAGATAGCTTGTTTTTAGCACCGAATTGTTCTACCTTTTCTTCGCTCAGGCCTCAGAGATAGGATGAATTATCCGTATATGAAACTATTAACAGCAGCGATCAGTGGAAGTCGTCTTTCCAGGCATAGCTGGTGTTTGAGGTCAGCTCTCATATCTGCCGCAGTACCTGCTTATTTTTGACAAATGTTGCAGGTTCTTTACTTCTGTGCAGCTCTATCAGAGCTACACGTGGAATAACAAGCAGTTGGCCCTCTACACTTGACAAATAGTTAAGTTCATTACAAACACGCGCGATATGGCTTTAAAAAAACGTATTTCTCTAGCGTTCATTGTTGTTATATTTCTTCTACATTGTTGCCAGGCTAGTTTACTTCAAGAGACGTTAGCAAGAGAATTCAAACAGGAAAATCAGGATGAAGAAACGAAAGTAGAAATAATAAATGACGAGAAGAACAATGATGAGAAGTCGAACAGCGAAAAACAAACGCAGGCCGCGGAGGAAAGTGAAGATAAGGGAGCAAGTGAGGATAGCAAGGAACATGAAGCGAGTATCGTCCTTGAGACAATCTTCAAACCAACGAAATGTGACGATAAGACAAAATCTGGCAAAGTTGCGGTGATGCATTACACAGGCTGGGTGGGAGACAAGAAATTTGACAGCACAATTGATCCTTTGAAGAGATACGTGCCCTTTGAATTTATAATTGGAGTTGGTTCTGTGATCAAAGGATTTGAAGAGGGCATTAAAGAAATGTGTAAAGGAGAACAAAGAAAGATTACAATCCCTCCTGAGTTAGGATATGGTACAAAAGGTGCTGGTCTCATTCCAGGTTAGTATTACACCTGATGATCCTCTAGGAAGAACAGTTTAGAACTGAGCTATCCTGTAGTAACACTGGATCAATAAGAGATGATCCTTACTGGACCTCTAGGAAGAACAGTTTAGATCTAATAGAGCTATCCAGTATAAATAATGTTAGTTTAGTTTAGGTTTCCTCCTGCAGTAGCACTGGATGATCCTTACTCCACTTCTAAGAGATGATCCTTACTGGACCTCTTGGAAAAACAACAGTTTAGAACTGATAGAGCTATCCAGTATAAATAATGGTCGATTGTGATTTTCAGGTAACTCAACGATCACTTATGAAGTTCAACTCCTGGACATACGAGAGCCTCCTCCCCACGCCGACGTGTTTGGCGCGATGGACGGAGATGGCAACAAGAAACTATCACGTGACGAAGTAGGTGAATACATGAAGAAACAGGCGAAGATGCATTATGGGGCACCGATGGACGACTATTACTGGAACCAATATCACAATCAAATGGTTGATAATATATTTGCACAAGATGACGAGGATGAAGACGGACATATATCACATGATGAGTTTAGTGGACCAAAATTGCATCACGAAGAGCTCTGAATAACGGAACAAAAACCTACCGGAACTATGTACCTAGATACTATAATAGATATTTGAATCCTCGGGTATTGGACTCTGTCTGCCGACATTTCCGGAGGAACTTAAACCCCGGTATTCCGAGCGTATTGACTGGCATCTTGCCATAGACATAGTCAATAGATAGTCTCACATTAATCTATTCTTATTTCTGGCTGGTTTGCACGCAGGAAAATTATCCTCAGGACAGAATCGGACAGAACAGTTTATTTTGTCTGCGAGGTCTCAACTGAAACGAATGAGTCTAAACACGGAGCTTCTTTACAAAGAAAACTTCCGGTCCTGAGGATAATCACCCCAAGTTAAAACTAGTTTTTACACAGGCCAAGCCCGACACCCCGGTACAAGGTTGGCTAAAACCGCCACTTTTGGCTGAAAAATATAAAGAGAAACATGATTTACAAATTTACAGGTTTTTAGTTGGTCTAGCATTCGCCTAAAGAACCAAAAAAGGACGGTGCAAGAGGTTAATTTGATCGTTTAAATTGAAATTAAGCCAAGACTTGGCTATCGTATATATTATTATCATTTGCGCATAATTTTACTGGCGTTTGATGTCAACTCAATATCGCTTTAAAAACTACCGACGATTGGGAACAAAACAAGTTATTTATAATCAGTCTTATATTTTCAAGACTCTATTTTTTAATTTCAGGAAAACTTCTCTTGAAAGGGTTGTACGATCTTCCAAAAAACCGTCGTATATAATATCGACGAGGTAAAATTCCCACAAAGACATTTTTAAAACTTTCGATATTCCTCAGTATTTCCGTGTTAACCAAAATTTGAAAACATTCCACTTTTAAAAAAAACAGGGCTTCCTGATTTTGAAGATGATTAACGACTGATGGTCATTAATTTTAGAAAATTTTCTTTGTGATTGCTCGCGGTAAATTCTTTCGTATATACGAAGAGACGGTTCGTCTCTGAATTAGAAAGTTGTTTTGCGAGCCCTCGTGATAATCTCAAAGAAAACTCACTTTAATTATCTCAATTGATCAGGCTTCATGTTACATCCGTTTGAGGCCCTAAAAAGGAAAGGGGTTTTATTATTTGCGTGTCTGGACCACAAATACCCCTTGTATTTGACCTGCGGTGACCATTTTTGACATTTCATGATTCGAGCGCGTTATCATTTAGTTGATGCTTTGAAATCACCGATAACAAAGTATGTCACGGCAGAAGTCATTAACGACTGCATTTTTACAATGAGGAAATCATACATACACAGTAAGTACATCTTTTTGTTCATCGTTACGAAGATTTGATCAATTGATCTGGTGTACGACAAACTAATGGTATAACTGATGTCTGAATCATATTAATCTTCGTATAGAAGCTGAGAAAATCAGTCGAAGTCAGCTAATAATGATTACTAAAGATGTATCTATAATCTATAAATCAGTACTTTAAAAGGCTTGTCTTTGAATTGTACAAATTAAACTAGACTCCTAATGTCTACCTTTATCGATTCTTCTAGATATTTTTTGCGTAATCATCATATTTTATTATAGTATGAATCATAGCAGTATTTAAACAGTTTGTCCTAACGATAAATTTCTGATATTTATCTGAAGTTGATTAAAATGTAAGGATAGGGTGTAGGCTATATACGTAAGTTACCAAATCATTATCTAATGCTTGGCATTCTGTTTGTTTGCTGTGCAGGTATTTGGCTCGTCTTACTCGTAATATCAACAACGGGAGAAAATGTCAGTGTGGGTAATAGGACCTCTGACAACTATGCCACCTCAAAGCACACATTGTTACATACAAGTTTTTTAACATTATCACGTCAACAGACAATTCCTATTCGTAAATCTACTGAGACAAGATTGGAAAGTGCGGATGCAAAGACTGTGAAATTGCAAGCGAGTAGATTTTTAAATTCTCGCACGCATGAAAATGCGTCTTGGTCGGAGAGCACGCGAACACAATCTGTGCGCAATTTATACAATACTGACACTCAGTCAACAACAGTGCGTGATTTATTCAAATACACGCAAATACAGAGCGCAGATCTACAGATCATCTCTTCAACAAAAACTGCACCTCTAGTAATGCCAGATAATACCAACGGTGAAGTGAAACCCACTGAAACATGTAAACTGAGTAATTCTGTGAATTCCGTCACATTTGAAGTACATAAATCTTCAATCAACGGGTCAGCAAATCCTCATATTTCACAGCACGCAACAGTTTTGAGCAACAGATATTTAAGTGTTAAAATCTCAAGCACGATACCCAGTGGAAATTCGTTGGAAGTACAGAAATCTCACACGAGATCAGCAAAAGATCATTTTCAGAGTAAAACCATTAATTTTCAGAGTAGCTACGAGAGCTTTCACACTCGAACATCACGAGACGAGTCAAGTACGTTTGGACACTTCCTGAAGAGTACACAAGCGTTACAACCCTCGAGAATAATAGAAACAACCTTGCCAGGAAGGAGCGACTCATTAACTGCGGAATTACAGATAAACACACATCTTGCGACAAGTAGATTTAACGAGTGGCAAAGATCAACCATAGAAGATTTATCGAAAACAGTCGAAAGACCTCACATCACGCTAACCTTTGCGAGTTCCCAGCTCAAAACACAAGGAAGCAACTCTTATCTTGCCCATACAGACGAGTATTTGTCTTCGACCTCAAGTGCAAACATAGCTAGTAGGATAATACATACTGCAGTTGGAAACATTTCAAAAACGACTGAAATTAAGGAAAATAGAAAAACACACTCCGGAAGGTCAGAAAAAACAATGGAAAACTTAACTCCGAGTTTTACTGTAAAAGAAATTTCATCAACTGGTAGCATCCTGATGAGGGTGTCCAAGAACCGCGCAACGAGTCTAAGGACAAGCCAATCTGGTTATCAATCGGCGGAGATTAAATCAGCCAATGAGGTAAGTCTTCTATTATTAGAAATTAATAGGCGCATATTATTCTGTCTCATATTTCAGAATTAACGCCTGATTATAGGGAGAGGTATCGCACGAATTGGGTTTGAATTAGGAATTAGATAAAGATTGAAGATAAGACTGGAATGATGTTGAAGTACACCCTTGACTATTAACCAATTACTCTCTTCCTGAATATGTGTAGTATTAAAGAGCAAAATAGCAGACAAAATAGAGCTTTGAATATTGTTAAAATTTGATTAAACTTTTCTACCAGATGGCGTGATTGATTACCCACTGTTTTTTTTCATCACTTCAGTTGTAGGTCACTAAAATAACGATGAAACATTTTTATTCAGGTAACAGACACCAAATCTCCAATACTATCAACAGAGATCCATGTTCTATCATCAAAAGTACATTCTTCATCACCATTCCTTACCACAAGTCACAACAAGTCCTCTAGTAAAGTTGCAGGCATGCCTCTGTACGTTTTAGCGATTTGTCTTCCCCTGGCGGCCCTCCTGGGTTTCGCCTTGGCCTTCGTCTACTTCAGACGAAATAAACAGGATCAGAGAGTGCGTTACTCGGTCACCGTCGAAATCTCCGCAGATAAACCAGATTATGAATTGAAAAGAATGTACAGCATTATTGACGTGACTGGGGGAATAAACAAGGAGTTTTTGTCAGATTTGGAAAGTCGGAAAAGTAGCAAAGGAATCTTAGATCAATTGGACAATGTGTCTGTTAGTATTACACAATCTGACCAAACAATCTAAGTCAACAAGCAGTAGATACTTCATGAACAGCTCTCTCCTGGAGGAGACACATTATTCCATAGAAGAAATCATGCTGAACAGGCATTACTTCCTACGAACGAGAGTTGTTTTAATTGCACAAATGCACAATCAATATTATTGCCAGCGTAATTTTCCGTCCTTGCATTAGGATAACTGGAATAATTTATAGTAAGCTTGGGGAAGAAACTTTGGTAGTCCCATGCGAATTATTGTTGGTGTGACTCTATGAGCCTTGAATGTATGAGACAGATACATTTACCAGACCATATGGCAGACCAAACACAGACTCGAAAAAACAAAAAGATAGGCATCTGTTTCATGTCTGTGTTTAAACATCATCAATTTCCTTTGATGAATAATTTCCGACCATCTGCATTCTGGTAAAATGTACATCCGACATCTGCTGGATAATCCTGGATTAAATGACATGCAAGTCAACTCTACTTTGTCAAAGGAATGGATCATTTGTCAAAAATTATAACACCTTTCATTGTTACTGATATTGTAGTCACTGCTGTTTTATGAAATTGTAAAATGTTAGGAAATGTTTTCAATCTTAGAGTTTTGCCTATTTAATTGGCCAGCTTATCTTTAATAATGCTAGGTAAACCAGAGGGTAAACTGATATGAACATGTAAATATTTTGCTGACTGCAACTGTTATGTAAAGTCGTGTGTAAAAATCATATTCAAGAGCAAATATTTTATTTTTCTAGTTTTTATTTACATGTTTTATGTTTGAAACTTGGTTGATTATATCAAGTCAACTTATAAGTCTTAATACTTGTGTGATTCAGTACCACCTCGCCCAAATCCACCAGGCCCAAAGAGAGCGGCATAACATGGTTTGTTACAATATGGCTTTCCTTCGTGCTAAAACACACATTAAACACTTTAAACCCAAATGCAAATGCAAATTGTTGTTATAATAGCCTCAAAATCATCAAAGTAAAACTTCAAATTATAAATGATTATTCTTATGTAGACTGCTTGGAGCTGTTGAAGCTAATCTGCTGCAGTTCAAATGTAAACCCAAGTTATTGTTATCATGGCCTCAAAATCATCAAAAATTAAGTTAAAAGTTATAAATTATTAACCTCTGCATGTCCACCAGAGCTCAAAGTTTTCCCACATTTTTCACATTTCAAACATGGCCTATGCCAGTCTTTACCAAGAGACTGCACTTTCTCAGCTAAATAATGTTTCATAGTTATGTCAACTTAATAGACGTTTAAATATCTTTAATAGAACATGAAATGTCAATTAGGTCAACAGGGCCCAAGCTGTAAATATTAACTTTATTTCACTACGAATTTACTTATAGCGTTTTCATTTAAAAATTAAAATAAACCATATGAGAATAATAGAGTAACGAGAACAATAGCAGGGTAATTAACACTGCGAAATATTCAGTCTTTCACTTCATATCATAGACACAGTGATATAAACTAATCAACTAAAACAATTACAAATTCAAATTGATCTTGTATCGATGAAATATGTTGTCTATTTGACAACTTTTACGCGACAGAACAACACAGAATATTCATAATTTGTAAAAGAATTGCACTTTGAACACTTGGATGAAAATAAAAGGAGAACTTTGTAGTACAGTACAAGACAGAGGATCAACTATAAAATGCTATGTATTTATCAAAGGCGAACCGTATTTACAATAAGTTGTAAGCCATATTTAGCTTTCTTTACATAAACTCACCGAAGTAAACTTCTTTATTGCATTTGGGACACTTAGGCATCTTGTCAAATTGTTTTTCTACACGATCAGAGAGGAGATAGAACACTTGTCAAACGCCAAACACGCGCACTGAAATAGTGAAGTTTCCAATTTCAATGACCAATATTTAAATATAACCTACGCCCACAACCCAAGATGCTTTGCTCCGTACTAGAATTATCCACCCGAAGATTGTTAGCGGGGGTGTTATGGTCACCATGGTGACTGGCAGCTACCAACGCGCTTGCTGTACTATCATGGTTGGTCATAGTTTAAACATATCAGTGACCTATCACATTTAGATAACGTAATACCCTCATAACACTGTCAAAACGTAAGATGATACTCTCAAATTACAACTTCCAGCCCACATGGTAGCATCGCTATGTCAGGCCATTGTTAGTTGAAATTACAGAACTTTCCAGATCAATTTACAACTGTAGAGAATGTTTACCAGCTTGCGCAGCATCTGAGCAATGTTTGCAATAGATCGTCATGTCCGCTTTTCATTTCCGATTGTTTTCGAGCGTGTGAAACATCATTTATTCTGCCTGGAGATTTGAAATCCTGCCAGTTACAATCTAACACAGTATCATTCTTTAAATAATTAACCTCATGCGGTGTTCCACATATAATTTCATGTTAAAAATGGATTTTCTGTTCGCAAAATAGAAACAACAAAGTGACCTCATGCAATCGCTAACACGTGGGGATTTACAAGAAAACAAATTTAAATATAGAAGAATGTATTTTTACTGGTAAAAAACGATGATGCATCGCTTTGCATTCCAGAAAACCAACCGCAATCAAACCTGAAACCCCGTTGATGTAATTGAATGAAACTTCAAAAAACAGAAATGATTCATGTGATTTACTCAACTCTATAATTTCCATTTCATTTTAATTACGATAAAAACCGCGTGTTATAACAATTTCAAATCATTAAACATATTTCTCCATTGGTTCCTGCACGGTGCTTCACTCAGTTGCCTCGTTTTTATGGAAAAGGTAATCAAATGCGTATTCCTTCTCAGGCAGTTTCTTGTTAATCTTCGTTTCTGATAAAAATCTTTCGCACTTTACCACCTTAAACAATATAATCAATATGATCAATATAATCAATACGATTAAAATACTTAGTATGATCAATATAACACCCTTACAAGCTTCTATTCACTGAAAATTTCACTTCATGACTTGCCAAGAGTAAAAATGGAGACTTTACCTTCGACATAAAGTCCTCATCTTGTTCAACAGGTATATCCAACTTGGAAACCTGATTAAACAGGTTTTCTGCAGAAATTATTTCCACCCCAAATTTCTCAAAGAACGAGGTGACATTCTTACAATCTCTATAGAGAAATTCCAGTGCATGAGGATGAACTGGCTCCACTGACTGACTCACATCAATGAAATAAACCTCGTTCTGGTACCATAACATGTTATATTCACTAAGATCTGCGTGAATAAGATTACACTTCTGATACATTTCAGCCATCATCTAAAAAACGAAAGATTGTTGAAAACGAATCGTGAGTTATAACTAAATCAAGCAAGGGAATGGTTTTAATAAACACGCACCTCTATGCACTGTTTATAAGCCTGGGTAGCTTGAGGGGTTGTTAGAGCAACATCTTTTAATTTAGGTGCTGGATGTTGACCGTTGCCAATGAAACTCATCACCAAAACCTGTTTCTTCAGCAGAACAACTTCAGGACATCGTATTCCAGCATGCATCATCCTAAATGTGATCAATAAGAGATGATCTTTAATGGACTTCTAGGAAGATCAGTTTAGAACTGCTTATCTTCAGACTTGTTTACCTTGAAAGATTACACATTTCTTTCTCTGCCCATAACTTGATTGTTTTACGTGGATTTTGTTTGCCAAGACGATCTTTAAAGCGGTGATCATCCTTGATGTAACGATCTCTGGTCTTGAATTCATTTAATGTTGTCTTAAACACCTTCACTGCACATTCACGAGGTACAACCTTATCTTCCATTCTTTGTAAAAATAAATCACAAGATTAAACTGCTTTCTGATGGAAAGACAAGCACTATCAATAATAATGATCATGACAAAATTTTCATAAAGTGAACTTACTTTCCTCCAAAGGCATGAAAAACACAAGCTTCTTTTCCAGTGCTGATGCAACCATTTACTTCTTCCAAAATCTCTGAGTTTACTAATTTGTATAACAGCAATCTAGTCTTAGGATCCAAGGCTTGCTCCTATTGAAATGAAAATTAACATCAGTCTTTCTATCCCTCAATGTTACCTGTTATCTATTAGCCTCAAGTGCATTGAGATCAGCTATGTTTAAGTATTCTACTCGTGTTAGATGCCAAATGATTTGCCTGTCAGTGAAGGAGTAGTCAGTCCCAACAGTTAACAATAGTATTCTCTAAATCCTTGATCCTAACCCAGACACCTTCTGAACAGGATGATCTGATCCAGGATGACTTAATGACTTACATGAGTTGAATGTTCTTTTTTTTCATGAAGACGATAACTTTGTTTCTCTTCTTTAATTGAATGTTGTTTTAAAGTGTTGTAGACGTTGTTTGAGATCTTCAGATCAAGCTCTTTGCTGCCAACATCTCCTGCTGCAAAACTTGGAGGAAACTAAAAAAAAGGATGACGAGACTATCAAGTCATATTACAAAAGCAAAGAATCTTCAACCAAGAACAAACCTTTTCAATATTTTGAGCATTCTTACGGCCACAGACATCAGCATCATGTTTTGTTGTAATGTTTTTACCAGATCCGTTGCTCTGATAACGTTTTCTACGACTGCCACCACCAGATTTACCACCAGATTGCTTTGCTTTGTCATTTTTTACTTGATCATCATAATCAATATCATCATCAGATGATGTCAAGTCACCTTCCAGGATACCAGGATGGATTGTACGATAATTATCAAAACTAATTGAAACTAAAAAATCCCCACATTTTTAGTACATGCAAACAACAGGTAGAAGATGATTCAATGAAGATGGCACAAGCTCAATGATCGCTTTCAATCAAATACCTTTGCTGGTTCCATTCATTCGATTCTCCTTTGCCTTCAAATCTTTCTCATATTCCTCGTCAAATTGAAGTTGCAACATCTGAGCAAGCATCAAATCATTTGCAGTGTCTGAACCACTTGAAACTTCCAATGATACTAAAAAATAGCAAATGTTAGGATGCACCCAGACTGTTGAACTACAAGTCAATTTAAAAATCTCCCCAATAGCAAAGCATTCATTTGATCTACTCCATACCTTCAACTTGAGCTTCAACAGGCGTTTTATTCCAAGCCTCAACTCCTTCATTTCGATCAATTTCTCGCGCTAATTCTTCGTCCATTACTGACAGCAGTGAAGGAACAACAGGTACATTCACTTTGGACAAACCCCAAGGATTGCCTGGTTTCACAGTTTCAACAGGACTCGGTAATAAAGAACTCTCCATGATTTTATGATAACTTAAATAGACTTTCTTGTATATAAAATATTTTCTGAATTAATATAAATATAGTAGGCTATACAGTATTCACAGTATTCACAAGTCACAACTGTTCCGTAGTTATATACAATGATTTCTTCTCGAGAACTCAGTATTTACAAAAAAGACTTCGTCTGTAAGACACTTCTTGAACACACGCACACGTACAAATGAGACACAGAGGTCAAAACCTCACAGAAAAACACAAAAAGATGACTTAAAAAGTTAAATTTAAAATGATTTAAAAATTTTTAAGATGGACGCTTGATGGTGCAATTCTAAATTATTGTTGGTTACCGCTTCATTGGATCAACGCTGGCGCATATGACGCCGCAATTTATGCTACTCTTAGTATTACCGAAGCTGGTAAAATGTTTCTATACGTATACTTATTATTATTTATTTAGTATATATTTACGTATACTAAATAACCATGTCCTTAAATAATCAGAATATAAATAATCATAAATAAGAGCAAAAGAGAGGTCTAAGTATAGAATAAATAAATTCACCACCAAATAGATTAGGCTGAAATTTAGGCTGTGCATTATTGTGATCATAAAATCATAATCAAAGCCAAGGTATAAACCGATAATTCCCCTCAAGAACTCGTATTAGGAGCGATAATCTTCGTGTACACATTATAATGATTGAAGCAGAATAGAAAATGCATTCTTTCAGACTAATTCACAAGAAGTTGGCTTCAGCTGATTGTATGAGAACTATGAAAAGAAAATTGGAAACAAGTTAATTTTAAAGGCACACCAAGCACACTTTAGGCCATCCAGTGTGCTATCACTAGTCACTACTTCACATCAAAAGATGCGTTTTTGGACTTTATTCATGCATAATAATTTATGTGACACACCTTCGAGTGAAGGTTTTTCTTCTTCCAGTTTCTCTGGCTCATCTGAACCAGTGGTTTCATAAAGTCTTGTAATTTTCATCACGTCACCTCCATTATCTTTCCCACCAGAACGTCCGATATCAACCCTACAACGAATTGTAATATTACAAGTCAAACTTGATCGAAATATAAAATGATGAAACCTTAGTTACGATCTTTTATCGACGATGCCACTATGATAAATTCTATATACTCGTTGAAAACACAAAATAAAAAATGTTTTAATATTGACCAACCTGTATACAGCAGTCTCCTCGTTATCTTCACTCTCCGCTTCTAATTTTTTCTTCGGGTAGATTCTCTGATAAACATTATTGGCATTCGGGTCCATTGTCCATCCTTTGATCACGTTTATAGATAGTGCCTCGTTGATAGGGTTCTTCCCAGTCGTTTTGACTTTTCACTTCCTCCCGTTCACTGGTAGTCTTCGAGCTCTCGTACGTTTGTCTGTGACGCGATGTGAGGTCAGTTGTCCAGCCTTTGATCACGTGTTTATGGATATGGTCTGCATCGTGACTTCTTTCAACGCCTGTCTCGTTTGAACGCAAGTTTCTTGGAATTCTCTAAAACAGAACCAGAAGTACATCAATACGATATATCCTCCAGTAAACCAACATATAGTAACAAGTTAAATCAGTTGAATACCCGGTCATAATTCTTAATAAATTTCTTGTATCTTAAATAGTCTTTCATCTCTTTGACTTTCTCTCTTTCAGTGATCCCCAGCCTTTGCATTCTCTTCTGAAACTCGTAGTCCAACAACGCCTGGTACTGCTGTTGAACCTGGGATGAATCATATCAGATGATTTGTAGGGTTCCTGTTTTTATTGTTTATATTTACAATGTTTTGTTTACCTGAGTTTTCATATGAGACATGAATATATCGAGCAATGCCCCACAAATATTGCTTCTGACCCATTGTAAGTTCTTTGTTTTTCAAATGTGGATTTGTTTTAACAAAAGGTGGTAAATTGATAGCTTTACCAAATCGAGATGGCACCTCAATGCTGTCTGACGTCACCTCAGTTTTTTGAGAAATCCCAGTTTGTCTGGATGAGTTTGAAGAAACACGTTGTACAGCAGCTTTACGGACATGGTCGGTCATATAAAGATGAGGTGGGGTACAACTACGGCTGCGTGGTGTGAACGCTCGAGTATGGTAGAAATCTAGATGGACAAATACACAGAGATGTTCGTCAGACACACATAAACGCAACATTTTTATTTTCAAAATCACCAGTTCAATTGGAGTAAGTTGGCGACTGAATCAGCGTCATTTCAAAATGAAATATCCACAAAGAAGTCTGTCTCGTTAAAATATTTCAAACCTGATGACTTGTAGTTGGTGTAATATGGGAATGGAGATGAACTGGTTGATCCAAGAGCAGGAGATTTGGGCGAACTAAAAATGGCAAAACAAAAACACAATATGCTTTATCAGTGTCACTTTACTCAGTTGATACAAGTTGTTGAATGTTCTCAAGTTGTCATCAAGTCCTGGAGTTAGAAAGCGATAACATGCAGGTGGTAAATCTTGTTAAACGATTTTTCAAATCTTGTAAAATAAGAAGTCTAAAATAATCCGGACAATGAGTTGTTGAAACGACACCGGAAATCTGGCGCAGATTGTCAGAATTCTGAGTCACTTTACCTTTCTCCTGATCCTCGTGAGGAATCCTGTTTAAAAGCCGAACTTTGTCGAGATTTGTTGCTTTTTGTGTCATCGTTATTAGGAGGCAATGGCGTGCTGTGATCTCGAGGTTGCAAAGGTGATCTTGTCTGGTACTAGGGAAATAAATAAGATGGTAGATTAGAAAGATAGCGTATAGATTTGAAAGGTTCGTAGTCAGATTTTCCTGGTAAATAACAACAGTTTCAAACTCAACCTTTGCTAAAGAGGAGTTGTTCACAGTCGGCTGAAGAACTCGAAACGTTTTCATTCCACTTGAAGTCATAAACGATCTTGACCTTTTGTCCTCTGTCTCCGTGACTCGTTTGGGCAAAACCCTTGAAAGAAAATTCAGGAAAGGTCGCCGGTTGGTTAACCAAAATAACATCATCATTCGGTCAGGTTAAAGCTGGGCAAAGTTAGAAAGCAACTTATATATAGACAACTAACAACTTTCATAGTTTTGCAACGAGGTCGCTTTCAGGGCAGGATTAGTATAAACCAAATTAGCATAAAAAACTTGATGCATCCTCCCCGTGATTCATGCGAATATAATTTTGTATAACATCACTCAATGAAATTGCGTTGTGATTCCCTAGTTTAACAGATTGGATGCCAAAAACATTGTGATTGTTTCTTGTTGAATTATTCTTAGGTAAAGCGACGTCATACGGTTCTGTTGTAATCTCAAAATCATTTTGCATTGGACAGGATGAACGTTCATTTGTCTTATGTTCACCTTTCGTATCAAATATCTACCTAAAGAACTTGGTAACCATCAGTTACATCTACAACATAGTTTAACATGTGTAAAATATCACTCAGTCCAACAGAAGAATGTATATACATTTCTATGAGCACTTATATTGCTCCGCACTGTCTGAAATTTAATAAGGCACTGGGTACCAGTTTAAAGTTAGCAATATCTTCAATACCATTCTATATATCATTAACATTCTGGTGTATATAACTTAATACTACTTCACCTAATATAATCTTATTACCTTGCTTGGCTATCCCTCATCCTTAAAGAAATATTCTATAAGATTCCAAATACCCAATACCCGGCCGTTCACTTGATGAAGTTTTCCTGACCCTCTTTTGTAAAACAAACAATTAATTCATATCAACACATGGTCACCAACAGCAACCAGTGCATAATAATGAGGTTACTTAATGTCACGTTACGTTTTATTTACATATCAAGTGCATAAGTATATTAAGTATATATTGTGATAGCTTTACGGTATCCAAGGGCAAACAGGTCATCGATTACGATCATGCTGAGAACCTTCGTTTTACTAAATCTTAAATTTATTTTCTCCACAAGTTTTGAAACGGCAGAACGAGACGTGAGAAATACCAAATCGCTCTCCGTCCAAACAATTGGAATCTTAGATTTTGTTCGGTGGGAAAAGACGGTAAGAACCTGACAGTAGAACCAGCAACGAGTTTCACAAAGGCAAAATTTGTTTCGATTTTTGAATGATCGGAGAACATGTGCAAATCAGAGCATTCATAAATGAATCACTCATTTCCGCAGTACAACAAAATACAGGGAAGATATTGGAGAAACGTTTGCCTGTGCAATACAGGAATTTAAATTAAAATACAACAGAGTAGATAAAACAATAAATTAATGGACGTTTCAGTTCTGGTTAAGCCTTTTCAAGACCGCGGGATACGTTCCATTGTCGTGAAATAAAATGTTTGCATTTAGTTGTGCATGCCCTGTCCATATATGCTAGGTGTGCATCAGGACTTGATCACATCATTGTGTACCCACAGATGTCCCATAAAATGTTCAAGAATGATCCCATGATGACCCAGAAGTCCTTCAACGGGAGTAAGGATGGTATCTTGCGCTGGCAGCCCCAGGAGTGCCGACACCAGGTCCCGCACCATAACCGCGGCCAGCTACTTCTAGACACAAAAAACAAACAAGAAATATCTCAATGATAGTCAATTACTCTGGTAAACCCCAATGTTTTTGCTGTGATGGCACCCAATAAACTTACCAGACACTGTAAGTAAGAACGAAATTTTTACGTTTATCCGCTTAGATCCGCAATGAAATAAGATCTTTCAAACTAGATTGCTTTATGTTATTTAAACGAACAAATTTGCAGATTTCTGTTAGGAAATCAGCACAAGAACGATCATTGAGTTGTCATGAACGAAACTGAGGGTATCATTTTTTATCTCCTCTTATCCTTATATGGTCTTACCTCACCATGTGACCACAAGGTCTAGGGCCCAGAACCTCCCCTGACCTTTATGTCATGATGTCATCAGTACACACGTGGCCACTCCCCTGTTGCCAGGCAACCAAACACCACGTGACCAGCATATTGTACTGCCGTTATTGACCGTTCGTACAACCATTAATAGTGTAAACATTACTGCTATCGAAAATTCTTAGAAATATATTATGTACATTTAAGTCTCTTAAAACGAAACTATAAGTTCATATTTCACAAAATTTCTCAAAAATTAGAAATATGCTACAATTAGTGAAATTTCTATGAAATTATGTAGCAATATAAATATTCTATATACATGTGTCAATTTTTTGTTAAAAATTTAACAATATAATTGCCTTTTAGGCAAATAATTCTCTATTTTTACGATATAGAGTGATTGTAGTTTATGTACAAATTTTCAAATTCCTATGAGCGTTTTCGTATGCGACGCCGCCATTAGGCGTGAAAATATTTACGATATGAATATTTATGTTATTATTTTTTATACGGAGGATATAAAAGGTCGTACGAAGGGCCGGTTCGATAGACTGGACGTCCTTTTGCGAAAAGAAAGCAAATTAGCATGTGAACAATTTAGCTAAAGTTTTCTTTATGGTAAAGTGTTAAGTATTTCTTTAGTTTATCATAAAGTAAAAAATACAAACAATAAATTAGAAACACAAGTTTTGTGGCATATTTGAGGAGCAATTTTGAATGAAATTAATGAAAGAGTAGGAGAGATTTTCAGTTAGCCAAGAATTCATAAGTTCGCTAAGTTTTTGTACGTTTTTGTTAGTTTACATGAGACCTTGAGCAAATTTGTTTGAAAATGGAATTTGTAAGTTAAGCAAAGTTTAATATTTATAATAATTTATTATTTTTATCCGCTCAGCAAAGAGGCTTATAAAATGACTAGAAACTAACCTGGATATCTTACTGCTGCGAAGCTCTGTGCAGGTTGTACTTCATAACCGGCAACACTACCGTAGGGCGAGGCAGCAACGGCACCAGGTTGCGAGTATCCAGGAGGATAACCAATTGAGTATGCTGGTGCAGCACCAGCAGGATCTGTTGCTTGATAGAGGACTGTTGGTGTTTGGTATTGACTATACCCAGTTGCGGGAACACCATACCCAAATGAAGCACCAACCATGCCACGCCCAACCCCTCGGTAACCTCCCATTTCCTGAGCCTTCTTTGCAGCCTGTTGTTCTTTTGATAAAGCTGGTTTCACTTCAACCTAGATAGTGCATGAAACAAACATGCAGATAAGACAAACCCTCAAGTTTTAAGGTTTATTGAAAGAAAATATATGTAATCCAGCATTATATTATAAGAACAGATCATTCACCTTTATTCCCTGAGCAAGATCATGATACTGTTTCTGCATTACCATATCAACTACATCTTCATTGTCAAACTCCACAAAGCAAAAACCTCTTCTTCGATTTGTTTCTTTTTCTTTCACAAGATCAACATCCACAACCTAACACAAATAACAGAATCTCTGATGAAACTGAACAAAATAAAATATTCTACACAACCATCATAATACAAAAGTCTAAATACATATCAACATCAAAGGGGATATTGTTTTTGTCTGGACATGGACAAATAATCCAGAATTCACAATGCTTAATTAAAGCATAAAAAATACCCAAGAAATAGTCCACTTCATACTTGAATACCAATGAAGGCAATGATAATAAAATGCTTAATATAAAAAACAGAATACATACCGTGCCATATTGAGAGAAATAATTTCTGACAATTTCATCAGGAGTATCTGGTTTTAGTCCACCCACAAAGATCTTCTTTGTTTTTGTGCTATTGTGTGGCTAAGTCAAAAGAAAAACATTGTTGAATATATTATTTCTGTGAAACAATTGAATAAAGATTCTTCAAATCTTTAAGTATTGTCTTACTCTTCCCTGTGGTGAGGCTTTCTTAGGGTCAACCTACATGAGCAAAGATGGTAGAGAGTTAACTTTCCATCATGTTGAAATATACACATCTAAATTTGATATAATGAAGACCTACCTTTTTCCCATCAATGACATGTGGTCCCTCATCTAAAACCTTAATAAAAAGAGACCAAGGCAGCCATTAGTTAAATATAAATCAGTGTTGCCTTTGATTTACACAGAAACAGACAAAGTTCCGCAAGAAAAACCTTACCCGTTGAGCGCAAGTGGGATCTTTAAATTGTACAAATCCAAATCCTCTGAAATAAAAAAGTAAATTTATAGGAACCAAAGGTCTTCATGTAGCTTTCCTGTTTAAGTTAATGTTCTTGTTGTATTTAATCAGTATGTTCATCTCAGTTACTAGAAGTTCATATTTCATACTAAATTGAACAAACAAGTCCTTATATTTGCTTAGCAATAACTGAAGATACATTGAGGTCTTGTAATATGTAATTAAGTTTTATTGATTTAATTGTGATGATAGCCAACACCCACATGTTACCTCCAAAAATAGAGTTTTGGCTAGGTTGGTTTATTCAGACAAGCTGCAAATCTGCCTATCAGAGTTTCATATCACCACAACTAACAAATTGGTTATCATTTGGTTCCTTGTGGGAAGGCTCTGAGCACCCGAACTGATTGGAAATCTTACAAACAACACTTCAAACATTTCAAACACATTCCTTAAACATATTAGACTAAAGAGGAAGTCAAGTTCCTGCTGTGAAAGCACCTTACAGCAACATAATTGTCAAAATAAAAGTGTCAAAAGCTCTATCTCATCTTGTCTTGATACAAATATTCTATATCATTGTGTGTCAGTTTGGTAAATACAGACTGAATCGAGTTTTGTACAAGTTGAAAACTCGGGCATTCAAAGTCGAATAAAGATTTAAGTTCAAGTTCACATAAAACGAAAGTGCATGTTTGATACTTTTCTAATCACGTGTTCTCAGAACTGTCAACAATCTAGCGTCGTTTTCGTGGAAAATTTCTAAACTCTTGTAGCAAAAAATCGACGTATAATCGTTAGCAGAGATAAAGTTACTGTCTTACCTTGGGCGTTTTGTTATTTGATCAATTTTGACATTACAATCGGAAACTTCGCCGTAGATCGAGAAATATGTTTTGAGCGATTCTAGAGAAGTCACAACGAAACTATGAAACGATTTCAAAACTCGTAAATTTAACATGGACAAGTCGCACAAAGACTTTGATTCCAGTAGGATCTAAAGCAATGCTCTGTAATGTAGTGTTGTGAGGAGAAAGAGGACATTATTGATGGTAAAAATCGACTTTGAAATACATACCAACTGTTGTTTCCCTGCTAAGCGCGCCGACGAACAACTTCCTGGCGAAAATAAAGCAAATTTTTTGTAAACCACTTAGTACAAAACATTTATTGAGAGGCTATATATAAATCGTTTAAAACCAAGCAATTGTGAAGGGTTTAGTCGGGCTAGATTTCGTAAGTTTCAATAGAAAATATTCGATTTTTGTAGGAAACAACAAGTCTAAATGTGACAAACTTCACCAAATAAAAGCGGTCGAAACAAGCACTTTTCCCTCAATGAAATGGCAAGAAACCTTGCCAGACACTAAATTAAAGCCTTTACTCACCCTTCGTCGCCAACTCCGCTCATTTTTGGTCCAGATCGTGCACTATTCTCGCCGTTTAAAGTTGAAATCTGCGTGGCCATAGCACAACACTCGAACAGATTTTGTATGGAACGAAACGCTTTCCTATTTTCGTTGCGCGCGCAGTTGATATAACAATGACGTATTTTGATTGGTCGACAATGTCGAAGAGATGAAGCTCTGGAGTCTGGGGCCGGGGAACGAGTTTGGCAACTGGTTTGTTATTTCAATAGGAAAAGTGTCCTGGACATCTTCCATTTTTACCACAAAACAGTTGTCAAGTTGATTATGCCATTTCTAGCGAATTTATTAACAAGTTTTAAAGCAATCTGCATAAAAGTGGGTGCATCTTTTGTCCCCCCTAATACCATCTATATTACGATGATTAGACCAATTGCTCTCTATTGTTATCCGTTTTTGATGGGTATTTCTAATACGCTGAATGACAAGTTAGAATTAATCCAGGGACGAGCATCAAGGATTATTACCCAACCCGGTAACATCCAATTACATATGGACAGTCTTAAAACATTACGAAAACGTCGTTTAGTTGTGGATGTTTTTAAATCTCTTATCCATATTGGAACACAATCAAATAAAATTATGTTTGAGAGACTTGTACCTGGAAAAAACACTCGCGGAAATGGGTCATTCGCAAAACTCCCGAAAATCCATACGGCAATTGGAAAGAAGTCATTTGCCTATCAGGGGGCACTGATGTTTAATGATCTGGACAAATCTCTTTGGGACGAATGTTCTCTTTTAAAATTTAAGGAGAAAATAAGTAATATTTATTTACATTGAAACTAGTTAAACAGCTACACACTTAAATATACTCAGAAATGAAACAGGACATTAGTTGACAAAGAACAAACAAAACATTTGAAAGAGATTCTTTAATGAGCACGCACACACTTACACTATGATAGAACTCTATCATCAGAGTCTAGCTGACGATCAAGATTCAACAGAAAATGAGATGGAAATGACTAGGAACTATGAAAATTGGGACAAAGAAGTCTGGAAACGACCTCGCTTCTATTTCCTAGAGGCCCCAGAACAAGAAAATGCCCGTTTAATTTGTTGCCATATTTTCCACGAGTGAACTTCATATTTTCATCTTTCACATGCAGGGAATGCTGTAAAACGACATAAAAAGTAGAGTATAAGTGAGATTTTAAACAGGAAAATGAAAGGTCCGCACTTTAATTTGGTTTGTTTGATGTCTCAAATTTGAAGTTAATTCACCTTGCTTTCAAGATGCATACAAGTGTTTTTAAATAGGCTCGAGTGTTCCATCTCTTTTCGGAAATTCTTCGCATCGTTTTTGTGGAAATGAACGCTAAATAAATAATACTCATAGTTAAATCATCTTGACAAGACCCGACATACAAGCGTTGTACAACATTCTACACTGGTTATGTACATTAATTTACTCACGGATCTGCCGGCCTGGGTGGTTGAATTATGTGCGTGATCAGAAAGCTCAGATCTTTGTATTTCCGGCTGGAAACTGGAGCAATTATTACTTGGACTCGCGTCTCTTCTTCTTGTTCTCTTCCTCTAAAAGAGATCGTATTTTTTAGGGTTGCATTTGGCAAGTGATTAACCATTTGAAAGAAATATTTTGCATCCTAAGAAATCACAACACTGCATACCTTGATATATAAACCTTGTTGTGCGAGTACCGTAGACTGCTCAATCTCCATGTTCCCATTATGTGGGTCAGTTGCACTAAATTGATTATCTGGTGATGGCTACATTGACAGAGAGAAACACCAGCCTACAGTCCATAATCTTGAATCATCTATGAATTGCGTATCTCGCGCTCCTGCGGATCAAAATCTGGCTACGACAAAGGACATGTACCTCTCCACATAAATTGCCATACCGTGCACTCCGACGGATCTCCCTTGTCTCCTACGAAAAGCAATGGATTGTTAAGGATTGTTCATTATCATCTCATTATATATTGTTTGAATTGCATTCGACAGAATCTGGCTACGACAAAGGACATACATTGCCGCCTCCATTTTTCTCTCCAATTCTAAGTTGGGAAAATTGTGTTAAACGAATAATCTTTGCTTGGACATACATTGACTGATCCAAGATTTTCCTGAAAAAGAAATGAAACAGGACATTAGTCACAACCAGCTTACTTTGAAACCTTCCACGTCATCATCATCATTGTCATTTGACCATTTCACCTGTTGACTTTTTTCACCTGTTCCCTCCCCACGGCGGCTGCTTTACTTCTTCATTAATCTATTGCAATGTGAAAAAGAAGAAAAAAGATCAGTTTTATGTCTTTTTCCCTGGAAATCTAAGTTGAGAAAATTGTGTTAGACAAATAATCTTAGATCTTTATAGTTGTAAATATATAATATAATTTCTATCTTATATTTTGTAAACCAGTGTAATTGTTTGTATATACTTGTTATATTGTAAATAATTATGTAACTAGTTTATAACATAGGGACAATTGTGTAATTCAGTCTATACTGCAAAGCAATTGATTAATAAACAGATATTATCATAATCAACCTTTGCTTGAAACGTTGTATTAGGTGAGGTAAATTTTAGTTGGAAGAAGTAAATTGCCGTACCTCGCGCTCCTGCGGACCTCCCTTGTCCCCTACGAAAAGCAATGAATTGTTAAGGATTGTTTATTATCATCTCATTATATATTGTTTGAATTGCATTCGACAGAATCTGGCTACAACAAAGGACATGTACCTCTCCACTCCCATTCTTTTTCTTAATTCTAAGTTGGGAAAATTGTGTTAGACGAATAATCTTTGCTTGAAACGTGATAATTTGTAAGGTAAAATTGAAAAGAAATAAACTGCTGTACCTGGACGAACGCCGTAACCTTATTTCAGTCTACAAAAGCAATGGATTGTTAAATTAAAAGAAATAAACTGCCGTACCTCGAGGAGCTTGGGCGTCTAGGTTGATCTATAGTATGTATATAGTATATAAAAATCAAACTCTCCCCAAAGGGGCTATTCACTATTCAGAGTCAAATACCCTGCCTTAATTTAAATACTATATCTAGGATCTATAGAAAATCAGTAATTAGATTAAAGTTTCTAAAATGTGTCTCCGAAATTTACTATTAAATTATTAAATATAGACGTGAAGTCTTAAGCGTGTTTCCTGCGGAAAACTACAAGCAATGGATTGTTAAGATGGGCGAATATTTCCTAATCATTCAAACAAGACAACGAACAGACAACTAACAAACCAAATGACTCTTACTTTTTCTTAGCTTTTCTTAGTCTATTGCAACGAAAAGATAAAAACAGCTCAGCTTTAATCTGGCTAGGACAAAAGACATACCTTTACGGATCCAAGATTTTCCTGAAAAAGAAATGAAACAGGACATTAGTTGAGAAAGAACAAACAAAACATTTGAAAGAGATTCTTCAAAGAGGACGCACACATTTACACTACAAATTAAACGGGCATTTTCTTGTTCTGGGGCCTCTGGGAAATAGATGCTGGAAAGTGGAGGAATTATTGCTTGAACTCCACCAGTCTCCTCTTCCTCTAAAAGCGATCGTATTTTTTTAAGTTGCATTTTGCAAGTGATTAACCATTTGAAAGAAATATTTTGCATCCTAAGAAATCACAACACTGCATACCTTGATACATACTTTAGACGGCTGTGTGGATTGCTCAATTTCCACATTTTCTAATTTAATTTTTTTGTTGATGAGATCTGCTTATCATTTTCAGTTACGTCTATATTATCTTTAGAATTCTCATCAGGCTGACAGCAGGTGAAATCTGTCTTACTGCAGTTTCCACTCACTGATGGGTACTAAGAAATAAAACATCAACATAAATTTGTTATTCATTTGGGAAAATGTTTTAGACAATTAAGCAAGCTAGCTTATGATATATCTGCAGTGCAACACATTTAGAAAAGCAGTATTTCTACACTAGTATTATAATTACATACCATTTAAATGTATATAAATAAGTTTTAAAATATACACATATATTTACTTCATAAAATGGTGGTCTTTGCGGCGACTCTTCAATAGGACTTGCTAAGAGTGATGTCAGAAAAAAAAGATCTACCTTTAAGCACATTTGAAACAAATAAAAAAATCATGATTTATTGAAGAAAAGTAAAATCACCATGATGGCTATTTTCATCAGACTTTTTCTTACCAGTTTTCTCAGAAATCTTTCCATAAAAATTTGATTAGAACATTAATTTTCAAACTACTTTGAGTGTATATAAGTTTCGATACAAAATTTCCAGAACGTAAATTAGCTTGTAGCTACACCACGGCGGCATTAAAGTAGTTACAAGAATATTATTTTTCAGTACGTTCATTAGCTTATCACTACATCAGTTAACATCGCTATTTCACCAAAAATTCTACATAATTCACGAGAGATACAAACATATAAACCTAAACTCTCTTCAGCAATACCACGGAGCAAACAGCTGGGGAAAATAATAGCGTTGGGGAAAAATTGAACATATTTAAGTACAAAACTAACAGATTGGAAAATTTACCTCTTTTTGTCGATTCCGGACATCTTCAGTTCTGATTATTCTTGACTTCTAATCTTGTAATCAAATAAAAAAACACATTTGAAAAAATCCGCCATTCTTTTATAGCGAAGAAATCAGTGTTTCCACTTTAGAAAATCAGAAAATAATTTTTTCTCCTTATTTTCACTAAAAATTTCTTTAACAAATTGTGAAATTTCCTTCACATTTCCTTCAAGCAATTAAAAGAAATTATGTTGAATATGCTCTAAAAAAGCCTTTTCTCAAAATACGATCATCGTAATGTTCAATTTTATCATTGCTCTAAAGTCTGAATACAATTATACTTCGTACAGAAAACTGACAGAGCTAAAACTATAAACAGAATTGCATCATTCAGAATAGACCCGTAGCTTCAAAAGTCATAGTTTTGACCTCAATTGATCTTAAACGAATGAACAATCAAAACTTGCATTTAAAAATTTATGTAAATTACGTGCATATAGAGGCGTGAAGGAAAAAGGTAGCTACTTTTAATACTTTGAATGTTTTAGATGTAATTATTATAATTTATTTTACACAATTATACAAAATAAGTATTAAACGAAGTATTTCAAGTAAATTAATGGCATTTATTCTATTTATTAATTATTTTTCGGTTAATAAGTTATGCGCAAGGCATCTATGTAGTCAGATTTAGGCTTATTTTACGCTTTTTTTTCAAAAAGATCATAATATTACTAATATTGGTAAAATTTTGAAATTTCCTTCAAATTTCCTTCATCTTACAAAAAAATCCTTTTAAAAGGACATTTCCTTCAAAGTGGAAGCGCTGTAATGAAATAAAAAAAAACATTTGAAAAAACCAGTGAACTCTAAAAAGAGTATTATAAGATTATTATTAGAGTAAAGAGTCTTATTAGAGTTCACTGGAAAAAACCCGCCATTCTTTTATAAGCGAAGAAAACACTGAAAAGAAAATCAAGAAATGCCTTGTCGCAGGCTTTAAAACCTACATTTATATAGGTCAGTGGGGCCCAATGACCTTAATATACACTGGACAATTATTTACGTTATTTACGTTACGTAATGTTTATTACGTAAGTGGTGAAAAATAATATAAACTTAAAACTTTTTACATAGTATTTTAGATATTTATACAACACACAACAGACGAAGAAAATGACTTCTTTATACTTTGAAGAACACGACTGCAGCGACAATGAAGGCGACAATCCAGCTTTGGATCTACTTTTGCTTGCGAGGTAGGAATATAGTCGTATTGTTGAAATTGTTGACTTTCATTTACAAAAATAATACGATATGTCATATGTCTAGTCAGTAGTCATGAATGATTTGATGGGTCTTTCTATTTTCTGACAGACGTTGTTTTATAAAGTTGATTGTTTTTTCAGAATGTTTATGAGAAGTGAAGGAATGATTGATGTGGATATAAACAGGTATGAATGATATATTTCTAACTTGAAATTATCATATTAAAATAATGAAACAGTTGTATTTTTATTTGTTCAGTTTTTCTGAAGAACTAAAGGCACCTCCTGCTTCAAAGAAAGTCGTCCAAGAATTGCCAAGAACCAAGGCTAAAAATACACCGACAGGTCATCACTAAAATAACTAATGTTGTACATCATTACTGCATGGTGCTCAGAGTGAAGAGACAGAGTACTGTTAATTGTTAGAGCCACAATGGTAGTTCTCATTATAAGGTCGAAATATAATCAGACAATTGCATGTTACAGGAGTCAAGTTTATCTGAGTTACGTTTTTACCTTAATCACAGAGATGAATGACACAATTTGTTACAAAACACTGCAACACTGACATCTAGCTAATAATTGCAACATTTTTTACAGGAAAGGCATCTTGCCCTGTTTGTTTAGAGAAATATGAGGTATACAGAAATGTTTATAGATCAATTTAAGGTTGAGACTTTCGTCTTGATTTTTTCTCATCTTCTTTTAGAAAAAAGAAGTCTACATTGAATTGCCTTGCATGCACAAGTTTCACGAGGACTGCATTCTGTCTTGGTTAAATCAGGTAACAATGAAGGCATGCTATGTAGTTAACCTGATATCATATTATGTAAGATTTACATCTTATTTTATAGACAAACTCATGCCCAGTTTGCCGTCATGAGTTACCAACAGACAATTCAGAATATGAAGAAATGAGGATCCAGAAAGTCAGTTAATAATGATTTCATAGAAAGTTCTAAGCTTGCAAGCTAACTCAATTGTTTTAAATAATTTTGTTTTATTTTTTAAGGAACATGAAAAGCAACGAACGTTTCGAGTGGCGGCGTTACATTCCAGTATGTTCTGCTGACAAGCTCAAAGCAATTTCACATCCTAATGTGTAGAAATAACATATATATACTAATACTGTAGTCAGGGATGATGGGGAACAGGGAGTATGAGCATGGGTTACCAGGGTTGGGATTTCAATAGCTTAGGTAATGGTGTGATATTTTTACCAATGCAGGTTACAGTCCTGCAGAAATCTTTAGAGGCTTTTGTTTTATTATAAACAAGCAGCGAAATGAGAGGAGAATGTTGAAATTTTAAGCAAGGAACCTTGCAACAAGTATCTTGCTCAAAATGACAAGGTTCGTCTTTACATTTTTCATCTTAACAAATATTAAAAGCGCCATTTGTGGATAAATTGTAAAAAAAAACATGTAATATGTGAAGAAAATATAAATATAGAAAAAAAGATTTGCTTTCTTGCTCATTAGTTGTTTAATTAAGGTTGCGCATGCGTAGTGGTACTCATACCCAACGTCCCACAATCATTGCTTCTTCAATTTGCTCTTTCCCGTTCATGAGCCTGGGTACGACGTCGATTATTCCAATGCTAAATGAAGTATCAAGGTATACAACAAAATCTGATTAAATATTCCATTTGAAAATGTATGAATTTTGAGTTAAATTTTCGATATTTAATGCAAAATATTTACAGAAAAAATGGCTGAAACGGAGATAAAACATTCTGAACAAGAGGTAAACCCTGGTACTTCGGTTAAGGGTGAGATTTCAAGCGAAATTGCAGCTGATTCTGGTCAAGCGGTGAATGAAACTGCTTCGAGGAGTGATGAAATTAAGCCAGCTACATTAGAGGAATCTTGTCGAAATATGTTTACAAATATTTCTGAATATTTACAATGTGAATTGAATGGTTAGTTAAAGATACCTTTTTTGACAGCTTCTATACTGGATAACTGTGTTACCCATCTCTTGTATCTTTTGAAACAGCATCTTTGGATGACTATGAGTTGTTAGAAAAGTTGAACCAGTTGACGAAAGAGAAGTACGATGAAATGGATAATACAACAAAAACTTTAATCACAAGAATGAAACAAATCAATGAGAAATGTAAGTTTACCTTGAAGAGTTTGCAGATTTCCTATGGGTGTGCCAGAATATTTCACCATTCGGCATTCTTTGGTATTTTGCACCCTCGAGAAGCGTTTACACCCCCAGAAAATGAATTGATTGATTGCTTATTTAAAAGATAATAGCTGTGAGTGAAATAGCCATGCCCAAGGAGTGATATTATCTGGCTATGCCACTGTCAATAGCTGTTAAATATTTAACGTTTTAGATGAGAAATTGAAACCATATCTGGATATGATTGACAAAGTTGATGCAAGTGTGACAAGTCTAGAAGCTGCCGCCCAGAAACTGGACACTTATTCCAAAGAATTAGGTCATACATACATACATATCATTCGTTTCTTTATAAATTTATCAATCTCACTTCCTGCCACCTAAATTTTCATTCAAATATGAACAAAATGTGCTAAAATAATTTTTATCATTTTTTATTTAGAAGCAAGGTTTAAAAAGTTAGAGAAAGCAGCAACATAAATATGACCCAAAAATTTATGAAATGATGCAGGAAAAAATATATATTTATATATGGATATTACTGAGGAATTAACAGTAATGGGATTCAGGGTGTGTCAGAATTATTTACGCAGCCTTATTTCTAATTCAATGCCTCAAAAACAACGCTAGTTGTCAGTGGAATATTTTTACATGAAAATAGAGTTATAGTAATTTATTCTGACTGACCCTGTGAACCAAGTTGTATTAAAAGGCAGTTAGCCTTTATGTATAGTTACTGAGAGTATAAACTAATCAGGGATCTCTACTTTGCATGATCTATAATTTATCTACTCTCAAAATGTAGTGAAGAGTTTTGTACGACTGGTCATAGTGCTAAGCATTTTGTGAATTCTCTATCAAAATTAAAAACATTTTTTTAACGTGAAACAAATCTGAGATTATGTTTTACCGCATGCGCATTATTTCTGAAATCATTGTCTGTGAAAGTCAGCGCTGAGTTTGCATTACGAGGGTGTACCCCTCTACCTCACTCTTCCCTGCCCAGCCATGATTTGGTGCAAGGATGAAATGAAAACCATGAAACGGTCAAAACTAATAACGTCGGAAAAAGACTTCTTCTCAGAAGATATTTTGCGTTTCAATTCATTCACCATCAATCATCGTTTGACGCTTTTTGAGCTTAATTTACCCGATTTACGCCGGCCAAATTGCATTCACGCAGCAATATAAGTAAAGATAATCCTTTTGTAATATTAATGGATCAACGTGAAATCCTATTTCTCAACCCCTACGATTGACTGATTTTTTCGTCTAATAACTCAATTTATAACGAATAGACTGGCAAAGATGATTTCTTAAACATAACAGGAAAGTAACGATAACAGGGAGACTAATAATGCCTGCTTCCTTGGAGGTCCTAATCATGTTGCCTATGATTAGTCTAACATTTTGAATAATGATTTTTTCAACACTATAACTAACGAAGAGCGAAGTGTCAATCAAATTCATAGATTTATTTCAATATGAAAGAAAGGCGAAAAAACAATTGAGCAAGGTGTTAACAGTAACACAGCAAGATATCCTACAAAGACGTGGATTTTTTCAACAAGTTTTTGCGATCAGGTTAATGGTTTCTTGATAAAACCATACCTCATGAAATGCTTTGCCGGGCATCACAACATCTTTCAAAAAGATTTTAGGAATTTAGCCGGGGAAAATTATTGTAATACTGTACTATTTTATTGTAAGATCCTCTACCGCCACACTGAATTATATCACAATTCACGATGGCAATTTCCTATCAAATGCTTCTTCACATATGAACAAGGAGTTAAGGGTCATAACTGCCTTTCCTTCGACCGTGTTTGAGATATCTTTTTCAGGTAGTCCAGACACAAACCATAACACTTTATTACACAACATTTTGTAACTATGCAGGCATCAGACTGAATTATTGCGACTGAAGCACATATTACCATACATATTAAATGTTTGTATAAGATCGAGGCTGGGATCAAATGGCGTGGAAATTATCTTTAGGTACTGAACTATTTTTTTCTTCATCGTTCGGCTGGTAAAATAACTGGAAAATCAAAGATTCCAAACCACATCAGTTAAGCCGCAAACGACATTGCTGAAACTCATGTGAAAAACTTCAGCTTGACATAAAACATTCACAACACAATGAAACTCAAAACTCGTGATAGGTAACTTAGGTAACATAAGCCGCGTCAATCAATTTAGGGGGCAAAGCTCTTGTCTTACAGGACAAAGCGAAGCAAACTTCCTAAATATTGTGAAAACAACGCTGCTTCAAATATAAGCCGAAGGGCTTCGGTAAAAATTGTAGCAAAGATCAAGTTTAATAACCGAACGATACATGAAATATTCACAAGCCAACAATGGCGTGTCTTGCTCAATGTGATAATTTCGAAATGACAATCAGCGCGTTTGGATAACGCCATTAATTCACGATTCATCAAGCACATCAAAGACACCGGCTCTCCATCAATCCAGCTATGTTTACAGAGAATGTCGTATCATATGAGATATGATCAAGCGACATCATCCCAGCTTAAACCTAAACAATTAACTATGCTACGCCGCAGTGTAAACATTATGTGGGTTTCTCCTTGAAACTGTCAACACTTTAATTACTTGATAAGTGACATGCTGCGCTCAAGATAAGAGGAGCGACTCGGGGTTCGTGGAGGTCTTCCCGTGGATCGAGGATTCGTATTTCACTATATGATTGCGTATACATCCACGAGCGCTTTCGAAGCATTTCCCAGACAGTGGTCGGATACCTTGTGGAGTTGTGGAAGTCGACCAACAATGAAAAATTGCGAGAAATCATGGAGAGACTGGTGGAGGAAAAAGTTCTAAATAAATGGTTGACAAAGGTTGCTGCTATATTGTGAAGATATCTGAGTTACTAAATTATGGAAGAGGACAGAGATGGAAAGATCCAGATGGACGTGAAACACTCTGTTACAAGAACGACAATCAGATGGAATACAGAGAATAAGATGAAGAGATATTAGGAAGATTTCTGAGGTAGCTAATGAGTTGATGAAGAAGACCGGCGACAAAGATATTGTGTCTTCTGGAAAGATCTAGCGATCAACTTGATAAATGTGGAAACACTCTTTACAAGAACGACAATCTGATGAAAACAAGATGAAGTGATATTGAAAAGATGTCTAAGGTAACGAGTTGGAAAGGACAGCGACAACGATGCAGTGTTCTCTGGAAAAAGCTAGATGCCGGGACGTTTAACACTCGATAGAAGAATGATAATACAAACTGGGAGATATTGCATGCCTGCCATATCACATAATAATGGAGGAACATTGTTATGGAACCCTTTTGACAATCATCACAGTTTACAAGAAGTTGGATTGGAGATGAAGAAAAGTTAGTTAGAAGAAAATTATATCAACGAACTTGAAGACGAGTTGAGTCAATGTTCGCATAAAAATCTACACTGAGAGATTGCATGGCCGCGACGACAAGTTCGCTGTGTTTGAACAGCTTGCACTGTGATATCATTGAAAATATGCATGCCAAATAAGTCTGTGTTCAAGGAAAAAAATGATAAAACTATCAGCGAGACTGTGCACGGCTGACGAGGTCTATTGTATGACATATTTTCGTCCACGTGACAATCCCACGTTCCACGCTTTCGTTTGCCTCGTCTTGAAGATAGCGAGAAGACGCATGGCTCTATGCGACAGACAGTCATTGGCTGGCCTATAATCTTCTGTCAATCAAACTACAGGCGTTATTAAAAACAAACACACTGTATTGTCTTTAATTGTTTCTACCTTTCATCGCTAATCTATAATTGTTTTCAACAGGCTGTCAAATTTTAATACCGTATGCATGAGAAGTGTGATAGACCAGACAGCATTGAGAGTGATTAGCTTCGAGGGAAAGTCGCGTTAATTCATAAACATCGCCGAAAATCCGTCCAGATGAATGCAAGGATCTTTTAGCCTTAGGTAGAAAACCCCAAACTTAATCAGTTTCGGAAACGCGACACGGTAAATTACGCCAAAAGTAGCGATTTGCTTTCAAAATTATTATTATTTAGGCAAACTAAACAAACCCAGTAATGACAGGAGGAAACATATTCTACCGTCTGTTTAAAATTAAATGGCGCAAGATGTCGTGAAAAATTTTTAAACTGCCCGAAAATCGTCCTACGTCTGTGTCAACTATCAAGCCATATTAATGTTGTGCGAATTAAATTATGAAATTCGTGTCTGCCATAGATCAGTATTTTTTAAAGAAAATAATCATGATATTGAAGTGTCACACGAGCCACGTTACCAAAGGTAAACTTGGAGGAAAATGACGATGGAATTGTGTCCAAGAACAGGACTAAAACTAGACATTATACAAAATGTTATTATATATGTTTGGGGTAATTAAATAGTTTAGACTAAAACCACCGAAGCTTTTCATAAGAATTCTTTATTTGGCATTTAATAATTGCTCTTCAGACTTCACAATGAATAATATCACTACTGGGAATGTCAGACGCTCGCAAGATTATCTAATCTTTGAGCTGCCAAACTTGCAGACGTTCGTCGCCAGAATTCTCTAAATTTTCCTTTATCTAACCCAAATAAATGTCATAAGGATTTGTTTGAAGGGTTTATGAAATATCGTAGCGAGCGGCAAGCATGAAACATCGTATTGGACAAATATACTTATTTTGCGCGCCATAACATTTGCGCAGCTGCCGAGACTCAAGTCAAATATTAAAACACCTTTAGGGAACGCAGCGTCATCGTGCGCTTTGTTAAAAATTAGCTCGCCGTATTTCGAGGATGATGCGATGTATTGTGTCCGTTTTCTTGAGCTCACAAGAGTGAACAGAAGTTGGGACAATGGTTTAGTGTTGCGCGCTTTGTCTAAAAATTAGTTTTTGGGGCTGTCATGTTTCCCAGTATTTGTGAACGCAAATTGGCAATAAAATTTGAGCGGAATTTTTGAGTTGATCTAAGGAAGGACTAAAAGGCGCCGTTCTGATCATTATCTGCTTTGATAGGCATGTTATTAAATAGCAAACTAATTAAGCTTTCTACGATAAATCCGCTTTGGTTTCTATATCGTCAAAATACGTGCATTTCAGAAAAAAATAATCATTCAACACTACAGCAGCTCTGGCGACTTCACCTCGGAGAAACAGTCGAGTTGCGCGACGTCTTGAGAGCGCAAAGGTTCATTCACTTGACGAAAGTTGGGAGAGATTTTAATATAGCTTTTCTATGGCATTTTATCATATTTGACACAAATGTCCGCGCTGTCATCACGATGGCTTATCTCATTCATTTAACCCAGTGGGTACCCGATTTGATTGATAGCTGGATGAGATAGCCCTGATAGCTGTCAAGTGATCAAAGAGACCGCGCGTTCACCAGCGCAATAAGCTGAGTGTATACTCGAGACGGTATGCGTGGGGCCTGAAGTCTGATCAACGCTCGTGAGTTCTCAGGATCGCTTTGACGCGAAGGAGTTTTTGACGTTCTCCGGCCGAGGCGGCCATTTTCCAGCAATAAACTCTTTGTAAAAGCGAGTTGTTTCCTGCCTCTTCAACACCTTTATCCCGAACACAGAGTGACAAAATGATGTAGAATAAGATTGACACATTGATTGATTCATTTGGTCATTATGACACGCCAGGCGAATGCACACTTAATTACCTTCGCGGCGTTGATTGGTTGACGAAGCAGCCATCAATCAAACTACGCTATCTGCAATTACATCTTCACCCACCCTGCTGTGTTGATTATCCAATAAAGAGGCAAAATATCGACAAAGACGAATTTTGATTGGAAGGCGGCATCGCTCTGTAATCTCTTGTGTGTAAGTAAGGGGCACATTGTCTCGTGGCGGTCTTATCGCCAAGATGTATTTAATATTTCAAATGCCCTACCGCACATTCAAAACGAGTTCAGTTTCCAAGCCGTGCGCAGTGCACTGAAATGATTGATATACAACGACCGTTTCTACAACCGAAGATCCATCACGAATCATCGCGAGTGCCACTTCACGAACTTCAAATGCTGACACAAAGCGTAACGAGTCGGGAATACGTGCATGCGTATGCATCATCGTCTATCTCGGTAAGAATCAAAACTCTATCAATAATGATTCCACTTTGTCTCCGTGCTATCTATCTTTCACAGGCCCTCATTTTATGGCGCGCCCATGTTTATATTCGTGTGTATACGCAGATAACCTTGATAGTGCAACTGTTCGGTCATATCTGGACACACTAGCGCGATTCTGAACTATTATCGATGATTCCTTCTCTTACACAGGAACCGTCCGTCGCTGAACAGCAGAAGAAATCCCCTCTGGCTCTACTGGCTGCCACTTGCAGCAGCATCGGGAAGACGGAGGGAAAGAAGGAGATACGAGAGCCGGTTATAACACCGGCCAGACATTCGCCGAAGATTCAAAATAGTTTAAACGATGTACGAAGCGTAGTTAAACTGGCGTCGGAGGAAAGTAAATCATCATTTAAACCGTACAAGCAGTCAGAGGAAAAGGAACTTAATCATTCTTCAGAAAAACCTGGGTTTCGTGCGCCGAGTAAGAACCTTGACAATCCATCTTCTCATAGTAAAAGTCCAGAATTTCGAAGCAAAGTTTCGCCACATATTGGGGCAGGATTCTCGCCCTTCCAATATCCTTACCTAACAGACTCAAGTGCACATTGTTTTTATCAGAGCTCGCCTGCAAGTCGTTTATGTGGTATGTACTATGACTTACCAGGACACGGCACTTCTAGCGGACATCATTCGACTTGTCTCAAGTCAGACTGTACGGGCAACTGTGCATCAATGGTGATACCCTCCCCTACCTCGCTTACCCCCACAACACCAAGCATACGACCTATGTTTCCAACACCTCCTGTCTCCGCTCCGTCCCCAGTCAAATCCCATGGTCTTAGCCCGCCAACAGCTAGATCAAATCCATTATACCCGAAATGTAACTGTGGCTACTGCAATCAAGGACAAGAGAGTAGTTTAAAACCAGGGATTCAACATTTACCTCACTATCATAGAGACTATCTTGCGAGTGCTTGTCAGGATCCGTATTGTACAAACTGTAAAACACCGAAGACATCTTCAGCAAGCGGTGCTCACGGCTGTGGGCCTCATTGCTACGGACATCATCATCCCGACTCGTCTATTCTACCCGGTTCATTGTCGACGGTTGCTCCGAGCATGTCACATCTTTATCCCTACGCCGGCTTCATGCTTCGCGCTCAGAACGATCAAAACGGACCGTTCGTTTGCAACTGGGTTCAGGACTCGAAAAACTGTGGCAAGAACTTTACAACTTCAGAGGAACTCTTACAACATTTACGAACGCACACAAGCGCTGCAAACGCATCAGCACCGCTACACACACCGTGTAACATCCCAGGTTGTCCTTGTGGACTGAAGTCCGCCATCTCAGGCCCTGCAAGACTACATTCTACCGCTCGATATCATCCCTACTTCATGACTGGATCATCGCTTCATACACCGTCATTTCATTCAGCAATATCACATTATTCAAGCCCTCATGGTATTCCCTATCCATCGTCTCTTAAGCCGTATTGATCAGCTCGATAAATTTAGACAATGAACCTCAAAATAGATTGAATTTGCACATAAATTATACGTCTAAATGTTCTCATTAAAGAAAATGGATTTCATCTCCTCAAGTGTTGTGATATAGTTGTAATATAGGGTCACCTCCAGATATATCCTTTCTGAGTGCACAGAATCTACTTAATTTTGAACATTTTCAAATTTCAAAAGACTTTTCATAACGTAGATAGAATTTTGCAACGAGCTGTCGTTATGGATGTGTCTGAGCGACCTATAGTCTCTCACACAGGATGTCTTCCTCGTTTACGTTGGGTTTATTCAAAATCAAACAGTTCATCTTACATATTATTTAAATCTTTTCGAACACAATTTTAGTAATTTATAGTAGAGGTAAATTTTTATCAATTTCTGAACAAAAAATTAGCTATAGAACGAGGTTAGGTCTAGGATTATCAATTTACCGACAGTTTAAGATAAAGTGTAAATATTACAAAACTAACATAGAAGGTGCCGAAACTGGTTCGTTTATTAAAATAAATTGAAATTTAAAGGTATTGTGTGTTTTCCTAAAACACTCATTCAATTTGGCTTTTACCGTCATTTGACTAACTGATCAGTGCCGCGTTGTATGCCATAGTGGTTTCAACAACTTTCAAAATCAACAACGTTGTTAAAGAGTTTCGTTTGTTTTGAAGAAAATCCGATGTTTTGTCTTCTATAGTCAGTCAAATTTATCACTCAAGCTTTCGTTTTGGTTTTTCCAAAAAACCGTAACTTCTGTTCCAATTTGTAGAATAGCCGTTGGGCAAATTTTTCACTATTCATCATTTTATCAGTGCATGCGGTCAGCGAGGCTTATCAGGTTAATCTATAAGGACTTTATGTCTTTTGCATTTTCTGACAACAATCTAAGATAAATCTGGAAGTGATATATATTTGGAAGTGAGATTGTTTTTAGCGCGGCAAGACACACACAGACCATTTCAGTCAACACTTCTCCTTTGTGAGAAGTTGTTAAAAACTCGATCACTCAACACTGTTTGACATTCGTCCTTAAAACTCGCCGACATGGACGTCACTGGGCGCTCAGAAATCGCTCAATAAATTGCCCTATTTTTTTCGATTAGCCTCGGCAATTTATCAAAATTGATAGTTATTATTCTACACGAAGTCGACGCGTTTAAATTTCGCTTTTGACATTATTCAAATTGCCCACAGGCTAATGTTCATTCATTTCTTCTACGAACCACGCAATTGATTAAAATGGTTTTTAGGTTACAAACACTTGAATATATAGTATGCACACAGTTCTATATTTATGAGTTAAAGAAATGGAAAATGCATTATTTACGATTCAATATTCTATAGCTTTAAGGTTCATTATGCAACGTGTGGAGTAAAACAATTAACAACGAAGACGTTCGTGTTATTTTCCCCATTCCATTCAACAAAGCTTTTCTTAATATCGTTCATAATGGTCACTAGAACCAACACGAACCACTTGAGAAAGTATTTTAGCCTTTTTTACTGGAAAGAGTCCAAGGAGGTGAAGCATAAATTATTGCATTACCTTCATATAAATGAGGTTTTAGCATCTGGTGATAAATTATACTTTGACATGTTTAATCCTATTTCAACGAAATCAAAGTGATTGCTGAATTTTTACTTGAATCTACGGATGAAATATCATTAGAACTATTCATTTTTTTTCAACCTGTCAATTTTCACCCCTAACCTGATCACCACGCACGAATACAACTCAGCTTATTATTTAGGTTATTTTGGTAAAGCAGAGAGGATAAGAATTTAATAAAGAAGGCTTGCTTTTAGCAGGAAAACAGATGGTCTTTTCGCTCAGATATGTTGAACGTGATAAGACCAAGAAAGCTGATGGACATCTTTCAATTAATTTGAACTAGTATGAAATCTATATGTCTTATATATATATATATATGTATATATATAGCTAGCTATACATAGGAGAACGTAAATGCCATATGACCTAAACTGACCCTAGATTATGTCATGTGAAATTCTTTGAAACTGATGTTACTGATACGGCAAGAAGTCTAATTCATTTTAGTCCTTGAGACAAGCAAGTCTTGCTGACTTTTTATTAACGCAATTCAAAAGGCGGCTTCTTTTTCTACTGTCACTCACACGGTGAAACTCATAAGCACTTGTCTATAAATGTTGCCAGTTTACCCAGTTATTATTATCACAGCAAACATGAAAACATCTCGCAAGTCTAATTACTTGTGACGAGTCACTAGGAGGCAAATGAAAGCAAGAAAGATCCTTTCTTCGCAAGCTGACACTAACACGACTTTCTTTTTAACCTGACATAAAACCCTTTTGTTCTACGTTCCCTCCTTCCTTACAAAAGCAACTGGTCACAAATCTATTAAACAGCTCGGTCGGGTATCAAGATGCTTTAATTATTTTTGTCCGCATTTTCAAAAGCCACACAAGACAACAGCTGAATAAGCGTATGACTGCTTGCTTGTAGGATCCGTAGGAGACAACGTGTCTCTCAACATGAAAACGAGACCGCCTGTTGCAACACGGATAAACATAATCCCAGTGTTTACTAAAGCTGTGGGATTGATGGGAAACTGCAGTGAATGTTTCGAATTTAGACTGAAATCTTATTGAAAGCAAGTTTGGTCTTAATAAAAGTGTCGTTCATCAGTTGTTTGTGTCTGAACTAGCTACATCAATGAAAGACGTCAAAATGTAGGTGCATGCTCTGCTGTTGTCAATGAGTACATGATATAGCAAGCTAAACCCTGATAAAGAAATCTCAAATTTAGTGGACCAACTAGACACGATTAATAGATTAAAAAATATGACCATGCTGGCGGTGTATTCAGTATACAGCAATAAAACAGTGTCCAAATAAAACCCGGCAAACTTTGCGGTCACCAAAAAAAATAATTTGTTGGGTTTGGTTTAAAAGTTTTAACAATTGTGAAGCAATCTTCTCACATGTGACTGAGGGAAATTATAATCAGACAACTGCATATTACAGGAATCAAACCTCAGTCACAGAGATGAAAGACACATGTACTAACCACTGTGTCATACACTGTATATCAGATGAACTAAGTTATTTTCGGCAATTCATTGCTTTTTGTGCGGGGCTGGATTTTTTGTTTATGAAAATTGGTTTCATGCAATCGTTAACACTAAATTAATGGTAACTTGAAATTAATTCATATGCAGGCAGGGTCACTCCTGAGCATTCTATATTATCCGAAGCACGGACAAAAACGTTTTAAAATTATATTTAACAACAACTCAGAGAGTATTTTTCACATGCACCTCACACAGACGGCAGAGAAACGCAAGCACACAGTCTAACTGTTATTGAAAGAAAGACACTTCTTACCTCTTGAGATCAAAGATCTTGCGACGGTTCAAACAAATCAGTTCACTAATGGCATCACAGGCCTGTGGAGAATCCACCAACAGTATATATAGATGTCCTGTGATGGGCTAGCCGAGGATTAGCAATAGCTTTGCTCTACAGGATCCTGCAGGAGATACGAGACGGGGTTACTTTATTTTGCCAATGCGATGTTTTGGCAATCAGTTGAACACTATGAGTCTATGGGTGGAAATTCACATATCGCCGACACAGAAACGAGTGGTGATTGTGAAGTCGTTTAAATATCACACAAATCATCATATTTCTTTCCACTATATACTAAGAAGCTCTGTATACTTCTTGCAAGAGAAATTCAAAGATGTTTCCTGAATTTCCCTTGCAATTCATTGCCCACATAGTTGCCGAAAATAACTCTATTTTGTTTTTACCATGCATGCATGCGTTGTTTTCGTCAATCATTGTAGCTATGTGTATCAGGTTCAAACTGTTCGGAAACAGTGCATACAGAGAGGGAAACAGTGATTCTAAATAGGCGAAACACAGTAGGATTCAAACTGCGGGAACTATATTTAATTTTCACACAGTCGTGGTAATTATTTTGAGAAAGGCTTAGTTTATTATTTGGATCTGTCGAAGATTAGACGATTCTCGATGAAAGAGAGCTGCATGTCAGTTTTCAGTGAAATAATGTAGATATTGTGATCTTCAGATGACAGCCTGAGTTATCGACGCCCAAGACAGGCTAAAAGTTGAATGAAAAAGTTCAACGAAGCTTTCAAAGAACTAAGTAAATGCTACTGAAGTGTGGATGAAAAACAATATCACATCTCACATTTAAGTTTATTGTCCGTTTGCTGACAAAAATAGTCAGTTGAGATAAACGTATTTATTAAGAATATTAACATCAGCAATAGATTTCGTTTTTCATTGAACTGGGTGAATTACGAAGCTACAACTGACTTTCGTTGGTCTTTTCTATGTAAATGCATGTTATGACAAAATTAGTTGGTGGAATGATTTGTGCACTCCTAATCCTCGTGTTCAATCAATGCTTTTGTTAAATACCATTGAATTAGGAGTGAAAACGTCCATGAAACATAGGTAATGAAAACACCTGAACCTGGCTTCCACAGACCAACACAGACTTGTCATGAAAGCCTTAATTGTGTTCATACACAATCATGACTATTGTTGGTGATAATTGACAAATGAAATTTTGAATCAATGTCCAGTAGTGAACTAATCACTGACAATATATCCCAAAATGTTTGAACAAAATATGAACAAACAAGAGTGTTTCTGTACAATATGTATTTTAAGATAATTAAACAAATATTTTTTAAGCCTGATCATCAGGTTCATCTATATTGTCATCAGGAACATCCTCCATGTCATCAGGCTGTTCATCTGTCCCTTCACGCACCTCATCTGTCCCTTCACGCACCTCATCTATCCCATCTTGTACATTTTCTATCCCATCATGCACCTCATCTGTAGCATCCGCCACTGCTTCACCCTCCTCAGGTATCCGAGTAAGCGAGACTTCTATATAACATATATATGTCATCAATTTCAACTTGTCTTCACAAATAGTTCAATCAGCTACTATTAACAAAGATAAGCAAGCATCTCACCTGGTTGTGGTTGTTCTGTACCTGGCTGGTTCTCTGTTTCTTCACCGTCTGCAACATTTTGTTCCACATTGCCTGAATTGATAAAGAACATTTAAAACAAATCTGACCTAGCTCAAACTTGACAACCAAAGAGAAGGTGGGCCCGGCAATCGCCTCAGTTAAAGTGAGTTTTATTATAATTGATACAACTTAAACTAGCAATATCTAGTTAGAGAAGCTCATTCGAACCTGTTGTGTCTGGTTCCTCTTCTTCTCGTTCTGAAACTGTTTCTAATGTTTGATTAAGCTCTGGTGGCATGGGTCGTGGTGTATTGTCAATAATAATTGGTTCAGCTGCCGCTCTTGCATATGCCTCTTGCTTTGCAAGAAATTCAGCTTCTTCTTTCATACGAGCTCGATACAATTCCTCCTCGTCTGCAATTTTCTGCTCCTTTTCCAGCTGAATTGCTTCCTCCTTTTGCTGAGAATATTTTAAAAAACACAGTTAAAACAGTTTAGAGTGAAATCATAATTTATCACTGGTGTTGGATGAAGCAAATAATAGAAACAGAAAATCCACATTTACCAAAATATATTTCTTAGTTTTATAGTCAGGCAAGAAAAAGAAATAAATGTACGTTAGTACCTTGACATATATTGTAAGCTTCATTTTCAACGTATTTTCTCAGCCAAAAAGCTAAATACTCCACGGGATCTACCGGTCTTTTCAGGCAAACTTCTGCCAGGCCTTCTGCCAAAGCTTTTCCTACATGTCTTTTCAAATATTCCGAGTCCATTCGTACAAAAAAACAGCACGAAATCGCGGTATTTCAAACAAAACTAGAGAAACTAGAGTATTTCTTCCATAGAATCAAAACTTGGCTTCATGTTGTCATGGATACATCGGAAAGAGTCGTGAGTATTCGTTATCACAATTTTTTTTATCACAAAGACGAAAAAGGGATTCTATTAGAGTTTATGCGATTTATTTATTTATAAGCTGAGGAGTAAAAAGATAGTTCTTGACGAAAAGAATACAATATAAGCGATTTTCAGAAAACAAAAACAGGAACTGACAACTCATTACGAGCGTGACGTGTTCTCCCGAGAGTTAGCCGAGCACCGGTGACGAAAGTTGCAAGTGAAGGCATTTATTTTTGTTTATATTCTGAATATTTTGTCACGATTTTAATCGAAAACCTTTCAAAAATATTAATGAATTATGGAAAACGAGGAGGATTATGTGGTGAATGGTACTCAGGTAAGTGTTTCATGAACAATAAATGCTCGCAAGACTGCGTTTTGGACTAGACGTTTCAATTTTCAATTTCGACATTAAATTGCCGATTTACCACAATGAATGGAACAATTGTTAATTAATATATTTCACCATATAGCTACGTAAACAATGTTGATTGGAATAATGCTTGTTTGTGAATGCAAATGAATTTTTTAAAATTGTGGGAAGAAATAATAGAATATGTTTTCAAATAAATATGTCGATCATATGACTTTATGACTGCACAGGGTATATTTGCATAGAACCAATCTGGTATGACTCTCTAAAATAGACCAAAACACTTCTTGATCTTTGAACCTAAGAGCCTTTGTCAATCAAGTCAGTCAAGAAGAGTTGAGACTTGAGGAGTGTTTTCGTCTATTTTAGGGAGTTATTATACCGCATTTGATGCAAATATATTTCTTGACAGTACCATACTTGTAGTATTTGATATATCCATGACTTTGACTACTGTGCTGTTCCTAACTAACAGAGATTCTTTGAATTATGATAGCTATCAATGGTTGGTAGAGATGCCCTAACCATTCCACCAAGCTTAGGAATAACATATGGACCAAATATCCTACGACTTGATCTTAGCTTCAACCGACTGAGGTAGGACATTAGTTATGAACTGATACAAGCATTACAATCGTTAACTCAGTGATATGATAATCTTTCTTTTCCAGGAATTTAGAAGGCATTCAAGGTTTCACAGAATTACGCACACTAAATTTAGACGGAAATGAAATTGATGATGATGTCATATTTCCACTATTAAATTATCTTGAAACTCTAACTATGAACAAAAATAAAGTATCCTTGTTTTTAATAAGCTGGTCAAACAGAACTACATTCACTGCAATGCTGATATATCTTAGAATTGCCTAATCTTTCCTTAATCAAGTTTCACCAGATAACAGATTTGGAATCTCTTCTTGAGAAAATTACCAAATGTCTCCCATCGTTGACTTACTTGAGTCTACTGGGGAACACAGCTTGTCCAAATGAATTATCTGACTTGGAAAAAGATGAAGAAGACTACCAGAGATACAGGTAATAAAGCAGAAAACAAAGTTAGATATGTAGCAACCATTTCCTTTCACATTGTTACTGCAGAGATTACCCAAAGAAAATTCATATGTGAAGGATAAACAAGAAATATTTCACCCACAAAATGACAAAAGATATTCAAAATTCTCCTGGTTAAAGAAACCATTGTTTGTTTTAGATATTTTGTTCTGTATAAACTGCCCAAACTCAAGTTTTTGGATTCAAAACAAGTGTCATCTAAGGAGAGACAGGAAGGTCAAAAAAGAGGTGCTTTTCTAAAAGTCATCGCCCCAGGAGAAGAAGCAATGGTGAGGATAGCTTGTGGCAGTGTTTAATGTCTAAAAGCTTGTCAGCTAACAACAAGATTTTGTGCAAATATTTCAGCCTGAAGAACAGAAAACGGGAAAGCAAATGAAAGGTAGTAACTACACACCATTACCGCAGCAATTAACTGACGAAGGAGATCATCATGGGACGTTTGGACGAAGTCGGTATGTTTACATTGGAAAACACTCTGAAGGGAATAGATTCATAAGAAATAATGATCTGTGACACTAACCTAATGTATTTAATAAATTATTGTGAAATCAAGCAGTGGAATCCGGGAGGCAAGGAGGACAACAACAAACGTTGTTGGTTGAACCACATTGTGCCTGAACTGAAAATCATATCATAGATTTGAAAAAATTTGATGGCAAAACCGACTATATATATATATATATACTGCTATTGTCTTAAGTTTCGTGAAGAGTTTTAATCAGAATTGACTTGAAAACTGCACCCTATTTCATGTGTATGACACATATAATAGCAGAAACAATGTACTTGAAAAATGTCTGATTTTATGTTGTATGTGCATCAAACTCTGATGACAGACAAACTTATTAAAAAATGGTCAAAACAGCAACTAAAATCTTGTTTGGTCTTATTTCTTGTCATCACAACCCCCAACTGAGCTCAAGAAGTTGCACAACAAACAACATGGTTGATAAAAATAATATCTTTTATGTAAGCTGGTTGTATAAAAACTTAGTTAGCATTAACTGTAGTTAAAATCTAGTTCAAGTTAACCTCAGAATGTAAAGTTAACTATCCTCAAGGGCAAAGTTTATAACTTTTCAAAAAATAGTTAAAAATGGCGTGTTGAACTTTTGAGGAGTGAAAAAACATTTCAATCAACACATACCATGGTTTTCAACCGTTATCCACTCAGAAAAGGCTCCGTCGAAACTTGTAAACTGTCAATATGCTTTCATTTTGATGTTTTTTGAACTTTTTCCTTTTTTTTATTGCATTTTTTCCAATATTTTCGATCAAAATCCTGTCAAATTTTGTGAATACGAGTCCTCAGTCTTGTTCAAAATCTATAGCAGCGGTCAATAATGATGAGATACTTGATGCTATTTCACTGTTTAACAACCTCACAGTTAATCATCCGACAAACTATGTTTTGTAGTTAACTAATGATAGTTAAGGATTTAACCACAGTAATTAGCGCTAATCAGAGTTAAAGATAACGACGCTTTTATACAACCTGCCCCTAGGGGATCACACTACTTAGATGTACGTCTTCGTAAATACCGACATTCTTCAAGGTCACTCATACCCAGTTCATTGGGAGCAGGAGTTCTGGTTGGTGGTGGCCAGGACTCTCTCGTTGTTGATCGTGTAGTGGCCGGCATTTTAACCCCGCGATGCGCCAGCAATCTCCTCTCAAGATACTGTCCAGTCACAGCGGTTGACATTCGTCTCCCGATTTTGCGCAATGATTCTTGCACGTGATGATCCTGAGATGACCCTCGAGGAGAGGTTTTGTTCAACTCTGGTAGACTTTGGTTCAGCGAAGATTCAAACCCAGGCTGCGAAATCATAGTTATACCTGCTATTGAGCTACGACGTGGCCTCAGCGCTAGTCTTGAAGACGGGAAATTCCGTGTATTTTCTTGAAATATTTCTTTTATGCTTTCCAAACTGGGGCTTCGTCTTATTTTCATTTTCATTGACTTAGGAGGAGCTGTGTCAGATCTGCTGTATATAAGATTTGGTAAGCTGGCACGCCGTCTTTCCGATCGTTTCCGAAATATCGGTGAAGATGAATCCTCTGGTGCAAGGCTTGCTTTAGTTGGCAGGAGACGGTTCTCGTCGACGGTTTCATAAAGTTCAACGTCTTCATTTGTCCAGGAATCTCTTAACGTGTCACCAGGGCTTCTTCCTTCATTCCAAGCTTCGCTGTCGTTTTTATCTTCATTTCCAGGATTGCTCGGCCAACTCGATTGATCCTGACTCTCGTTTGTACCCAGTTCTTCTTGCATTTCACTGCCAATTTTCCCGTGGAACACAGCAAGTTTCGTATCCAGATTCCCCTGAGTCATGGCCACTTCTGTTTCTATCTCATAATTCACTTCAAAACGCTTGTCATCTGGTAAACTGCCTGACACTGCTTGATCTGTTTCTTTCACCTCCACGTTGAAATCCTTCTCTCCCAAGTTATGATTGATGTCAGACATCTTTTGTCCACTCATTTTATCCATCTTCATATCTTTTCTACCTCCTTTGTCTCCTTGGTTTATTCCAATATTTCTCCTCACTGCCTCTTGCGGTCGGGCATTCGTCTAGAGCAGATGTTATATTTATTAAATGGTGTATCATGAGGAACGCTTGGAGACCCAGGTGGATCCCCTGTGAACCTAGAAGGTCCTTCATGACACTGTTATGACACTGTTTTAACAATGTTTTATAAAAACAATCGGTGCACTTACCACCAACGATCGACGTCTTGCAAATGCTTTCAACGGGCCATCATTTCCAAATGCTAGATGTGGCTGACTTCTTCTCCGGGGGGGATAAGGGGTATGTTCGAGGTCCTGTTTATGGAATGATAGTTGACTGTCAAGAGAACTAGACTTAGGTCCCAACTGATTAACCCTGAATGCTTTGAGGGACGCCCTGGTCTTCTCGAGATCACGGTCAATTCCTGATAACGCTTTCGTACATTCCACGTCAATATTTTTTAGTTTCTTCGTCAGAACTTGTTGAGAACGACAGAACATGGCAATCGCTTGTTTCTTCTTATTTCTTGGCACATCTGTTTCCACATTTGGATTCATCTTTCACCTCGAAAGCTTTCTGCATAAAATTGTAAAACTCCTCTTAATCTCGTCTCCCTTGCATCCAAATTCAGACTTATGTCTTCACCCCGTATTTTGAAGTCAATCTTGTATGTTTTGCTGTACTTCTCGGAGGATTCACACACAATTATTTGGTACAAATTGACCACTTGACGTGTGTTGATAAACTACAGATATTTCGTTTATAAATTTGAGAGAAACTCAGCTGTATCGCTGCTCGAAGCTCGTCGATCTGATATTTATTATTGGTAACGATTAAAGCTTCTATTGTCATGGAAAGTCACTAAGCAGTAATACAACACAATTAACGTCCAACACTATAGTCTTATAGGCGCTCATTAGCACACTCATTACTCTACACTGATAAAAATATGAATAACGCACGTATCTAATCTGCATGTATATGCAAACTGTTTCTCTTCGATGTTCAGTAATTTGAACAGATATAGACTTGCTTATGAAATGATTGAAAATATGGTTGCAACGTTCTTATGCAAAATTACCTTACAAATTATTGTTATATGCTGATCTGTTTTTCCTAAAAGTCCAGTAATGATCAACCACGGTGTGTTTCTACAGGAGAAAACCTAGAGGAAAAGTCTGTTTACAGCGCATAGCTTAGTCTATGATTACGGACAATCAAGCTGGTTCTAGGTGCTATTCATTGCAGATCAATACTGGAGAGAGATAGTATAACATCACTCGGACTCTGCTTCACATCAGACTTCTTTTCCAAACCAGCACAGCTGTTTCCATCTTCCAATGTCACGATCTTTTGCCGTTGAGAAGAGGAGGGTATGTTTTCGGGTTTCTCCATTTCTTTTCCCTTCGACTTCTCTCGTCTTCTTTCGGTTTTCGTCGAGTTCCTGTCGTAACAATCATCACCTTTCCGATCATTTCTATTGCTTCTCCTTGCCCCATAATTTCCACCAGACATCTCCAGTTTGTTCAAACTATTCACGTCAGAGAGTGTCTCGCGAATGTCTTTCAAATCCTGGGTTAAACTCTTCGCTTGTTTTTCGTGCTCTCGACGAAGATGACGGATTTTTTTACGAAGTGCTTTTCCATCTTCTACAGTTTCGTTTGTTTTTAAAAGCTTTTCTTCTCTGCTTCGTCCTACAGTGTTTAATGCTTTGTCTTGTGACGGAGTTTCACTCACTGACGGGATTGAAGCCATGATGTGTTTAATACTGATAACCTGGTTCAAATGAAAATAATCTTTACATACGAGGCTAAAATGTTGCTGAGATGAATCATCATTGATAAAGCTATACTATACTACACTATCATTAGGATTAGACAAAAGTCCTGTAGTTAGGATTAAAAGTTGTATATATTATATTTAATATTTAACGATGAACGGTCAATACCGAGGCGACAATTAAACCATAATTATACGTCAAATTACACAAAAGTTTATTAAATGAGAACTCACATTTGATATTTGGATGTGGTAATGTGAATTTCTGTCCAGCAACGGAACCTTTATTGTTCTTGACAGAGTTTCGATGCAAAAGAGCTGCGGATGAGAACGAATAAAATCCACTGAAAAACAAATTTACTAATCAAGTTGTTTCAGCTGGCGTGCTGTAGCATAAATAAACGTGTGTGAAAAAAAATTTGTTTAATAGCCACCAGTTTGATAAAATATTAAATTTTACGCGGTTTGCCCGACTATACTTAATCCGGGATTTTCATTAAAGTTTTCATCACGCGAAATGAACTGAAATTAAAGCATAAATACTGACTAAAATAACTCGTAAGTCAAGCGGTGGACAGTTAACGAATTTCTATAGCAACCACGAGTGACATGCATGTAGACGAGTTATTTCTGTCTTACAACTCCAAACACCAGAACAGGTGTTTCCAGGTACTTCAATCACCTCTGTCAATATCAACAATTTTCTCGGACTATACAATAATAACTTCCTTCCGTCTCTTCCTCATGCACGACAAGCAGCTGCTCCACTCCTCATGCATGATGACGCCTTTTCAATGCATGTGCATGGCACGTCGTCACAAATCCCTCTTTTGAAAGATGTGGAACTTGATGAACAAGATGCCAGGATCTATCAGTTACTTTAATTTTGGCTGATAGCAAGCCCGCGTGGAGAGCCAGGCTAGTCCTCTTCTCTTGCAATGGACCTACATACAATACTTGGCTTTTAAATCTTTGCTTGTGTTCCAGATCTTTACGTTTTCGTCTTGCTGCTCCACGATTCATTCATAGGACACGGATTAAGCCGAGAGCTCCACTCAACCGCTGACATTTCAATAGACTTTCTTATAAAGACGTCAAACGCGGAAAGTCTGATGTTACACGAAATTTCATTGGCTCCACAAAACTATCGAGCCAATCAAACTTCGTGTAACATCAGACTTTCCACGTTTGACCTCAAAAAGGTCTATTACGTGAATCCAAATTCTCAGTCTTAAACCCTGGGTTATTGTTTTATCTTCCTGTCCCATGCACTAGTCAATAGCGTAAGAATCTGATACGCCCGCCTCCAAACCGCCTTTGTTAAAGCGAACTTTGTTATTACTTCAATTTAATCAAACTTGAACTAACTTTAGCCAAATAGTCAAATCCCCACCGCGGAAACTGTTAATAAACACTGTAATTCTTTGTAATAATTCTTCTATGAGTACCGCACAACTATATATTGCAAAGAAAAATAAAAGTGGAGTACCTTTTCTCAGTTTCCAATTTGATTTATTTGTCAGACCTCTAATCACCCTTCCTCACGCAGAGTTATTTGCTTTCGCTGTTTTGTTTTCGTCTCAAGCCACGAAACTTTATTACATTTTAATAAAAACTTGTCAGAATGATTTATACGTCCAACTTCAGTACATAAAGCCTCGATTTGCGATCGGGTAATCTCATACGCACCTGAAACAATAAGAGAAAGATATTTCAGTCTTTATTGTTGGACAAAGCAAGTTCAAGAATTCAAATTTGCTCGAAAGAGTGCGTCTCGGAACAAATACAAAGTAGGTAAGTCATGCACTTCAAATATTGTTTTAACTATGTTCGGATTTGTTTTAATTTTTGTCAAAATGATTGAAATATGGATGAAATGTTTGTTTTCCGAGTGAACTCTAAGGTAAACTGCATATGTGGTTTATATTCGATCGCTTCTCCTCGTCCTTAATCTGAATCACCGAGCATTGAGAGCTTTCAGCCAAGAACAGGTTTTACCCAGTTACTTTAGAGTTACTGCCGCCCTGCAATGATACTCTGACACATAACAAATGACCATTTCAGCTAGAGGACCTCTGCATCGTCTTTGATATTGACAACCCAAACCCTCATGTTCAATATATAACCAAAGAACAGTTTAGAACTGATAGAGCTATCCAGTATAAATAAAGTTAGTTTAGTTTAGGTTTCCTCCTGTAGTAACACTGGATCAATAAGAGATGATCCTTACTGGACCTCTAGGAAGAACAGTTTAGAACTGATAAAGCTATCCAGTATAAATAAAGTTAGTTTAGTTTAGGTTTCCTCCTGTAGTAACACTGGATCAATAAGAGATGATCCTTACTGGATCTCTAGGAAGAACAGTTTAGAACTGATAGAGCTATCCAGTATAAATAAAGTTAGTTTAGTTTAGGTTTCTTCCTGTAGTAACACTGGATCAATAAGAGATGTTCCTTACTGGACCTCTAGGAAGAACAGTTTAGAACGTATAGAGCTATCCAGTATAAATAAAGTTAGTTTAGTTTAGGTTCCTTCCTGTAGTAACACTGGATTTATAAGAGATGATCCTAACTGGACTTCTAGGAAGAACAGCTTAGAACTCATATAAGGTTTCCACTAGTCAGATGGGAATATATGGATTAAATTATAATAAAAATTAGGATTTAGTTTCGGATAATAAACTGCCATTCAGTGCACAGCTTTAATCCTAGACACTTTAAACTGCAATGCTAGTGAGGCGTCCGAGTTGGCCCCAGAAAAAGAGGTCTGATTAGGCAGGAGTTAATTAACCACCAAACTGTCCAAACATACAGCTCAAGAATGAGGAATGATTGTTGAAAAGACGCGACAGGCTTGGAACATATGGGAAAATAATTGTCTTTGATTAAGGCCGCTGTTTCAACAATTCCACTGTTTAGATTCCGTGTCTCCGTACGATAACACACCAGGTTGACATTCACAGAGAGTTTTACAGCGGGGGGAGACTGGGGAACAGTGTTTCTATTTTTAAGGTCGGAAAACGGCGTATTCGACCATGGTCGAGTCTACCGGAAAACGGCGAATTCGACCATGGTCGAGTCCGCCGGAAAATCGCGTTTTGGACCATGGTCGAGTCCGCCGGAAAATGGCGAATTTGACCATGATCGAGTGTACCAGAAAACGGCGTATTCGACCATGGTCGAGTCCGCTGGAAAATATCAAATACGACGATGGTCGAGTCCGCCGGAAAACAGCTAATTCGACCATGGTCGAGTGTAACAGGCTTTCAAAAGTCCCTCCTAGCTTTTGTTCACGTTGATTCCTCAACGTTTGGAGCTATTGTCGGTGATCGGCGAGGAGACAAATGCAAAAGGACGCAAATGACTTTCGCGGTGTGTTTAGCGGCAAAACACCTCTCAACTTTTTAGGGGCGATCAAATCATCTAGTTCTGAACTGTTCTTCTTGAAAGAAGCCAGGGAGAATCATCTCATTCCGAAATCTTGTCAGTGTTACTACAGGAGGAAACCTAAACTTTATTTATACTGGGTAACTCTATCAGTTCTAAACTGTTCTTCCTAGAGGTCCAGTAAGGATCATCTCTTATTGATCCAGTGTAACTACCTCGGTTATTAAAGAACGTAGCCCAACTTCATTTATCAGTTTCTTGGCAGCTCTATCAGTTTCTTCCAAAATAATTTGGGTTGTCAGTATCAAAGAAGAAAACTAACGATCTCTTTTCATGTGATGTGAAACAATTTCACGTCGCGTTTACATGCCGAATTCTTAGTCGGATGAAAAGTGTACCGCTACATTTGAATTTGAAAAGACAAGGCCTGCCTTTTAGGCATTTACGCCAAAGAGCTGTAGCGCGCAATTAACTCAGATTTAATTAATTAATAAATCTCCGCAAGTCGATTAATCCTTTTAACATTGACAGGCGCCGACGAGGAATGAGCACGCCGCATTTCAACAGCGCTTTGCAATCGTTTCGAGTGTACTCGCGACATTTGCACTTCGTTTGACACCTTGTATTTTTGAAGAAGCCGAGAGTTGAAGCAATTTGAGGAAGAAGAGTCAGATAGACATTCACAAAAGGCGGAATATCACAATAAAACTTGATTTGTTTATCCTTTTGTGTTTATATCGTTCCGTAAAGAAAACCTTTTGAATTGCGCAGTGCTTTGTGGTTGACGAGTTATTAAATTTAATCATGCAATATAGTTTGTTGCCTCAGTCTTGGAGCAGAAGGGATTAAGGAACGCTTAGCAGAGGAGTACAAAGATTTGAGACCTTGAAATCCTTTCACTGTAGACAAAGGTTAGTGGGTTTGTAGACTTTTTGGTATTTATATACAATATCCTGCACTAATCCAGCTAGATTACATTGTTTTCATGATATTTCATGTATCAATGATTTTGCATAAGACCTTGCGATAGCTTCATTGAGTAACCATGATAGATCTGGGAAACCTGATGTAATGAAATTTGGATACAAACACCACGCTACTTCGGTGCGGTTAGCGTTGGAACTTTATATCTCGAAAACCGTGACAATATTAGCATGGACATCAAATTTGGTAATCCGGAGCAAGACTCCTGTGGTCTGTGTTTGAAGTAACTCAAAACTCTAGCTTTTGAACGTGGTGAATCACCCTGCTTGAAAAATCAAATCTTTTAACGTTTTCCTAATGCGTGCATCTGGCTTCAGGCAATATTGGGAGTTTGAAGTGGTATCACGATCCTTTATAATAAGAAATTACAACTTCATTTTCCCTAAATTCACTCCATTCAGCAAATTTTCAAAACTGAAATTGCAACGAACTGCGGTCTCCACCTCTGATTTTGAGATGCACCTAAACGCAACTTAGACTAAAATGACCAACTCAGCTGTCTGAAAGCCGTACACATGCAACTTTCCGAAATGCAAATATATAAACGAAAGTATTATGTCAACGTCTTGTTCCGTTACGAATCAAGTCAATCAACAGTAAAACTCGCTTAACCTACGGAAAAAACAAAACCTGAAATTCACTTGTCATACTGTGCACCTTGACGCTTGTTTATAGCGCTGTCATAGGATGTGTTATCATAACTTGATCAACACAGACGTAACTTTAGTGCTGAATGCAATAATTTATATCATTCACATCTGTTTAACAATACGCCACCCACTAAGGCTAATAAATCTATCTCTATACTGCTGCGTTGTTTATTGAACCAAATGATTGTAATTCCTTCGTTTTGAACGAAAAGACTGGAGATTTTTATCCATGGTTTGTTTCACAATACGAAGTTTGCTTACTGGTTTGGTGGTTATGCTGTGAACAACGGAATGAGGCTTTCCCGAAATTCTGATCTAACCACAAGTAAGTTGGTCGAGAACCCGGTGTTCATGTATCGAGAAATATTCGTGTGAATTTAATACACTGCTGTGCCGTTTAGAAAAGCCAATAATCATGTTTAGTTAGAGGGAATGGCAGAAACAAACATTTTATACGATCTTCAGTTGTTTTTAAAACAAGTTGTCAGATTTTCCGTTTGACTGATGACCGTTCGCAGCCGAATTACTTCGTCATAGAAGAAGAAAGTCATCAAAAGTCATCGACAAATTGGAGCCTCGATTTGAAAATTGAGTAGATCCTTGTGTGCCACCTCAATATCCTGTTTATCCCTTAAAATCAACAGACATGACTAGCGGGACAGAGACTGGAAACTAGATTAGTTTAGCGAGAACACTGTGTGCGTGACGCTGGAGATTGAAAATAATACTTCGGGTGGTCCATCCATGCTAAATGACCAGATTTCCGAAGGCCTTTTTCAGACAGAATTGGTTTATTCAACAGCAGGATTTTGGCCAGGGATCAAATGCTCGCTACGCGACACAACACGAACATACTTCGGTTAATCTTTCGTCTTGAATTCTGGCAACAACATCTGGTTGCAGGTCATCGAAGGGTTACCCAAACGCTTAACCTGAGTTTGGATGTAAATTAAGACAAGCGATGATGCTTTAGAATTCTCACAGGTTGAAACGTATCCCACTCAAACGTGATGCGTAATTCCTTCTAGAAATGAACCTTCTTGAAGGTCAGAAAATATTTAATGACCTCAGTCTTCTTCATACGGATTAAATCCCGTAACTTTACACCGCACTCAATTTATTGCCACAGGTCGACTTAATTGGTGTCCGTGCTAATTTTATCCTCGCTCGGCCTGTACATTGGTAGCCTGAGCACGGATATAATTGGGTTAGCATGGCAATGTTGCACAGCGTTGACTGATGGTTCGCCTTCATGAAGGGGTTTCATTATCACATCTCATCTCAACTGAAAAACAACACAAGAAGAATTTTCTAATCTGATGGAACTAAACTTCTTGATTCTAAGGAACCATATCTCATACATAAGATCGTAAGGAATAAAACTACGAGATAAGGCAGTAATCTCAGCCATGTTTGCAATAAAAATATATTCGTAATCAAATGTACATGATTTTGTACATGGTTTGATAACGATCTTTGAGGGCCACAACGAAGATGAGCAGAATCCAGCACACGACATTTCGTAACGGAATTGAAAAAATGTCAATTCTATCTCAAAGAACTTCGTAAAATAATTTGGATAATTTAACCAGCCCATAAAGGCGTATTAAACGGCAATTCCGTCAATTAAACATTTCCTCTTGTGAAACCAATATCCCAATATGTGCTTGGCCTGTGTAATTAGGGAACACAGCACGAGCATTTAGGATAAAATAAACCACGATTATTACTATTATTAATACCAAGTCAACTAAGGCTTTTGCAAACTCAAGCTGGGTTACTTATTTTCCAACTGATATTTTTGTCCGACTATTGTTATAATGAGGTCATAACAATCGTGCTTCACGTTAAAAAATGCCTCCCATTGACATGTTAGCTTGACAGGCGTGTACTTAAATACCGTTTTCAAGAAGCACATCCGCAATTTACTCGATATATAGGCTTGACCTGAGCTTCTGATGTGTTGCTAGTTCATTTAACGTTGCCTTGGTTAAGCGAGTGAGTGAGTTTTGCCAGACGAGGGGTAACTATTGCAATAACGCTTATAAATCAGGATTACATTAACCATCACGACAACAGATAAAGGACAGATTACATTTGATCTATATCACTTATCACGCGGTAAATATAACAAACGACTTCGAGACAGTCAAGAGAATACGTAGCAAGCTAGTCAGGGTAATATGATCAGATGTTGAAGTGGCTACGTGGTTTATAAGCTTATGATTATATCTAAATCGAGGATTTTCGTTGATTTACAGGGAGTACCACAGACAAAAACAAGGTTTGATTGAACACAGAGGCTGCGTTTAGAAAGGTTTGTGTGAAATTAAATGTTCTAATCGTTCATAATGTATATTTTTTGATAATGGTGCGTTGGTTTGATCACCATTGGTTGTCAGGGTTGTGGACTACCCTTTACCAAAGAGTTCCCGTTGGTTCATGAAATCATTACCATTGAACAACTTAGAATGCTCTTCTTTCCCTTACAGAGGAATGCATTAGATCAAATCCTGTATACTTGCTAGATTTGACGAGAATTAATAAATTAGATCTTTACCATTCAAGGTTAATACTTGATACATGTAACTTTAGCTTGCCTTTCGTAAGACTAATGCAGATGAAATATCGGGGTCAAATCCATGAATTAGCTTTACAAAATACTTAATTGGAGCTTCAAAAGCTTGTGGGAGTTTTCTTGAACAACGGCATCCAATTTAGGTCGTATTTTGAAGTAGAACTCACGTGTATTGATTAAGAACTTAAAATAAACAAGAGTTTGTTATCCGTCTTCATTCCCAAAGGTGAAACAACACCAAAAATGGCGAATAATGTTGATATTGTGCCAGAAAATCTAAGAAGGAATCTATAAAGTTCCACGTTTTAATGCGCTTTTATGGAACTATCATATTTTTGACATCTGTTGCAGTTAACATTCTCTGTACGGTACTCATTCGTCCTATTTTTTCCAGGGTTTTTTTTCTTATCTTTGTTCATGAAAACTTTTATGCTACGATCGACGTGAAACATTTATTGAAATGAACTTTTCCATGAAAGTTCACTGAATCAATGAATGAAGCAGTTTCACGATGTAAACAATTTATTTGGTTATTTGATTGATTCGAGTGGCTGTGATTTTCGAAGCTTTACGTAAACAAATCTGTTAAAATCCACAAAACAATTTGCATATTTTTCACATTATAGCTAGCTTAAGCATCGTTTAAACGCGTTAAACCCCAGCGTTAAACAATCATTTATTGAATACATGTGTGCATGTAGTAATTTATTTTATTTTTATACAGTTGTAAACATGATTGAGAACAAGATGGCATTTTTGATAATCATCGTTTGTTTTACATTCTTATCAAAAGGAACTAATGCAAGGTAATGTATGGATTTCAAAATTACAAGAACATTTCCCAAATTGCTTTTCCTCGAGCGCTATAGCAAGGACACGTCTTACAGATCGTTGCATAAAGAAACCTAAATTTACACTGATTGGATAGCTCTATCAATTCTGAACTGTTCCTCCTGGAGGTTCAGTAAAGATGATCTCTTTTTGTTCCTAAGTAACTTCAAGATAAAACCGGATTACTTTAGGAAAGCTTGCGTTGTTTGATAGTTAAACAGGAAGCGCTCCTTTAGCAAATGACTTTAACATGCAGTATATTTCATTTTCCCTTCTCTTCTCTAGAGAGCAACTCCAGTTACAGAGCAAGGTCAGTAACTTAATATATCCAGTTATAGTAAAAATGTATGCGGCATTTTTCCAAACAGACGGATTAGATTTAAGACACTTGAGATTGCGTGAAGTTTGGCAATGCTGAGGTTAAGCCAATGAAAAGTTTAACGCAAAAACACGAACTGTGCGTCATCGGTTATATAAAACCAAATTTATGTCTGGAGATGCAACAGCTGTGTTTTGGGCAGAGTGAAGTCTTGCGTCTTGTAATACAATTACTGCATGTTATCAAGAACCAAACTGATTTAAGACAATGAACAGAGAGGAGCAGAATAACTCTGCATTTTTCACATTATGGAAATTCTTACGACTGTAAATTTCGGAGATAATTGGCACTTCATTAGCAATAAATGAATATCCCTCTAGTAATTTAAGGCTTGCAATTAAGATAGAAAAACAAACTCCCTAAAACAGCAATTATGTGAACCAGCCGCTTCAAAGCTGGCTTCATATAGACTTGAGTTAATCCAGGCAATGAACCCTCGAGCTTTTGAACAACAGATCCGGTGTGCACCTTGTTTAGATTTGTCAAGGGACAAATTTAATAAATCTATTTTGATTTGAGGCAGGCCGAAAGGCGAAATATTTCTATTGACGAATTGTGGATTTAGTTAACGTACACATTTTCAACACTTTTCTTCGTGAATGACGTAATGAACATTTCGTTACCAATCTTTTGACACGGCGGTACTGACAGTGCGCAGGTCTTCGTGAGATAGGCACAAGCGAAGGAAAGTGGACGTTATGAAATATATAATTGTGCCAAAATATGTCGACCCTTGTAAGTAGATGCGATTTGTAACAGCTGTGCAAAAACAATTTGTGGAAAAAGCAAGTTTTAGAAATTGACAGAAATTAATGTTTTCAAGAAACATACTGTTTCATAAAATTAAGGTGGGAAAAATTGAGACAGCAGAATCGTATTACATTTCAAGATTACATCAAACAAATAAAAACAATTTATGTATTTAAAAGTACCGGATATTGGTCAGAATTCTGCAGGGAAGATCATAAAAACGGTTTTGCATGCAATTTGCCATTTTCGACGATGTGAAAAAGCGTCGATCAGTGTACATTGCGTGCCAGCCAAGTTCTACAACAGGCTTTAGTTACTGAGGAAATGCATCAACACTCTATCACATCGGTTGGGTTGATGCGATCGTGCAACACGACTAAATTGAAATCAGGCTTAACTTGCCCAACCCACGATTCCTCGCTCAAGATAAGATTGAGAAATTATACACTGTCATTTTTTCACTCGCAGAAAGGTAGTTATGGCGCATTTAGAGAAACCTGATATATTGCTTTTAAAATTGGATTAAAGAAGGTACTTGCAATGTCCAAGTGATAGGTATTAAAGGCAATGATTATAAATGGCCATGAATGAACACAGGCACACGACTTGCTTCAACAACTGCCTAAAATGCAGATGAAATATTCTTGGCGCTGTAAGAGTCATTGTAAAAGACGAAACATCGAGAATTTTTCTTTCATATTTTTAAACTGATCATTCCGCATCATTCCATAAATCTAGCTCACATTCCTGGTGGTAGCAGCAGCGATGAAGCTAAAATAGTCTACTTAAATAGAAAATAGACACAGTCGATTCATGACTTAAGTGTCGGACGATTTTCATTTGATATTACGTGCATTAGTGCATGTGCCATTCCAATTAACCTGAGTGGAACTAACGACAAAATACGAATATGAACGGTATGCAAGAAACCGCACCGCACAGGAGGCACTTTCTAGTCGTTTGATGACAATTGAGAGAATTTATCACGCTCGTGTCTTGGTAACAGCAGTAACAGGAATCCCTGTGGGTACCTGTGTTCTCGTTAGGACAATAACCATAGATCATCTCCCCTATTTTGACAGTTGGGAAAGACAGTGTACTAACTGTAGATACTTCAAACAGTTCGGTGTTTTTTACCAAAATCTTTGTCAACAAATCTTAATAAGGTCTAGACTTTATAATCCGTTCATAAGTCATGCTCTAGGAATAGTGTCTTTTATGAAAATAAGAATAAGAGTAACTTAAATGATCTAGATTCTAGAGGATTTCAGTAAAGTTGAGCAAAGCAAAACAGAATTAAATTTCATGCACAGTCAATTGCCGCCAAAATGTTTTTTTCGGTTCGCACAAATTGAGGCGTAAATTAAAAAAATTGAAACAATGCAGGATATAATCCTAATTATTACGGCAAAAACTCGTTGTTTCCCAGGCTGATCCACCCAATTACTCCACATAAAGCGGCAATTAAATGAATTGTTGAACCACAGTCGTGTGGCAAAATGCCATGTTTAAAATCATGTTGCATGCTACAGCGATACTTCGGATCAGTGTTATGATAATTTTGAAAAATTAGAAGCAATTAGTCGCGATGTTTTCATTAATTTGTAACAAATTAAACTTGTAACAGATCATATTCCGCCTTGTTTCAAATTATTCATTTAAAACATGCCCCAATATCGCTTCGTAGGAAACATATTTATTGTACGGCATCCTAAAGCTTGCTATATTATTAAAGAAAGATGAATTTCGTGACTGTCAAATATATCGGTCAAATATAACGATTGCTGGAACGAGATTAAAGCATCAAATATCTTGATGTTCCTGCACGAGTATTTCCCTAAAATTGCTTGACAATTTCAATATGTTTCCATAGTAATCAAAGCTAGTGACCCACGCATTTCTACGAGAGCTAAACTGAAGTAATTCGTAGTTCACTATCATACCGCTAGCCTTAATATCGAGCAATTAAATTGTCGGTCCGGATGTGTGATTGCTAACGGCCTATAATTCTGTCATGAAACTCTAATGAAAGAAATAACTAACCCAGTTTAGAATGGAATGAAAGAAGCTGTCATTTCTGAGTGAACAGGAAACGATAGAATTTTTAGTAGTTTTTGGCTGCAATCAGCACAAGGTTTCCACCCGTTAATATCAACTCTACCGAACCCTTCCGTTAGTATTGAGTGGCCATACAAACAAAATTCACGCATAGAAATTGCCAGAAATGTAGTGTGGTTATTAAATTTGCCCGGTTCGTTTCGTTCCATTTTGCTTTTTTCAATCTCAGTCATGTCAAACACCACAATGAAAACCTCAGTATGTTGAAATAATGATCTCTCAGGAACCCCATGCATCGTGATGAGGAAGCAACAATTTTGAAATCGCATGTTCGAGCTCTTGCTAATCTTGAAGTGTTATCCTTTTTGTTATTTTAACCAACGTTTTTCCTATTTTTTTCTCTCTACAAACACCTTAAGGAACGGAACTTTTGATAAATTTCTCAGCTAGTTCTCATGTCCGAACAAATTTACCTAATAAGTAGAAAGAAAATGCGCCCTTGAAATAAATTTTCAAGGAAGTAGAATAATAGATGTATAAACGTGAACTTATTCATGAACACATTTGCACCTTCGACATGCCGTGCTCCTTCTGTGTTTTCATTCAATTTTCTTGATTATATTAAGGTGTTGTTTTTGTTTTTTTGAACCACAAGCATGCCGCTTTCGAAAACAGAGCAGCACAGTGCTGTTAAATGAAAGCATTTTACTTCATGTTGCGATGAACTGAATGTATTTATCACGCGCTGTTTTAATAAACTGCTCAATCTACGTTGTCATGACTGAGTTGGCAGGCTTTTCAAGGGAAATAAAAATATGAAATCAAAGTTAAGCCACTGAGAACAGATCTTTTAACACCTTGAAATAACGCCTAACCCCAGTCATTAAATTATTATGAAGTAGCAGAATAATATGTTGTTTTACCCAGGGTTATATGCACAGTTATATTCGCATCATGAATTATAGCAACACAAACTATGATGAAAAACTAAATCTACAGAACCAAATAATGTTCAACTGAAGCATTCGTACTCTGCAAGGAATGTTATTCATCTGGAGTATGTAGTTCAGGCGGGATAAAATTAGCTTTGAAGGACCCAACCGTGTCCTTAAAGTTACTGATTTATATATAGCCATCGAACATTCCTCATCGTTGGACGTTGAGATTACTTGCTGAGCCTGTGTCTTAGATATTTCTCTGACATATACTGAAATATTTGTGAATACCACAACTCGCTCTATATAATCTTTTACACGTCAAGGCTGTTCAGATCTTCTTTTAACTATTCCGCCTAATCTTGATTTGATTCTTCCTAAAATCCTTCTCTGAAATGATGATTGCAACCAGGGTAGTTTTCCTGCGTGAAATTGCTTTAAATTTGGCCGTGGTTTAGAACAGACATGCACTGAGCATTTATCCCTGAGTAAGTCTCGTTAATGAGGAAATCATGTTGGTAATTGATTGAATGTTCTGATAGAATTTTCAACAAAACACAACAAAATAGAATCAACAGATTGTAACAATTATCCGTGAACATCATTCAGCGTGTACAAATAGTCTGATGTAATTATCAAATGATATTTGTTCATGTTTTGCCTGACGGAATGAAACGGGTCGATCTCACAATCATATTCACAATCACAATCCTCGGTCCCTTATTGTTCCTTCTATACGAAAATCATCTCTCAAACTCTGTGACCAATTCAAGGATTGCTACATTCGCAGACGATACCAAGATCTTCAAGACCATCAATTCGATCTCTGATGCGTCTGCACTACAGAATGATCTGTCAAACTTCGAAAAAAGCTCAAGCAGTGTCAACCTCGAATTGAATAACACTAAATGCAAAATTTTAAGAGTCACTCGAAAGCTCAATAAAATTACTTACCCATACAAGCTCAACGATACCATCTTAGAATGCACGGATTGTGAACGCGATCTTGGAGTTTTAACATCTTCTACTCTGACTTGGTCTAAACAAGTTGACCACCTGTGCAACAAAGCCACCAAAATGCTAGGATATGTTCGAAGATCTACCTTAAACATTAGAGATATCATGATTCGTCGCAGACTATATTTATGTCTTGTTCGTTCCCAGCTCTGCTATGGATCTCAAATTTGGGCACCACAATCAGTGACCTTAATCAAACGCGTGGAAAGACTTCAAAGACGCGCAACAAAGTACGTTCTAAATCTGCCCTTCCGTTGTGACACAACCTACAACCAGAGACTTGCACTTTTAGACCTCCTCCCATTGTGCTACTGGCATGAATTTCAAGATATGATAACCTTCTACAAACTAACGCATGGCATCATGACCATTGACAATGATTTAATACAGTCGTCACCCAATAACAACAGAAGAGATACCAGGTCGTCTGATCCCAATCATCTGTCATTTACAATGGTACAATGCAAGACCACTACCTACCAAAGGTCATTTCTAAACCGAACAAAGAGATTATGGAACGTACTACCAAAGAGTTTGACAAACAATAACATCAGTTTAGGACAATTCAAAAACGGACTTTCTGAATATTACAAGTTAGCACTAGAAGACGTTTTTGACGTTGGTGACCCAAGGACATGGAAATCTATATGTTTGTCTTGTAACAAATCTCGTAATCTGTCCTGTCAAATATCGTGTTGTTTTTAGATTTCTGTTTGTTGTATATTATTAGTATAGTTTATGGGGCCGCTGTAATTGGTGAAAACTGTAGCGTGCACCCTGCCAATTTCCATATTATATGTTGTTGTAAATATACTGGTAAATGTTGCATATTACTTGGCAAAGTTAATAAATAAATAAATATTAGGTCGGTGAATACATTCGATTCGCTGAATGAGAAGATAATTAGCAAGCTAGATCTAGGCTTTCACCGTGGCTGGAGCTGTAGTAAACTCTAAGTTAAAACTCAAAAATTGACGCACAATGCAGAAAATCTTTTGGGCACATCTCGTTCAAAAATCCCAGCGCAAAACTCTATACATAGTCTGTTAGTATTTATTGGTAATCTAAGATATCAGTTTATCTGTAGTACTTGTGGCTATCATCTATTAGTTCTGTTTGTGTTTATTGGTCAAATGATCAACAATAATGTACTTTTTTTTCAGGATTACTTGAAGTATTCAAAGAGCGTGATGACGGGCGCAAAAATGGGCCTAAAAGAATGTTACCGAGAGTTCAAATATGAACCATGGAACTGTTATGTCTCCAATGATATCAAAGTGATGCCGATTGTGAACAGAGCGAGACTACCCCTAGGTAAGGTGTAGTGCTATCGTAGTAGGTGGGTTTCACCTGATCTCTTGATGAAAATATGTACTGGATGGTCCAAAGTCTCTGACTTCAAAGGGAGAATGTCTCACTGGATGTTTACTGAACGGCATTTCAAAAGATCTTGAATTGAAGATTCCAAGCATTTTACCACTTGACGGTCGATTGCAACATTAATTGATAATTGTTACATTTGTAGCCAATAAAGAGGCAGCTTTTATTCATGCGATCACCTCAGCAGGAGTGATGCATTCCATCATAGTCAACTGCAGTTTGGGTCACCTGGAAAACTGTCGATGTCTTCCAAAGAGCAAGCAGAAAGTGCGTTCAAGTCGAGATGATTCACCTGTGGCATGGCAATGGGGAGGTTGCAGTGATAATGTGGCGTTTGGTGACCTTGTAGCAAGACATTTTGTTGATGCTCTTGAAGGAAAAAAAGGAGAGAATGAAGATAGAAGAGCACTGAATCTTCACAACAACAAAGTTGGAAGAAAGGTGAGTTTTTTATCCAATTTTTGACAATGAGAAAAATATCTTTACCACAATCAAGAATCAGGTTATCTTCTCGCCAAAATTCTAAACAATGTTGTTAATATTTAGATGGTAAAAGGATCCACAAAGAAGGTGTGCAAATGCCACGGATCATCTTCTTCATGTACCACGAAGACTTGCATGAAAAAGGTTGAAAAGTTTGAAAAAGTTGCTGACGCTCTGTGGGAGAAATACCACACAGCCTTGAGAGTGGTATATAAGAATGGCAGCCTGTTTGACCAGGTGGACAAGAAGGTCACAAAGAGGAGGGTAGAGTTGGCATATTTCACACGGTCACCAAATTACTGTCGTCCCAACAGAAGGCTGAAGATTCCTGGTGTTGAAGGACGAGTGTGCGAGGCTGGTTCACAGAATGACTTGAAAAAATGCACAAAACTTTGTGAATCTTGTGGCTTGAAAATGAAGCTCAAAGTGGTGACCAGAAAGGAAAAATGTAACTGTAAATTTGTGTGGTGTTGTTATGTGAAATGTGAGGAATGCGAGAAGCGTGTTCTCACAGCGACATGCACAAGATAAGAACAGGCGTTTGTCCTATGGAACACAGATCTCTTTGTATAAAATATATATCATATATTAACTTATTATCAGCTCTTAGACGATACATATTATCATCAGAAAATAATTCTGATTGAGGAACGTCCTAAAATTATGGGAGTTGATAACAGTTGAATTGAGTGAAATAACTATGGTCCATCAGGAAACATGAGATCAATAGAAACATGAATTTGAACAGATCCGCACACCAGCTGGGTGCATTTCTAGTGTCTACCAAGTCCGAAGTCTCTCTATAACAGCTATTATTGATATTAGTTTAGATAACTTTACCTTGTTTGGAGGTTCCCAACTTTTAAAATCTGACCAGGGAATAGAAACAATCCTGGATTTTGATCCTGTCAATGACGTTGAGATTACAAGAAATGCACTCTGCAGTGAAGACGCCAGTCCTAAAAAAGATAAAATTAACACATCTTTTAAAAGGTGTTTATGACTGGGAGAATTGTGTCTGTACAGAGCTTGAAATTGTGTAACTTATTAAATTTTGTACGAAATATTGTTTCTGCTTTCTTTCAAATCAAGGGAGTCATTGGATGTCTCTACTGAATCCAACAAGTTAACTAAGTTTTCAGCCTTTGATTGAATACAAAATACAATGGCTTTTTGCTTTTGAATACTGTTGGGAAATAGCATTAGTCAACAAGCAAGCTAGTCTTCGTTAGTCAAACAAGCAAGGAATGAGCATATACAGACTACAGAGATTAATATTAGAATGACATGTTTTAAAATAAAGTGAGCAAGAAAAATTGATATTTTATGCAGCACAACACATTGCTTACCGTTCAGTTTCTTCATAATTTTGTTCAATGGAAGTTAAATATTCTTTCCTAAAGATTTTATTATGCGCCGAAAGTAAAATATCCTGAAATTTGTGAATTAAGTTTTGAATCTCAAATTCATTCATCTTGAAAAAATATGCCCAATTTCCCGTCAAATTAAATCCAAACGATGAATAGAAGCAAAAAAAGTCGTGTAGTTCGCGATATCAAGGCAGAGGTTCAGGCAGAGGAGGTACCTGGTCCTGGTATAACATCTACTGGGGGGGGGGTGTCCAGGGTGTCAAGTGACGGGGGGCTCCCAGATATAAATACCATCATTCAGCCTGTTTCTGGTGCAAGAAAGGGGGCCCTCTATTATGGCTGGTTCACCGTCACGGAAGGCCCCAAGCGGTTGCGTTACGCTACTGAATTCACATCGTAAAATGAAATATTTTTTCCCAATAAAAAACCACTCACATAGACTTAGATATGAGTATTCAATCGAAAAAAAATGAATTGTAGAGTAAAGAAGGATATTTTCTTCTTCATTTTACTGTGCACGAAGTTGTTTGAAAACGCTGCCCGGCCAGGTCCTCTGCCCTTGGTAAAAATAAAGTTAGTTTGGATTGAACATTCATCATCAAAAGAAAAAAAATTGACTATAAAAGACACGCACGCATTTCGTTTGTCCCGAAATAAATCATTCCCACAAAAATTGCACAAATATCCTAGATTTGAATCGCCTAAGAACTAGTTCAAAATACAATATTAAGAATTCTTAAAGATATAATAAATAAAATCGAAATGTTTTTGCTTATTAGACTGTTGCAGGAACAACAGTTCAGAATATGTATACTCATACATAAAAAGTTCATTTCTACGATAAAAAAGTCTACATGTCAAGAGAAATTTCAAATACTATACAATGATCATCAAAATATGTCCGATACTAGAGACGTTTCAACTTGGCGTCCCCAAAAATCAGGATATTTACGTCTTATATTGAATACGAGATTTTTCATAAAATCTGTCTGAATGAGAAAGTGATAATCTCAGAAACATTACGGTGTCTACGTTTCCTGCGTAAAATTCCCAGTCGTGAACATAGATTGTGGGCCTCCTGATCTAATCAGGTGGGTTGAAACGTCTGATATTCCCCCCACCCTCCATCCCCGTTGTCATGCAACAACCCGACAGAATACTGGAATCATGACTTGCGAACGAGTAGGTATTCGCGCGAATGTGTTTCTCCTAACTCCTAATTCACACTTTGCGTCCTGCTGTTTGCACAAAACGTGACAAAAGAGTCAAACAAAAACGAGCCCATTGGGCTATTAAGTGAATAGTCATTGGGTTCAAACGAGTGACAATGGGTAATGACATTTTGCTTCCACCTGTGAAAATATTTCCTTCTTCATCTCTCCCCTGATGTCACAATCTTGCCACCTCACCACTGGTAATGACCGCCACCAACGAGAGTGCCAGCAAAAGGCGACATATTAACAAGTGAATCCGTGCCATACGTTGTTGTACCAGTAAAGATGGTCTTCGGTGGGTAGGGCAGATTATATGGTGGGAATTTCCCATAGTTCATTGCTAGCTCAGGGTGCACAGGGAGACCAAGAACACGAGTATGAATATCCGGTTGATTGTTAAAAACTGAGCTCAAATAGGAGAAACCATTTTGATCAAGCCTTTGTTGTTTTAGTGTGTGATGTTCTGCCATGTTGTTGGACGAAACGAAACTGTGAGATCGCTTTCGACCTAACAAAGCCTCAACTGAATAATCATTTGTATTCTGTGAAGATTTTGGGTCAAACCACTTTGTTGCTTCACGTGGTGGTTGACTTTCGTGCGTCTGCGAACATCTGGGTTCCGAGACTGGTTTTAAACTGGTCGATGGTACCTTTGGATTTGTGATTTGCGAAAGTTTCGCGTCAAACGGACTGTTCATTTCATGAGGTGGTACATCTGGGTGCGTATTCTGCTTTTGCTTAGGAGGGTTCATTGTCCTGGTCAGTTCATGGTAAGGTGGTCCACTCTGGTGCTGTGAGTTAAGAACATGGTAGGACCCCCGACCTGCGGGGGTAAAGGGGTTAAAAATGGCACCCGAGTGGCGTAATGGTGGAAGAAATATGGGCGGTACGAACGAAGTAAGAGGGAGAGTGTTCGCATACGGGAACGTGGGGTACATATGGGTGAAATCAGGGTGCTCTTTGCGTTTGAGTGAGCGTAGGTAATCTGATGCTGAGCCGTTGGGAGGACGTTTGTTGATCTCATTGGTTTGTGTCAGCGGATATTGTGAAGAACGTGATGTAGTAGGCTGAGTATTAGTGGCTCTAGGAGGTCGCTCAATATTATTACCATCACTTTGACTGACAGGCAAGGACACTTCTCGGCTGGGATAATTAGTACCATTGACCTGATCTCGATGTGCTCCAACGAATGCTGGATTACCCTCAGAACTATTTCTGTTAATCAACGCTTGTTCCTCTGGCGTAGAGTTCAGAGCTGTCTCAGCCAACATTCGCAGATCAAAAGCTTCAAACGGCACGCCAGTAAACTCACCATCTAAGCTGAACGCAGCCTTCTCAGCATCGATCTTCTTCTGTTCCTGGTGTTTGCGATATTCCTCGGAGCCATGGTTTTTAAAATTCATCAAACGATGCTGGTAAAACACCAAACTGAGCCTTGTAGGTTCTTTTCTGTTGGGATTCTTTACTCTGGTCGTGGCGTGCACCTCTTGTTTCGCGCACTCAATTAATATTGATCCATGGGAGAGAGCCAGCCCCACTCCACCCATTGAATCATCAATCCATTTCAGGGCCTCATCCAATGAATCATTAGTATTACTCACATTCGACGAATGTTGAATGTTCGTGTCCGAATTGTTCTCAGAATTTTTCTCAGAAATTTCGTGACCGAGGTCACGTCTTTCACAGGATGCAGAATCTCGCCGACTCCCGTCTGATTCGTGCCTAACCAGCGCATTATAATGATAACCATTCTTGGTCAGTTCGTTTGAATGAAAACCATTCATTGCACTTGCAGGACACAAGAAGTGACCGTTATACCCCGGGATCACATTACCCCATCGGTCAACAACCCCGGGATAACTGTTGCCATTTACGAGCTTCGTGAAAAAGTCCGAGGCATCACTCTGCTTCACTGCACTGCCGTTAAAAATCTGCTCTCGCTCTGGGACAGCATTTCCCGGGTTCAATCCCCGTGGGTCATGATAGCCGTTTACTCTACCACCGTTCGACACCCCCGGATTTTGAACCGTTGGAAATACGTTCCCGGCGAATTGCTTCTCCAAAATATCCTGGTTATAACCATTTGAGATAACAGAAGGCTTCGGAACAAAGCCGCTGGAATTAGAATGATTTTGACCATTCATTTCTTTGTATGGTAAACCATTCTGTAAGCTATTATTAAAATTATGGTATCCAGAGTTCACGCCTCTAGGAACATTTTCCCTCGAGGAGCTTGGACTTTGATCCTCGGAGATTCCCCCCTCAGGCTTGTTTGCCTTAGGAGTCGTAAAACCGGAAGGATGGTCCTCAGGGAATTGTTGGTTAGAAGAGTTCATGCTACCATTGAGCTCGATATCTGCAAACTCAGCATCATGAGATGACGTATTACCTTTCAAAGGACTGGACGCCTTGGGTGACATCAGCATATGATTAGGTATGACGTAACTGGGTGGAACAACATTATTATTGTTGTCAAGAAGATGATAGCATGGAAGACTGTGTATTTGTTCCAGGTCGTCGGAATTTGTCTGCTTTCTCGCGTCTTCGCCAAGTAATGTTAGTACCTAAAAATAATAAACACCGCGAGTAAGACACTGTGATTAATCTTATGATGCACTGTGACACAACTGGATAGTTTAGTCTCTGTGACTGCATGCGGTTTGATTCTTGTAATATGCAGTTGTCTGATGATAATTTCACCTCAGTCGCACGTGAGAGGAGTGCAGTCTCGTGTGTGTTAGTACATGTGTCTCTCAGCGAATATCTATTTCTCATAGACAAGGTTGACTTCACTTACAACTGTCGCGCCGTTTTCCATATTGTGATCATCTTTATGATTGTGCGCGCAAAAATCCACGCAACAGGTGACACCAGAGAATGGTCGAGCGCAATCCGTATTGCTTCCAATACGGCACCTCACACCCTCAGAATCGTGCCGTGTCTGAAGAGGTGAAAGAAATTCCGTAAGAACACGCGTGATATACTGTAGAAATATTTACAGGGAAAGAAGCACTTGAAGTTCAACTTACTTGATTTTCAAAAGCCTCGGGAGCGATTGTCTTGTACGTTTGTGCAACTTGTGTTGCCAAATCCTGCAGAAGAGTATCGATAGAGTCCTCCTAATAATTGAAGAATATTTACGATCCTTACTTGACCTCTAAAAAGAACAGTTCAGAACTGATTGCGATATTTACCATTTCTTGGTTTTGTAGTCGAAACTTTCGAGGTGTTTTGCTCCTTGCAAACTTGCAGCTGTTATAGTAACGGTTCCAGGAACATCCGAACGAGAACGAGGCTCCAGCAGTGGCAGAATCGCTGCCTTGACACGCACATTGCTTCCTGAAAAAGATACAGTAAATATAGCGTGAAGCTGGAGCCAAAAATAAGAGTTTAAAACTACAAAAACCCTGCATATTTCCCCCTGTAGTAACACTGGATCAATAAGAGATGATCCTTACTGGACCTCTAGGAAGAACAGTTTAGAACTGACAGAGCTATCCAGTATAAATAAAGTTAGTTTAGTTTAGGTTTCCTCCTGTAGTAACATTGGATCAACAAGAGATGATCATTACTGGACCTCCAAGGAAAACCTGCTATTATAAAAAAGGTAATCTTAATCATTCCCACTTACTCTTTATTCATTCCACATCTTCTAGGGGTAGACACAGCGTGTTCATTCAGTGTACTTGTCAGTTCAGAGTAAAGTGAATCTGCCTGTTTACTAGGAACGCCATCCCATATCACGATAGAAATCACAATGAAGGAGAATTCACACGTGTGCCCGGGTCTTTGACGAACCACACTCAAGATCTTTTCCTCATCACTTGAGCGTCTCAGTACCTACGGAAAACATTCAAACCTTTTACAAAATAGCAGAGTAGAATTTCACATATGACTGGCAACTCTTATGGGTTGATTCTTACAAAAGATTTAACTACAGACCACTTACCCATCTGGCAATCGGACATCCGTCTTTATTCTTCGCCTCTTTTCCGCTATGGGAAACCTTTCAATTTACAAGACAAAAATAGTTCAGGAAATATGTATTAAAGCAACTTAAGAGAATTAAAATGGTGAAAGCAATTGCAAAGAGGTTCGGTGAAAGCTTTTTACCTTCTCGACGCGCACTGATTCAGGACTCAAGTTGAATCTTTCAGCCAGAATTGAGCGAACATGATGAACACTTGATCCAACTGCAAGATGTTTGTAAACGCTTCCTTCTTCTTTCACTTCATAAAAATGATAAATTGGATATGATTTACTCAAAACGTTGACATGCTTTTAAACCCGGGATAAAACACAGATGTGGATTACAAGTATGATAAGTGTCCTTGAACTATAACAACATTATAAGTTGCAAAACTGTTTCATGAATTACATATAGGTGTAAGCACTCGTCCGTTTATCTCTGTTCCCGTGATTCCGATACCCGTTCTAACGTATTTGCCGTACACCTAAATAGTGCAGAAACATAACAGGAAAATACAATAGAACTCCTTTGTTGCGAAACACTCTCCAAAGGAGGAAATCTTAGAAGTTCCGTCGTTTTCCTTGTCTGAAGTGTCAAGTGCAATTTTGAAAGTGATAAAGATATGATATTGAGAAAAATATCACATATTTTAGACAAGGAATTGATAACTCGTCAGATTGACAGTTGACAGACCAACATGAAATCGCAATCGAAACGGCAGCTTAAATGCTTAACGTGAATTTATTGCTTGTCAATATTTTCATAAAATCGGCAAACAAAGAGATACGAAACAAATCCCATCTCGAATATTCGTCGTCGCAAGATAATATCAACATTGATATTCAAACTTCCACACGCGAATATATACATCAGGCATGCATGAATTAGTTTTATCACCAGACATGCATTTACGAAATTTAGCTGACCATTTGTGAAGTGGGTGCTCCTCGAAGCGTCCCAGTCTACTAAAGAATACAAATTACCAAATCACAATTTCGGATTGCGCACAGTTTGAGCCACGGTTCTTCACCAAGAAAGCAACAAATTTGACGATAAGATTGGCAGTAAAAAGCACCTTTGCGAAGATATTTGCGAAGAAGCACATTTGCGAATTTCAGGCAATGTTGAAGTTGGTTGTTTTCATCTTGTCTCATGTACGAAGAAGAGGTGAAAATTTGTGATAAGTAAGTTTATTGCGTAACAGCAGGTCCGCAGCGTCTGAAAGATGAGGTCTCAAAATTCAAGAGGAGAGAAAAGAGAGTTGTTGATATACGAGGATCAAGCATCAACGAAAGACGCCATTGATCTTCATCGCTCTCTCATCCTTGATCAAATTCACGCCCAAAATACCTGATAAAAAAACGTTGCGGTTTTCCTTATTGTAATTCGTATGCATGGACACGATCTTTTTAACCCGATAGGAGACCACTAACAAGATGAATTGATTTCAATTAAAGTGACACAAGCGCGCTTATGGCTTGCTTTATCGTTGTTTTAAATCTTTCAACCCATGGAGATCTTGGATATCAAGCTGTGCTGTAGACAGCGCTTTCTTTCCCGACTCAACAGATTTTTGCGACTACTCAACTTTTGGCTACTTGCCCTCTTCAGTTTCCGACAAAGACTTTTATTCCAAACTTCATTTTTACGCACTAAAACTATACGAAAAACTACGAGCACTAAACTACAACAGTTCTTATCATGCTACGCGCACAATAGACAGCTTATTGAAGAAAAAATCCGGAAAAAAATTAGACACAATGTTTCAGATTTCTTTTCAGGTAGTTTAGACACAAACCACAACAGCTTATTGTAGAATACCACCTATACTAGACCACCACGTTTGAAATATCTTTCTCAGGTAGTTCATGCAGAAACCAGGACAGCTTATTGTAGAATACTACCTACACTGCACCACCACGTTTGAGATATCTTCTTAGGGAAATTTGGACGCAAACTAGGACAGCTTTTTGTACAATAAAACCCGCACATAGTGACACTGAAATTTAATATTTCAAATGCAACAATACCTTTACAAGAGCACCAGTTTTCTGGGTTGCTTGAAAGAGGATCAGGTCTTGGTACTGGGTCGTTCGTTGATTCCTTACTTGTCATGAGGGACAGGTGACAGTCGGTCGCCTCTGATGATTGACTTTTCTCAATGGGAGACAAATTTTGTATTTCCTGTTTCCTTTGCATTCCCCCGTCTTTCGCTTTTTGAACACTTAAACCTTCTTCCTTGACATCAGTTGGTTTTCGCTCACTGTTCCCCGCCTTTCTTTCGCTTTTTAAAAATGTTTTTTCGTCTTTCAGCGCTTTTTTTTTCTCCTGACGTTTGGGCGAGGTGATTTTATTTTTCGGGCTCATCTCGTGGCGTGCATGAGGCGTAATCTACAAACAAACAGTTGTGTTTGAGACTGAATTGAATCAATTTATTTGTAGGAAATTGCGAAATTATTTAAGCATAATACAGGACATCAACACGAGCTTCGTTCCTCTATTGTTGCAACTTGCAAGTTGATGTTTCATCTATTAAGACGGCTTTGTCGTAAAGAACGTGTCGCTATAACCAAGTCTATAACTCAGATTTTCAAACATCCACTTTCAAACGTCCGATCAATCTCCCTAATATGCAGTCCAAACTTACACATGCAAGTTTATCAGACTTTATATCTTCTTCTAAATAATGTATTAAATCTTGCGGACAGCCAAACTGCTCTTAAAAACGTGACACGCGTTCTTGAAGTGGCATATGATATGGCCATTACAAGTTCCACGCAAATAATTCATAGGACGTCGCTGGTCTAACTTTTCGTCGGGATTCATTGCAACTTGATCTGATTGTAACACATGTTAAGATCAAGATTTCAAGGGCTTACGTCTTCATTTTCCATGTCTTAACTTAGCATCCGTTGAAATCCGTTTGCAGCATGCAAGTTATTATACGGGGTTATTATACCTAGCAGCAAAACTATGGCGACAATTTCAAATATTTTTATTGTATTCATATCGCTTTGTGCTAGATTATTCCACATGCTGTAAGTGAAATGTATACAAAGACAACACATTAAGAAACTCAAAGTTCAAACCACGATTAACGGCAGTCATTTAGAATACCAGATACATGGCAATTGGGTTTAAATACCATCAACATGCCAACTCTGACGGCGAGAGCGTTATAAAACTTGGATTTAAAAATCGAATCCACGCCAAATATATTTCCTTTGACACGAGACGGAAATCCAACACTTCAGGGCTAATGCATCGTGTTTTAATCGGCTTGGCGAATACTGCTATTAAATTATAGCTGTACGTTCTTACGAGCAATTTATCACGTTTCTGAAACAAATTTCTGTGCGCTTCGGGATTGTATAACAAACGTTATCATACAGCGACCAACGCAATTCTTTATTTTATAATAAAATTACCCGCACTGTTTACTAAACTACATCAAACAGCCAACAACAAACATATTTCGCTAGTTTGTGCGTGAAATTTGCCAACACAAGTAGACCTTTGCAGAAGCGACTTAAGCGAGTAACAACGTACGTCGAACGAGAAAGCAACTGTTGAATGACAGGGGGAATGTTTGACCGTGTGCTCGGCAGGACAGAATAACACAAACGGCAAGTTGTCGTAAAAAAATTTAACTTCGCCCATCGCCATAGCGCGCTATCAAAGGTCGCAGAAACACAGAAATAGAGCATCAACGTTTAAGAATTATATCCCTGAGTATTTGAAATATATCATCTAATATATTAAGGCTGTATTGCACGAGCTTAAATTCATTTAATACAAATGGCAACATTGAAACGAAGACGAGCAAAACGTTCGTATTCAGCGTTTTTTTATTTACCTCGTTTGGAAGAGCTGAACATTTTGCAGTAGGATCGCTTGGTTCGAGAATTTTATTCATTGATCCCGGTTGAGTATCAGCTGGAGACATCACAGTGCCACTTGCCGCTTCGTTTGTCTAGCATCGAAGATACAAATAACTAAATATATATACCGAAGTAACCAAACCCAATATATAAAGAGCGCCGTATTGAATTGTCTCGTTTGTTGATAAACCCGTCTTTTATTAAACTTGGGTAGCACTGATTCACGGAATACGTAACGTACCAGCGAAAAAAATTACAAGGGATTTATTAAAGAACGAGACTCAGCACTGAACATTAATAACGCGGGGGTGTCCGTGTATAGATTGTCTATCTTGAGCATAATGTTTGGCTTCATACGAATACTAGGATATGAAACATTGAATACACCTTGGTGATATCCTTACAACACTCACCTTCTTCTTTAATTCGATGCATTTTCGAAATTTACAAATCTGATGGCCCGTTCTACGATTGAGACAATTACTGCACGTTTCACAATTAGTCTTGGTCAAACACGGTTCGCAAACTCCGCAACGCCGTCGCTTTTTGCGGGAATTCTGAGCTCCATTCTCGGCCTGATCATCGCTCTTGTCTTTATGGCCGCCAGGACTACGTGTTGGCCGTTTCATAGCGGTAAAACCGGCCTCAAAATTGAAGCAGTTTGCAGTGGAACGAAGCGATGCTCGTAAACCCACTCGTACGACGTGTTGTCTCTTCAAGCAGAACGACTCATTGCACGGAGACGTTAATTATCCCGACATCCGGCTTGCAATTCGAAAAAAGCTAAATGATCCTTTTTAGTGTCAAACACAAACTGTAAACTTTAGGCGTAAACCGCTACAAATGATCGTCTCAAGATTCGCCATATTTCGACAGCTCGAAGCAAGAGATGGTTAATTTCACAACAAGATATACAGAAATACGTTTATTCTTGTAGCGTCTGAGCGTCGGTGTCACTAAGGTCAAATTTTGCCCTATCGTTCGTCTGTCTTTGTTATTATAAGATGTCGCCCTTTCGACTCCCACGCAAGATGAAGAATAGTGACACGAGAAGACAATACCAGAAGATGACGCACAAGCTATTGTGTTCGTTGCGCGTTAATGCTGATCAAGGCCGTTCGTTAAGTGCCCATGATAAAAAGGCATGTTGTTTGAGTGAATATTCACTGCCACCAGGCTAAGTACTGTAGCTATCGTACGTTCTTTTTTCAAAAAATTTCGTTGATTTGTTTAATGCTCTGAGGCTACCCGGAAAATGTGGTGACTAATATTAATCAGTTACACAGTTCTGGAACAAGGCTACGATAGCCTAAAATCGATATTTCTGCTTTTTTCTAAGTATTAACACGTGCTATTGAAGTTTTCCCACGTAATATGTTCTTTTCTATGAGAAATGTTCTTTTCCCACGAAAGCGTTCTTTTTCTCACGGTTGCTACATTTTGATACAGTTTTTTGCAACATCGATCTTTGATACATTTTGGAGTATTTTTGCTACATAATGGAATGTTCTACGGCGTTTGTTTGTTACTTTGCTATGTTCTTAAGAATAAATCGGATTATCTCGAACGGAAAGGCCGAGCGAAGGTAGTTTTTTTTCATAGCAATTTACATTGTAAGCTGTCCAGTACCTCCCCTCACACTAAACGAGTGTTTGTCGTTAGCGTGAAGATGTAATTCAATGTGATCGGATGTACACAAATTTTATTAATTTCGAAATACAGGATACTTACTTCGCTGTTTAACCCTCGCAGCGCATGTTTTTGTAGCGATTTACATAACAAAACCTCGTTTTGCACTAGCGTGTTTGCCTGTCACGAGTCAGCTTATTTGCCCTCCAGCAGAATAGCACTAGTCATCTTTCGGAATTTTTTAATCGCAAAACGGCAACTTTAACCTTGTTCGAAAGGCGTTTAGCTTAAACGGTGGATAAGTTCAAAATGGAAAACAAAATTATCTATTTATTGAATAACTGAGCTGAAATATTTCGATGTAAATATTTTAATTTTCAATAGCAGTACATACTTAATATGCGTAAGACGTAGGTTCAGTTATTCACTCAGTTAGTTGACTTAGTTCAGTTATATTGTGAGAGTATTTTTAAACTTTGGCTTATCCACCGGTTAAGCTGAACGCCTTTCGAACAACCGGTCCTTAAAAATATGATTTCGTGACAGCCTGACAGGCGAACGTAGTGCAATGCAAATGCTGACCTAAGTATTATGCTAAACTGCTCCCGTCATTAGCGAGAAGTGTCTCTAATATTACAAAGCGCGGTTTATTCTAGTTTGGTCTATAATAAGTGCCTGCTATTATAAAACAGATAGTCATCAAACTCGACTCTCAAGAGCATGAAAATATAAAAGGTATTTTTGGAGTACCCTGTATTTCATTGGAAATAAAAATAGTTGAGAGATTTAATCGAAATTTCCCCAACGACTTCGAACTTGACGACTATCTGCAGTCGAGTTCACAACACTGGGATATGTGAAATGAAAGATGGAATTCCCTCATATATTACAATTCATTGAACTAGAAATATTCCAGAATAACCCCCTGGGTGTATTGTGGCAAATATTAAAATATATCCGGGCATTTGCTAAAGTCTCGTTCCCAATATTGTTCGCAAAATATCCAGTCTGTTTGCCCATTATGTGGATTAGGTGCCTCTTTGAACCACCTGAACAGAAAAAACAATAAAACGACTAAAGTAAACTAACTTTATTTATACTGGATAGCTCTATCAGTTCTAAACTGTTCTTCCTAGAGGTTCAGTAAGGATATGCACGTAAAGAGTGTATTTTTTTTAACCTCGGCACATGTTCTTCTTTCCTTTTACTTCTTTCTTTCCTCGCTGTCCGTTGTTTCTCTTCCAATCTTCGTTTTTCATCCGCAGCATAATCTTACATACAATAAACAATCAATTTTCTCCGTTAATACATAACAAAGAGAAGTGCATTACATACAACGAGGTATACCGTAGTGTACCGTAGTATACCGTAGTGTACCGTAGTATACCGTTGTGTACCGTAGTGCACAAATCATTTCCTTGTCAAGTCAAACTAGACGAATAATTTGCCTACCAATGTCCAATGTTTCCAGCGTGCGAACATCTGGTCTCAGCCGAGAATCAGTTGGGGCAAGCTTAGAGATAAGAGGAAAACCTGATGGGTTATGGCACGTCAATGATATTTAAATTAAATAATGTGTTCTTATGGTAAAGTTCATGAAACTTGACCATTTCACTCTCAGACCTTTTCAGCTTGTTCCTCGTGAAGCTCGTTCAACTGCATCGCAAATGATGTGAAGTTATACATCTGAAATTTTTTGAAGAAAATCTAAGTTGCCAAGCCTATGATGAGCTGAGAAGGGGTACGTTAAGGGTGGATTAGGGTGACTTTGGTTTAGATATGGATAGATGGTGGTAAAATGAGATTGCTTTTGACGAGAAATTCTAGAGCACAACGAAGGGACCCCCCTGAAAGTCAGCACACGCCATCATTTTACCTCTTTTGAGTTTGGTGGCCGGGGGTTGACGGTCCAGAGGAGAACTCGATCGAAATCATCTTCCTCGTCTGTGCTGTCAGCGCTTGTGCTTGAAATACTTGGAGCTATGAGCGCACTTCCTGTCGTTGAACCCATCGATTGAGTCGCCATGAATTCATCCTCTGCTTTTGATTTAGGTTTGGCTGAGTAGCCGTACAAATGTTTCGTCCAGTCCCCCTGAAGAATGTACTCCTTGCCGCCTCTAGATGAGGTCACACAGTGGTTAGTACATGTGTCATTTCACCTCAGTCACATGTGAGAAGATTTGTTCTAGTTTGACTCTACCAAACACAGTGGTTAATACATGTGTCTTTCATCTCCGTGACTGAGGTTTGATTTCTGTAATATGCAGTTGTTTGATTATAATTTCACCTCAGTCACATGTGAGAAGATTGCTTCTAGTTTGACTCTACCAAACACAGTGGTTAGTATATGTGTCTGAGGTTAAGATTAAGATTTCAGGTTTGGTCTATGTTGTATTGTTAATAGCTCCACACAACATACTTTTTGTTGTAGATTGCGCCTTCGACTTTATTAATTTCTCGACCGAACCATCCACAAGGTTTAAAATTCACGATACATTTCACACCATGAGTGTGGTTGATAATTTCCATCTGTCCATACTGAAATTATACGCAAATATATTAAAAGTCAGTACGGGAACTCGAGAAAAAAAATATGGAAGCGTTGGTCAAGAAAAACTCTTGATTACTTCATAACAAGGTATTACCTGTTCAATCCACAACTGGCCAATAATAATGTTATGCACGCATGCGTTGATATTGTTCCACGTGTAAGATTCTTGTAGTCTAAAACAAATGAAGACATGACGTCATTCTCCTCTACACATGACGTCAGTTTCAGCACTCGCGTGTCGTCTTTAACCCGACAGTGGCCTGGGTTTCAGTGATGTCTTATTTTCTACTTACTCGGTGAATTCAAGCGAGACAATTCCTTTGGGTACAATCTCGACGCCTTTTCCCCAGAACCTCAGCTTCGGTTGAACTGAACAATGAAATTTGAATCCCTTGCCTTCACAATGGAGCGCGCTGATTGGTGGATGATGACTGACCTGCAACGGTAAAGAATATTAGAATGTTATCGGAACATAAGCCACGTTTCATTCATTTAAAACGCTCATATCTACCTGTTCTGTCACTATTCTGTACCCAAGATCCTCTCTGGTAAAGAAAAAAATGAACGTTTAATCCATCACTAAATCGTGTCCCTTTTTGTAGCGGTTTATCAACAACGTACCTGACAAGTTCATACGTTTCCCCCAGCAGAGGATTAAATGGTTTACCAACACGATGTAAATTTGAAGCTGTTGACGAAACTGCAAATGCCGCCACATACTAAGACGAGAGTAAAGAATAGTTCAGAACTGATAGAGCTATCTATAAATAAAGTTAGTTTAGTTTAGGTTTCCTCCTGTAGTAACACTGGATCAATAAGAGATGATTTTTACTGGATCTCTAGGAAGAACAGTTTAGAACTGATAGAGCTATCCTGTATAAATAAAGTTAGTTTAGTTTAGGTTTCCTCCTGTAGTAACACTGGATCAATAAGAGATGATCCTTACTGGACCTCTAGGAAGAACAGTTTAGAACTGATAGAGCTATCCAGTATAAATAAAGTTAGTTTAGTTTAGGTTTCCTTCTGTAGTAACACTGGATCAATAAGAGAAGATCCTTACTGGAACTCTAGGAAGAACAGTTTAGAACTGATAGAGCTATCCAGTATAAATAAAGTTAGTTTAGTTTAGGTTTCCTCCTCTAGTAACACTGGATTAATAAGAGATAATAAAAGCTAAACAATCTACCTGCATTCTGACAAAAGGGTCATCTTTCAACTGGGCTGTCTTTAGCATGTGACCATACTCCATATATTCACAAATACGTTGAAGAAATGTTATAGGTTCATTGAATATAACTACAGGAGGGAATATTTGAAACATGTTTTACAAAAGACATAAACCTTGCAAGGCTCTGAAGGATGTTTCAGGTTTAGTAACCTTCGAATAAAATCATTTTGACTTAAGATCTAAATCTTAATACGTACCAGGCATTGTTATTCTTGATAGATCCTGCAAAGTGAACGAATATTTGCATAAATATGGAATGAAAAAACTCAAGGGATTGTTATTTCAATGTTTTGATGATAACAATATAATTCTGTTAAATGACATTACCTTTCCAATACAATGTTTCAAAACAGCCCAGACACTGAAATCTCGTGATAACATTGGCAAAGGAAGACTGGTTCTAGAAATCATATTCGAACAAGTTAGGTTCCAGTTGCTTTCTCTCCATCACGACCCACAGATAGCGCTATCTAGCTTTCGTACAACCGTTCCCTGGAGGCGAGAATGGAGTTTTCATTATCGCTCAAGTGGTAACACCCACCTGTGCCTGCCTTCTGGTAATTCAGACATCAAGTCATTGGGTTGAGAAGCCTCAGGTAGAACCATGGGAACCCCGCTGTTGTTCGGGGCTTCAGGCCCGGGTAATACGCCATTATTGCCATTGACAACTGGACTCTGAATGTCATAATCATCATTTTCCTCCTGATCACTGGCTGACAGGAAATCAAGCTCCTCTTGCGGAGAATAATATTCTTCTGCTTCACTTGTTTCCCAGCTTGACATTTTGCCTGGAGACTGAAAACCAACACAATAAGATATGATAAACTACAGAAAGAAACCTAAACTAAACTAACTTTATTTATACTGGATAGCTCTATCAGTTCTAAACTGTTCTTCCTAGAGGTCCAGTAAGGATCATCTCTTATTGATCCAGTGTTACTACAGGAGGAAACCTAAACTAAACTAACTTTATTTATACTGGATAGCTCTATACGTTCTAAACTGTTCTTCCTAGAGGTCCAGTAAGGATCATCTCTTATTGATCCAGTGTTACTACAGGAGGAAACCTAAACTAAACTAACTTTATCTATACTGGATAGCTCTATCAGTTCTAAACTGTTCTTCATAGAGGTCCAGTAAGGATCATCTCTTATTGATCCAGTGTTAAGCGCCATCCAAAGGACGTCAACCTTTATCCATTCCTTACCTCGGGGAAGCGGGAAAGCGAGGACGACAGCACATGATGTTCAGCGGCTAAAACATGAAGCGCATCCTCCAACACCCGCCGTCGCTCTGCCTCGTCATCCAGCTGAAGCCTGCGCGCCTGGAAGACACAGAACAACTTTTAAAAATCTGAAAAAGATTTCAACTGATGATAGTCCGTTCGGCTGCCCTTAAGAACACAAGAAACCCACCTCCTCCTGCTGTGAAACCAAACTTAAACAATGATTCAGTGAACTGTACATCTCCTTCGCTGACGCCAAAACCTGGGTTAACTTATCCTTGATACTGAGGAAGGTATCTAGGAACAAGAATACAATATTTAGGATCTTATCTGAACAATTGAACAAAGAAAATCCATCATTTTCTACTTACTTTTAGACCGTTTCAAGTCTTCACTAAGTCCATTTAATAATTCTTCAACAAGAGACACTTGCTTCTTCAAAATATTTTGATGTGCTTGAGCACCCTGGGGAAGCAATTCGAAATTATCTTTAGTTTCTGGTCCACAACAAACAAGACTAAAATCTCTTTCTTTCTTAAAAGAACAGCTTCTTTGTTGAGGTGCATCTCACCTTTAAAGCATTCTCCATTGTTTCCACAGGAAGGATATTGTCTTCTAACTCATCATCAAAGTCAACTGAAGGCTGGTTGATGAAGTATGTGCTGTATGCTTGGTGTTCATGAAGAGAGTTGAGCCAACACTATAAAATATTTGCTATGTATCTTTATTTGTACTAGATATAGCTTTATCAGTTCTAAACTGTTCTTCAGTAAGGATCATCTCTTATTGATCCAGTGAAACTACAGAAGGAGACCTAAACTAAACTAACTTTATTTATACTGGATAGCTCTATCAGTTCTAAACTGTTCTTCCTAGAGGTCAAGTAAGGATCATCTCTTATTGATCCAGTGAAACTACAGAAGGAGACCTAAACTAAACTAAGCCTTATGATTCTAATATGAGTATAATCTAACCTGTCTTGACACTTCATTTCCACCACATTTCACACTCCACAGGAGAATAGAATTGTCAGAAAACTGCATTTTGATTTTATGTTCATCTCTCTTGGATACCTGGAAAATGGGAAACTTCATCAATTCATTCACTTCTATTTTGAAATATAAAATGTTCAAAAAGCATTTAATCTCTTGCAGATGGAAGAACCTACAGCAAAAACAGAATTTTCCAAATTCCTTAAACCTTGTCTCTTAACACCACTCACAGCATCAGCCCTGAATCAAATAACAAACAACAAAACTTTAGCATTCAAATTGCTGCATTTCAAGTGCATCATAAAGCAATTAAATTACATTTACATAAAGATTTAAACTTTGGGAAATTCTTCACCTTTTTCTAAACCAGGACACAATGCCTTTATCAAGAACAACCCAATATTTTTTCCAGCCAAAAAACCGTGATTTTTTGAGAAGATATCCTTCAAACTTTGGAACCATTCTTTGCCAGACCTTAAGGTGAAGATGACAACAACAAAAAATTATGAAATACTTTTCAACCAAGCAACTATTATGAAGCATGTTTCAATCCTACCTTAAATGATTTGGTTGACTTGCGAAATGAATTGCTTCGAGAGATCTAGGAATTGGTAAGGAAGATATCAGAAAAATTGCGAGTTCATATTGATATCTCTACTGAACCAACGAAAACATATCACTGGTATATGATTATTGCAAATACACTAAACCTGAGAGGGTTGAACATCAAGCAACTTCTTCATTTTCAAATCATCAGTCAAATTCAATGCAGTCTGACCTAAAACATCATGAGAATATTTAGTGTTTACTCTCTAAATATATCTATAAATATATCCATGAAGGCTAAGGTCTTGTTTCCAACTCGTGACACTTCAGTATAATCCTTGAACTAGCTCATATTCATTGGGCAGTTCAGACTTTGTGAAGTTAAATATTCTAGTATGCACCATTGCAACTCTTTAGAAAAAGCCTTACACATAAATTCATCAAGCAATAAACTGCAAAACAAATGATAGCTACAATATTCTAGCAATTTTTGTACCATTGTTATTCTTGCATGAGGGATTTGCACCATTCTGAAGCAGCATCACAGCAACTTCTTTCTTTCCTCTATGAAATAAAAAAAAGATTTGCATTCCTGCAGGAAAAGAGTGAAATATTACAACACAAATCAGTGATTCACAATACCTATATGATGCCAAGTGTAGTGCAGTATTACCCTGATCATCTGAGCAGTTGATATTTGGCGGGTACTCCCCAAAAATCTAAAGTGATAGTGTGTATATGATGTTAAAGAGATGCCTTAAAGATATTTCATCATTTCTAAGAGATATTTCATAGCAAAAAGACTGCTTCTCTTTTTACTAGCTCTTACCAGGCCTTTCAACACTTTGGTATTCCCTTCTCGAGCAGCTGTAAGGAATTGTTTTTGTATTTTTTCCTGTTCTTGGTTTTCTGCCTCTGTGAAAATGGACGTCATTAAATGTTTGCAAGATGGGCTAATCCAGTCTGTCCAGTTAACAAACATATTTGCTTCTCAGTCAATCAAAAAGCTCACTGGTGTTAGTCAGTCTGCTTGGCTAAACAGTTAATGTTAATATACCTTGCAAGATATCTTTCACAGCATCTTCTTTTGCTAAATGTGAGCTGGTCTTTTCATCACAGTTCACAATCAAGGGATTTGCTCCATTTTCCAACAAAGTCACAATGAAGTCCTTACAAAGTGAGACAAAGAAAGATATGTTTAGAACAAACTCTGTTTAATATTACCTGTCGCTTTTCCCTGCAACACACAATCACACAACCAGAGTCACTTTTACAAAAATTCATAATCATAAACAGCTACCTTTCTTCCAACCATTGCAGCTTTATGTAAAGCTGTTTCCCCTCCATCAGTCTTTATATTCACATCTGCTCCAGCCTGAAATCAGAGGACATTAAATCAGAATTAGCATCATGACTGAGGATAGGATTTCCTCATACAATTGGTTTGTCTGGAGGTTGAAACAATATTCTGAAATGCATTTCACCTAACATTGAATGGACAATCACCTTGATCAAAGCATCCATTATTTCATGATTTTCATGTTGAATAGATGTGTGAAGTGCTGTCCATCCAAATGATAACTTTGTCTTTCCTGTTAAAATACAATGTCAGTCAATGTGATTTGTGCTGGCGGAAATACACAGGCTGAGGCCTGGCTAAAGTGCATTTATACTATAAAAATTTAAGTTAAAGTCAGGATACAGGCTTGTTACAAAATCATACCTTTGTAGTTGATATTGAATTCACTCGAGGAGCCTTCTTCTGCCTTAATTAGATCCTAAAAATGTAAAATTTACATTCTATATTGTAATTCAGTCTGTCATTTTCAATGGGACCTGATTTAGATCAGAGAGGGAGGGTGTGCTCTCTCAAAATTAAATGAGGGCAGAGGACTCTAAATGACACTGTGCAACTTGTGCAAGTTGATCTGACACTGTTCAAGTACTCTTCTCAAATGTCACAATTTATTGTAGCAATTTAAGATTTAAGAAACTCAACCCAACTTTGAAACAAGACATTTTGAAATTAAAACTATTTCTAACATCCAAATGATGTGAATAATTGTTAGTTGCTAGGCATATCAATTTTCAAAGTGCTTTTTCAAGTTGGTCCACGTAACAATTGCCATCAAAGCAATAATGTGGAACCACAACTTTAATTGTCTTTCTTTATTTTTGCCATAAAAGACTACATATCATGTAAATATTTAGTATAATGATTAAACAACACAAATTTTACCCCCAACAGATCTTCTGATAATTTTCAAACATAGAAAGTTTTAGAAATTTTTGACCTTTAATATCACGCTGGGCGGGGATTAGGTTACAGAAAACTTATTAAAAAGCAAAACAAAACACAACAGAAACGCATTTCTGTGCAATAAATGATTTGATTTATGTAATCAAGTCTGAACTATGACTTAAATTAATCCACATAACGCGAAATATAAACAAATTTCAACAATGTTGAGAAATAAATTGAAGTCAGTATTCAACAACGTAGTTTGTTTTCTCGACCATTCTCGCATATTCTTTTGAGAAAGTATGAACTAAAAATACTTGTATTATTCTACGAATGCTAGTCTACAAGAAAGAGAGAAAAAATTTTCTGACCAGAGACCAAAAATCAATATTTTTCTTTGTAAAAGAGGCTAAAAAACGGGCTGCGCGTTATGACATCCTGAACACATTAATCGCAATTTGTGAATTTTTGCTGTCCAATTGTAATATTTTCATGATTTTATTCACAAAGTTCCTTGTTATATTAATACATCCAAAGCACTTTCAAAGATTAACAGCTTTACAAGAAAAAAAGAAGACAGCTACTTTTATTATCTGGCTCAAAAGTTTAAACAAAAGGCAATTAATCGCCAGACGTGGGAAATATATAACTCAAATACTGTCCTTTTCAATGGTTCAACAAGAGTTTGTTTTGGACCAATTCGGGTGTAACTTTATAGAAACTATTAAGATAAGGCTTGAAAATCTCTTAAAACTCCCCCAACTTTCAGATTTCACCTCGAGAGGGAGATCTTAGCAAGTTATATATGGCAACAAATATATTTCTGCATTAATGACTGTGTTTGTTCTTGGAGGCACGATTGAATAAATAGCCTGGCACTCCTCGGAAAACAAGTGATCGGTAAAATTTAATCCCTGTTCAAAACTACAGATAATACTTGACATGTTGTGTGAATTTCGGAACAAAAGCCGTACTTTATAATGTAAAAAACATTGCGTGCATAAGCACTGGAACAAGGGCAGACATGAAATCAAAATTTACCTTAACCCCTTGAATATCACCCTTTCTTGCGGCTGTGATGAGCTTTTCACCTCTTTCGTCTCGCTTTTCGGACATCCCGATGCATTAAAAAGCAACCTTCACCACATCATTTCTTCTACTGAACGAAAAAGCTTCATTTTAAAGCATTTTCTGTCTGTTTTTTAAACGCAATGAATGGTATACTATATCGTTCTCTCGAGCGTACTAAAGTATGCATATATCCGGCACCACAGTGAATTTTCGTTCCCCCCCTGGAATATTTCACAAACACAAACTGGGATATTTGATGTTGTATATTTCAGGGGGGGGGATACAAAAAATACTGCTTTCAAGATGGCGAGCTTAATTGTTGGAAGAAGACTCAGTATTGTGAGAAATTATTTAGTTTTCTTGCGTCCGCAAATCAGAGCAATGGCCAGTGAATATGGCAGCGGAGAAGGAAAGGTGTGCAGTATGGATTTAGTAAAAAAAATGCAAATAAATGTGTACAAAAACATTGTATTTTGTACACATTCATAACAACTTGTTAAGTCGCATTCTCTACCAGTCATTGATTTCATTCTGTTCTGTTTATACTAGGGAGGTGGAGGTGGTGGCTCCGTGAGGTTTGTTTTGATCATTCGTTGTTCATGCCTGGTCCTATGCATCTTTGAAGAAAGACTCTCTGCCTAAAATATTATTGATTGCCAAAGAGAAAATGTACCACTTCATTTCTATCATTTCTAATATTGACCATGTATTTAAGGTCAGCTGGTGGTGCCTTTGGGAAAATGGAAGCAGCAAGGGAGGAAGAATACTTCCGAAGACTGGTAATGCTGCAGACTTTCTCAAAATGTTTGCATTCTATACTCTAAACCCCACCCTCCCCCAGGGGAGTTGATGGTGTTTTATTGACGCAAAGCAATTGTATTTTTTAGCAACAAGAGCAGCTTCAGGCGTTACGAGACCATCACCAGGAGTCAGTGAAAAATCATGAGGATGACATAGAGATGCATAAAGAGAGCATCAGGAAACACGAGGAAGCCATTGAACGTGCGAAGAAAATGAAACAGAAAATTATTGAAACGATACGTGATGCTGAAGCAGCCAAAGATAAATAAACTGTTGTTGTGTTCAAACAAACTTTGAATGCCACAAAGTCATTGTGGAACACTGAATGAACTGACTTTTCACTGTTTTGTTTAATGAAGTGTGTTGTTGCTATATTAAAAAAGATTGTCTCTTTTATCTCTGGGAAATAAAGCAAACCATTTAATTGTTTACAAACCTGTTTAATTGTTTACGAACGTGTTACCACTGCAGTTTACCACAGCAGTTTACTGCAGAGAAATATAAAAGATTGATCTAGATTCTACTCTAGTTCTAATATTTATTTACAATATCTTCATGTCCTGGTATCATAATTTGCTGTTGTGAGCTACAGTCACTTTTGATGCAGTTGGTTTTCCAAGAATTGATGAAATATAATTACTTGCTTCAATGATCTTCTCCAGGTCAACACCCTAAACCAAATGAATCAATTTTATGATCCATAATAGCTGTGAAACCTTGTACTAGTGATGGACTTGGCATAAAGCAAATGTAAAATTTATTAGATAGAGCAAAACCTTTACCAGCAGACAATTTGATCAAATATAAAACAAAACAAACTCCAAAAAATGCCATCTTGCAAACTCAAGAATTGAGTCATTGAAGTCTGAAGACTGCATAATTTCTGCCTCTTTTAAACTTAAATCTTGAGTTTTCTGGATTATATAACTCGGGACTTACTGTCTCAATTCCCATCCCATGTAACATGTATAATACATCCTCTGTAGCAACATTTCCAGAAGCACCTCTAGCATAAGGGCAACCACCAAGACCACTTGTCGAAGAATCAACTGTTGCTATGCCAAACTAAAAAGAAAGTTGTTAAGGCTGCAGCCTAAATGGTGCAATAAAAAATGAACAATTATCATACTAGCTTGCCTTTAATCCAGTCAAAATGTTTGACAAAGCTTGTCCATAAGTGTCATGACAGTGCAGAGCTAATCGAGATGGAGACACAACTTTTGTGACATCTTCCAGTAGTCTTTCAAATGATCCTATGTGATGGTTAACAAATATATATATATTAATATATTAATATATAATATTTATAACTGTACTGGTACTTAATTTACTAACCTGGTGTTCCAACACCAATTGTATCCCCAAGCGACACTTCATAACACCCCATGTCAATAAGGGTCTGTGTTAACTAAAGCATCCAAAATGCATTTCATATGAAATAAACTGTTCCTCCTCATTGCACTTAAATATTAACTAAGAAAGAAAGTTGTCCAACCTTTGTAACAGCTTCTGGCTTTATTTCTCCCTCATAAGGGCAGCCAACAACACAAGAAACATATCTTCAACCAAATCAATGTACAAAGCAATATTAATTTGTACTAGTGCATGCTAATACTAGATTAAGAATTGATATGATAAAGTACTAGTACCCTCTAATTTTGACCATTTTATCCACAGCTGCATCACTGACTTTTTCAAAGCGTTTGAGGCTTTCATCTATTGAGCAATTGAGATTCTTTCTAAAAGAATGATAATGCCTTGGTTGAATGCAGCAAGTGAATATATCCCTTAGTCTTTAGTTGGGGTTTATATATGGTGTTAAAATCTATAGAACAGGAGAACACAGAATGCAAGGAAAATCTGAGGAAAGATAAAGAGATAATATCAATATACCTGCTAAAGGTTTCCGATGCAGCTGCAAAAATAGCCACAACCTCAGCACCAGATTCTACCTAACAATTATAAAGTGGAATGGTTTATATCTGCAAAATATTGCCTTTGTCAATTAGCTATTTTATCCTCCATCATTTTCCTCAAGCACGAAGCACTTACAGCAGAATTGAATCCTTGAATATTTGGAGTCAGAACAGGATATGACACTTCAGGATTCTTATGGATTCCTCGCATAACTTCTTGATGGTCCTTCATCTAAATCCACAATTTTGATAGTTTGTGAGTTTCTTTGGTCAATGATGATCTCATTAGTAACTAATCCATTAGTAATGAGTCTCTTTAGTAAGCCTAATTGCACGTAACTAACCTGTGGAACCCATTTTGGTGATACAAAGCTTGTGACTTCAATAACTGGTAGACCAGAATTTGACAGCATATCGATAAACTTGATTTTAGACTCAGTTGGAATAAATTTCTGTGAAGAGAAATTGGCAATTGCCTCATCAGTGTAATTTAATTGATAAAATGTATCAATTATTTCATAATTACAAACCTTTTCATTTTGTAAACCATCACGGGGTCCAACTTCAACTACTTTAACATAACTTGGATAGGAACATTGGGTTGAGAATGCTTCTACAATCTGATGGTAATATGTAGAGAAAAAAAATTCAAAAAGTACATCATTTTTAGAATGCTTTATCAATTCACATTTTAAATTTGATATTCAAAATTTCTACTTATTTAACTTGCCTTGGTGCTTCTAAGGAGTGTACGCCGTACACAATGTGCCTGCAGAATATTCATGATAAATTACATTGATTTCCTTCAGTCTGTTTTCAAAAATATCTCCCCATGAATGGCCATGATTTTATTACGTTTGTTATTCTGCACAGTCTACGTTTGTATTCACCCAGTGTGTCCGCTTCCATACGAGATCAGTGACCGAAAAGAACCCCCCCCCTTACAAAAAATATTTTGCCAAGTGATCCGCTATCCTTTGGAAAAACAGACATATATAATATTTATATATTAACTAATAATTTCTAATTTTCACATAAATGAACTTATTACGATATTTTGGCGTATAAATGCTATTCAATTTTATTTTACAGAGCTTGGGCGTATCTAATACTTTGCTTTGGTAAAATTGGTTAATAAGCGCTAGCGTGCATGAAGCTGAAGTTGGCATTGCATTAGCATAGTATGCGCCTTTGCTGGCGCGAGACTAGTATCGAAGATCAGTATTTCAGTTACAGTGTTCAACGCAGCAGGACATGATCTACATTCATACTTCATGACGTGCCCATTGGATTGATACACCTGTTTTACGTCAAAGATCCTGTTAGATTTGAATAAAATACCTACTCCTGTGTACCCTCAATACCCCTTTCCTCATCCTGTAAAGTCCCTTTCTGTAGTCTCTCATCCTGGTTATCTTCATCAGACCCCGTAATCTGTTCCTCACTGTCTTCTATACTTCCCTGAATCTCGTTCTTAGGACTCTCGTCATCACGCGCAATACCATCATCCTCGTAACCAGGGCTCGCCTCAGGATTCGCGAAATCTGCAATGCCATTTTCTACAACATCACCGATGACATCTGTGGTAGGAACTTCTTCACTTGATCCCCTAATGTCCTCTTGTTTATTCATATAACCATCATTGACATTTGCTATCTCATCTTGCCCCTCAGGCATGTATTGAGTTTCACTATTCTGATCTATATTTCCATCCAGTTTTTCTCCACTCTGATCTACATTTGAGTCCAGTTTCTCTTCAGCATTGTTTATCAAACTCTCAGGTACTTCTTCCCCCGGGTGTTCTGCCCCCGGTTGTTCTTCCCCCGGGTGTTCCTCCCCCTCGCTCTCCTCACTTTCCTTCCCCTCTACCTCGTCATCATCATCATCATCATCATCGTCATCATCATCTTCCTCGTCTGATCCTAAATCTTGCCCAAGTTCTTTTAAAAGTTTCTAAAATACAAGCGAGAAACACCATGTCAGAGCTGTGTGACAATAAATCACGCCAAATCACCAGACAAACGAAACACTCACCCTATATTTTGTACATTTGACATCCTGGTCGCTCAACAACACCAGCAAATCTTCCTGTTCTCTTGCGATACCATCTTTTTCCTCGCGAATTTCTTGAATATTTTTCAGTAACTCTTCCATTTTCCTCTCGAGACTTTTCACAACAATATCCGAGTCACCAGAATGCGTCTAAAATCAAAGGTTCAATAAGAAGTGAATATTTCGTGATCCTTGTTGGATCTCCTACAGTTTAGAACTGATAGAGTTATTCAGTATAAATAAAGTTAGTTTAGTTTAAGTTTCCTCCTGTAATAACACTGGATCAATAAGAGATGATCCTTACTGGACCTCTAGGAAGAACAACGGTTTAGAAGTGATTGGTTTATGAGTTAGCAAACCTGAGACGCTATTTCAGCTCGTAAAGCAGAGTTCTGACTACGCAATGAGTGTATTTCTTCTTGTAACGAACTCAGCGCCATCTTCGTCTGTTGCAGTTCATTCAACTCCAAGTTCGTCAAGTCCTGTGGAAACGCTTTTCCTCCGGTTGTATCTTGTTCCGACAGGATTGACGCAGCGTTAGCGACAGCCAGGGACGCCTGAGACACCTCCAGGTCACGTTCCTTAGAAAACAAAACAAAATAATTCAAAAAAGACAAGACCTTCAGAGTGAAAAGATCGAAATAATCCAGGCAGTCAAATGTTGTTTAAAAACACGAGAACTTACTAAATGTTTAATTCTGTCCTCTTTATCGTGGATCTCTTGTCGACTATTGTTCAAATTATGCTCAAGATTCTGCACAGCATGACGTAATGACTCCAAGTCTTCGTCTCTGTTTCCACCACCCGTTCCAGGACTTTCTTCGTGGTCTAAAGAAAAGGGAATATTCCTACGTGATAAAGAGCAAAACAAAGACAAGACTTTGAATGAATTCCACTCACGATATCTGTTGTTTAGTTGATCTTTTAATTTTTGTATTTCCAAAGCTTGTTGCTGCAGATGAATCTGAGCCTATACGGGAGTGATTTCAACCGTAAGAATAACAAAGTTCTCAAACAAAGATGACAGTCTTTGCCGATGCTAACCTGAGTGTATTTGGTTTCCAGTTCACCACATCTTCCTCGAACCTTTCCCAGCTCTTCATCCTAAAACGATAAACAATTAATATCCAGTTTTCTAGTCAGAGTTTTTGTCACTTCTGAGCGAGTACAATACAAAAGCAAAGGCCAAGCAAGAACAACTAACTATACCTGCTCTTTGATCAGTTCCTTATATGAGGCGATCACGGAGTCCTGGTTCTGAGAACTCGTCACAGGACTGGACGCCGGTTGTGAAGTGTCGTTTCCAGGGCCTCCTTCCATTGCTCCGCTCACAGCAGCTAAAATAAATCGAGATACGTATCACAGGGTTACAACCCAGCGCATTCTCTGATAAATAGCTTCCATTAGGAAAGACACCGAAGCAGTTGCCCGGGTAAACACTGGCAAGATTCAACTATGATTTGACGTCTCTGTACCTTCTAATTTTTTGAACAGTTTGGTGAATTCATGGTCGAAGAAAACACCCTCAGCAGAACCAGTCTGGATCTAAACAAAGATAAAATGAATCATGTTCTGCGATGGTTCAGCCAAATAATTCAGTTGACACGAGAGAGAGAGAGAGAGAGAGCTAGAGAGTCTCACCTCAGGAGCTTTCGAGGCTTGCGTGTAATATTCGGTTTTATAAATATGATGGATACGATCCAAAAAATTTTCCGTTCCGATTCTCTTGGTAATCAGTTGTTCTATTCCTTGTCTAGAAGAACAAAGACAATAGTAGTTAGTCCAGTGTATTGGGTCGGTCAGTGCCCGGTACCAGTCTCTCGTACCTGGTGTAGTCTTCAACACTTCCATCATTGTCAATTGAACAAATTCCCAGGAGCAAAGCTGACAGTCCAGATACAACACGTTCTTCCTCTTCTCCGCCATGATTTTGAATTTGTGATGTCAGCTAATTATTATATCAAGGCTTAAAACGTCACTTAAACTAACTTTATTAATACTGTATAGTTCTATCAGTTCTAAACTGTTCTTCCTAGAGGTTCAGTAAGGATCATCTCTTATTGATCCAGTGTTAATACAGGAAGAAACCTAAACTAAACTAACTTTATTTATACTGGTTAGCTCTGTCAGTTCTAAACTGTTCTTCCTAGAGGTCCAGTAAGGATCATCTCTTATTGATCCAGTGTTATACAGGAGGAAACCTAAACTGAAACTAACTTTTTATACTGGTTAGCTCTGTCAGTTCTAAACTGTTCTTCCTAGAGGTCCAGTAAGGATCATCTCTTATTGATCCAGTGTTACTACAGGAGGAAACCTAAACTGAACTAACTTTATTTATACTGGATAGCTCTATCAGTTCTAAACTGTTCTTCCTAGAGGTCCAGTAAGGATCATCTCTTATTGATCCAGTGTTATTACAGGAGGTAACCTAAACTAAACTAACTTTATTTATACTGGATAGTTCTATCAGTTCTAAACTGTTCTTCCTAGAGGTCCAGTAAGGATCATCTCTTATTGATCCAGTGTTACCACAGGAGGAAACCTAAACTAAACTAACTTTATTTATACTGGATAGCTCTATCAGTTCTAAACTGTTCTTCCTAGAGGTCCAGTAAGGATCATCTTTTTGATCCAGTGTTACTACAGGAGGAAACCTAAACTAAACTAACTTTATTTATACTGAATAGCTCTATCAGTTCTAAACTGTTCTTCCTAGAGGTCCAGTAAGGATCATCTTTTATTGATCCAGTGTTACTACAGGAGAAAACCTAAACTAAACTAACTTTATTTATACTGGATAGCTCTATCAGTTCTAAACTGTTCTTCCTAGAGGTCCAGTAAGGATCATCTCTTATTGATCCAGTGTTACACAGGAGGAACCTAAACTAAACTAACTTTATTTATACTGGATAGTTCTATCAGTTCTAAACTGTTCTTCCTAGAGGTCCAGTAAGGATCATCTCTTATTGATCCAGTGTTACCACAGGAGGAAACCTAAACTAAACTAACTTTATTTATACTGGATAGCTCTATCAGTTCTAAACTGTTCTTCCTAGAGGTCCAGTAAGGATCATCTCTTATTGATCCAGTGTTACTACAGGAGGAAACCTAAACTAAACTAACTTTATTTATACTGATAGCTCTATCAGTTCTAAACTGTTCTTCCTAGAGGCTCAGTAAGGATCATCTCTTATTGATCCAGTGTTACTACAGGAGGAAACCTAAACTAAACTAACTTTATTTATACTGGATAGCTCTATCAGTTTTAAACTGTTCTTCCTAGAGGTCCAGTAAGGATCATCTCTTATTGATCCAGTGTTACTACAGGAGGAAACCTAAACTAAACTAACTTTATTTATACTGGATAGCTCTATCAGTTCTAAACTGTTCTTCCTAGAGGTCCAGTAAGGATCATCTCTTATTGATCCAGTGTTACTACAGGAGGAAACCTAAACTAAACTAACTTTATACTGGATAGCTCTATCACTTCCGTCCAGTTCCAGATCATAGTGGTATGTACTGAGGATACATAAGGAATATTTGAAGTGTTTTGTAAAAAGTGAGAGACAGCAATCGAACAAGAAGTCAGCCAACTACACAAGAGACTGAGCAGACCAATCTTCGCTTGAATTACCCCACTTTGTGACAACATGTTTGTACATTGATCAAGAAGCGATATTGGTGGATTACCTAAGAAAGATAATATAGTTGAAGAGCTGCATGTCACTACACAAGATGAAGCCGATCTGTAACGAACCAGTCACATTCTTCAGCCATGGAATGGGGCACTTAGTGAAGCTTAAATTTCCCCACAACTTACCAACACTAGTCGCGAGCTGAACCCTCAATAATTGCTCTTTTTGAACTGAATTGTCCTTCAAGCAGTGAGACAACGCGATGGAGGAACACCAGTTTGAGAAGGCATTTGGACTGAAATATATACAGTAGATTGAAATGAATTTATTGAACCTTTTATATTCCGGCCATGTCTACCCGATTTTAATGTTTTTTTTGTAAAAGTTGACGAGAACCAACCTGAATAAGCCAGCACACAGGAGTTGACCCGCAGACACAGTTGTCGCTGTTAACGAGATCAACAAGTTTTAATGAAAGGATTCAATACTTGAGAACAACAATAAACTCAAAATCAATTTACCATCAGCTGCGCTTGGTAATAAAGTTGAAACGACTTGTGTTTGACCCTGCTCATTTTTATACAAATAGCACTAGAAAAAAACATAAGAATATCCATCATTAGCTATATAGAAAGAAATTGAACTTCTTACAGTCGTTTATTGCGGCATGAATGAGCTTCTTTACAGTGTGTCAAATCTCCTTCAATTCAGCCACAAACCTTCAGAAGTGTTCTTAAATTCATGTAAAACAAAATACCATAGTAACTGTACACGTACTTGAAAACAATAAAGAACAGCACAGCGCAGATGAAATGGTTGTTTCTCGTTAATCATTGACATGAGAAGAACTACGATCGCTGATCTAAAACAATGCAAAAATAATAATGATTCGGTCTTACTACAGAAAGAAACACAAACTAAACTAACTTGTGAAGGTAATCCCAATAGTTTTTCGTATACCTTGGTGGTGTACAAGGTGCATTAACTTGGGAAAAATAATTCTGATTTTCCTGGTTTCCGCGGATGACTTCAGAGACGGTGTTGATAGTCTTCTCAAAACATACAAGAAAAATGAGTTGACCGTCGAATGCTTCGCAAAGCTTCGTATTGGTTAATACAGACTTACTTCAGTTAGGATATCAGATGGTATTCCTGTGGCCATAAAAATACCACAGAGCAATCTCAATATTCCTGAAAAAGGAGAATATTCTTAACAATAACATGAGAGGTGGGATCGTACTAAATATGTAATATATATTCGTACCACATTGATTCATAATTCTTTGAGCAAATGCGGTCGTTTGCTGCGGATTATTTGGTGAAACAAGCGTTCTTAATATCTGGAAAGAAGAGAACGATACAGAAGTTAAACATGTTGATGAAATCTTCAACAAGCGTGCCTTGAAATCAGTTTAAAGAACCCACCTTTAGCATAAAATTGATATTTGCCATCTTTTGTGTGGACCAGCCAATTTCATTTCCTAAAAAAATAAATTGTTAACAACATTGACAGATTCAATGAATATTGACTCACTCCAGAGAAAATGATGAAATAATGTCCTGGTGAAGTCTCAAGGCATGGATGGTTCTGAAAAGAACATTTCCCACTCACCAGAGTTTAAAGTTGCTTCGAGTTCAAAGAAAGGTGTCATTCTCTGGATATAGCTGCAGAAGATTTAACAAAACTGTCAAAATTTCAATTCACAATTCATGGAGCACAACAGAAAAAGAACAGTAATGGTATACTCTACCTTCCTTCTCTGAAAAAGTTTTGGTTGGATACGTTTGATTTCAACAAACTCAGCATCAACAACAAACAGTCCTCAACAACAATGCCTGACAAAAATATATATGTCTATTAGTTTTCTATCGTTTTCTTATCCTCTCAAGTTTCATTCTCTTTCATGACTTGCAAATTACACTATCATCATCAAAGAACTACCTCCATCACTGTACTCTTCTTCAGCAATGATCTCTATTAGACGATCAAATGCATTCTCAAATGCCACAATTTTCTAACCAAAAGAAAAGAAACATAGTGAAATATATACACCAGCCACCTCTCTGAAAGAAAAATGACTTAACAAACCTGAATTGCTGCATTTGATTTGGTCAACTGGGTCAACAACAGCAAACCCTATTTCAAATTAAAAAACACACACACTGACTTAGTTGCACTTAAGGTGGCTCGAGACAGTTTTCAAAAATTCCATTGTTCATCACTTTGACACGTTCAAACAACGCTTTTTTGGGATTTATTCCAGAGATATTGGGGGTTTTATATATCTTGATGTCTCTACTTTTGAATCGTATTAGTTTTAGTAACAAATCGTCCGTTGCTATGGCGACATACGTGTACAAAATTCACTCCAAAATGACCAATTGCCTCGGATAGTTGGAAAACAAGCACGGTGACCCCCAATTTTTTTTCGTTCATTATTTTACTTGGAAGAAAAACTAACAATTGGCAAAATATAAAAAATTCTATAATGCCAAATTTTTGAAAAATGTAAAAATGACGTTTTTTTTGATAATTTTTTTTTGCCATTATAGAATTTTTTTATATTTTGCTAAATGTTAGTTTTTCTCCCAAGTAAAATAATGCCCGAAAAAAAATTGGGGGTCACCGTGCTTGTTTTCCAACTATCCGAGGCAATAGGTCATTTTGGAGTGAATTTTGTACACGTATGTCGCCATAGCAACGGACGATCTGTTACTAAAACTAATACGATTCAAAAGCAGATACATCAAAATATATAAAAACCCCAATATCTCTAGAATAAATCATAAAAATGCGTTGTTTGAACGTGTCAAAGTGATGAACGATGGAATTTTTGAAAACTGTATCGAGCCACCTTAAAAATATATCCCTGCTCACAATTTTTTTATCTACACTTATCCACACTCATCCAATATCAAACCACAAATGCTCATTACCTCATTTCTAATTATTTCTCTGCTGTCTGAAAGTAAATCCATCAATCTTGATACACCTAAAATATATAATAAATTACTTTGTGAGCATTTTTTAATTTCAGTGATGCTGTTTCACACTCATCATAATCATCTTACCCATTGGATTGACGAGAATACATTGCTGAAGCTGGTAGCAGCGGTTTTTCAAAAGGATTGTCAGAAGTCTGACAGCAGGCCATCGTACATGAAAATCATATTCCTACATCAAAAACCCATAGATTTACCCATGACGATCATTTATTCCAAATGTACTAGTTTGTAAAACCTTTTACCTCCAGTAGACTCAAAAGAACAGAGATGTTTTCTTCATTTTTAATAAAGATTTCTGTAAACTGAACTCCAAGTTCTGCATCAGATGCAATCTGTCCTTCCTTGCTCACTTCCTCTGAATAAAAAAATATTCAAATGACATGTCAAACCCTGTTGTATAAGGGAAGCAATCAGTGATAAGGAAACTAATGTGAAAGGGTCTAGCTGAATATTTAAGACTTAAGTGGACTTGTTACCTTGATGAGCTTGTGTCTCGGCACTTGTGATGTTACATAAAGCCTCCAAGGCTAACCCAAGAATCTCTGAATCGTTTCTACAAAACACAATTTACAAGCTTGCAATTCAAGCGAAATTAAGATACGCTTTAACAAAATAATATGCCTGGCCTCGCTACTTCAAGATAATTAAATTACTGGCAGTTGAAATCAACATTACAGCAAATAATTTACAAGTACCAAACAGACAAATCTCATTCACCAATGTAATGAAATGCCTGTCATTGAAATGACATAATCCGTAATTATATAAATATATCAGATAACAGTAGGATGCATTGTACAGTACCTATCATTGGTCAAAACATTGCAGAGTATATCCATAGCTTTTGTGCCAACATCTAGCTTGTATTTCTATAGATAATGACATTTATAGCAACTGAATATCTACCACCAAAACATCAGACAATGTTGGTGATAATTTCTTCATTACTTTGTACACATTACCCACTTCAAATGGTTTGGTCACATTATCTAGTTTCATAGCATTTATTAATCTAATACCAACCTTAGACATAGATTTTAATGCTCTAACAGCATCTCTACGATCTTCAAGCAGTGTTGAGGAGGAGACTCTGTCACAAAGCTTTTCTACCTAAATAAAATAGAAGATAGTGATGTAACCACAATTACCACACCACTTGTTACATGTACCATATCTTACTGGTGAACCTGCCGACCTACGAGGTTGCTTACTTCAATTGATTGTACAAGTAAAGAATAGATTTGTGTATTATGTGTGTGGAATATAAATCAAGCAAGAACTGCACATAACAAGCCATTCTGTGTTTACATTGAGATGGGTTTGTTGGATCAACAGATCTAATGGTCACTTCTAAATTCTAATATTTGATGTATTTGATAATCGAAACTAGATCTATTTAGATCTTCTGATCTTTTCAAATCTTAACTATTAATTATTTCATTCTGACTGCAAGTGTCTAGATTATTACCAACTGGGACACAATACTTGAATACGTACACACACTTCCAAATTACGAGACTGCCGACATATTGAAAGTATTTGCAAATAAAATATGGGCGGAATAGAAGCGACCTTACCGTCTCTGACCCGGATTGTTCCGGATCTTCACTTTGCGGTCCAAGAACCGACCTAAAACCACGTAAAATGTCCATATTTCCAATGATTTCTTGCAACTTTTGCCAGTCAAATGAACAAATTTAAATCACCAATACAACATGGCGTTCTGAGCATGCGCGCAACGTGGCATTCTGAACTGTATCCACCATTATCCCCCTGCATCCCTCCCACTTGTAGAAGAAAATGAAGAGAAAACAGGAGTCAAAAAATCAGTTTTTTGGATCTTTAAGGCGGTTTTCCACTAGGCGGAATTTTTCGATCGAACGAAATTTTTCGCTCAATTTTCTTTTCAATTGTGGTCGGTCAAGCGAATCCGCTTCGGTCGACTTCTCACAATTGAAAAGAAAATTGAGCGAAAAATTTCGTTCGATCGAAAAATTCCGCCTAGTGGAAAACCGGCTTTATTCCTTTATTTTCTTTCTCGTTTAAAATACAAAATTATGTACTCTTCCAGGGCCAGTTGCTCAAAAGCTGGTTCTCTTAAATCCTTACATGAATTTTTATGATCACTTGTTTACAGAGTTGAATATCTTTTTTCATAAAAGAAATATTCTAAAGTTTACTGTTACTAACAGGTTACACTAGATTAAAATTTAACCCAGGGTTAGTGCTGTCCCCTGGGGCCAGTTGTTCAAAGCTGGGTTAGCGCTAACCCTGGGTTAAATTTTAATCCACTGTTTTAGCTTACATATATATGTGCTTCTGAACCACTTTTCGTTTTAAAACCTTAGAAACTTTGTAAACAAGCAATTAGAAAAATTCATGTGAAGATTTGCTTTAACCCAGGGTTAAACTAACCGGCTTTTGAACAATCAGCCTCTGATGTTTTTTTCTGATGATGCTATACATCAATGTCACTATGAGGGTTGCACATTTCATCATATTTCTCAATTTGTATTGTTGAATGTCTAATATGATAAACAACATCAACCAACTGTGTTGCTTCAGAGAGAATTCGTTGTGATTCACTTTCATCCTCTGCAAGACAGAATTGCAAATTATTTAGTTCTCTTGCTAATACAAGTTTTCTTGTTTATCAAGTGTCAGTTCTTAGTTGTCCTTCTCAGAGGTCCAGTAAGGACAAATCTTATATCACATGCATGCACTACTTACCTATATCTAAATGAGCTGAAAGAGCTGGTGTTCCAACAGTGAGTGACCAAACATGAAGATCATGGATTGCTTTAACTCCCTGTATTCTTCCAATCCGCTCTTTGATTTCATCCAAATCAATACCTTTTGGAGTGCCTGGAAATCAAAATTATTTTTTAGTGTTACCTGGCAGAAAACAGCTAAAACTGATGTATAAATAGTACACAATTACCTTCCATCAAAACAAGCAGGGCATCTCTGAGCACTGTGATTGTAGTAAATAAGACAATTACAGAAAAGACGAACGTACAGATCGGATCAGCAATAGACCAACTTGGCTAAAAAAATTAAATTTGAAGTTGGTTAAATTCATTCTAGAATGGAACACACAATATATTATAGTTATAAAATTATACACCACCTTGAATTTAATGATAAAAGCAGCAATGAGAACTCCCAAACTCTGGAAAAGATCTCCAATCACATGAATAAATGCAGCACGAACATTTACATTCTCATCCGTCGCTTGTTCTTTGACACTTGGGGTACTTGAGATGGTCCTCTTACGATGAGAGTGACCATGAGAACCGTGAGAAGATCCACCCCCATGAGAGTGACTGTGCCCCAACACCAGACCCATGCTAGAGAAAATATAGAGCAGTGACAGAGATAATACAATAGTAGTTTCCATTCAACAGAACTTGCTGAGACAAGGAGTGGTTTTCAGGAAAAAGGTTGTTTTCTTATCACTTTCAAATGAGGTTCATGCAGACATAAAAGCATGGATAAACTACTCTTACTAACAGGATATTAACTCCAACACCACAAGCAGCAACAATAAGCATGATATCTGCATTAATTTTATGTTCTCCATTGACAATCCTTTCAATGGCCTGATACACAAGTATCCCAGTCAAAACCCAGATGATCAACACAGATAAAATTGCTCCCATCACCTCTAAAATACCACAACATTAAAACGCTCAAAAATAATAATATTCACTTTACCTGTATTTCAAAGTAAAATAATTGTTTCATGTACACAGTCAAAAGTTTATATATTGTAGACTGTAGTATAGAATGTATAGAACATTGACCTCACCTGCTCTGTGCCAACCATAAGACAACTTTGAAGTGGATGGTCGCGTAGCAAACCAAATTGCCAGCAGTGATATGAGAAAACTAGCAAAATCTGAGAGAAGATGAGCGGCATCCGTTATGATGGCCAAACTGTGGGCCAGGTAACCTCCTACAAGGATAGAAAAACTATCATTAGATGAGTGGCCAACCTGTTTGCCAAGTGAAGTGATTGCTAACCAAGTAACTAACCCTTCCACCAAACCATTTCTGGAACAAGCTGGATTCATATTTGTTTTCAAGCAATGTTAACACTTACCAACAAATTCTCCAACAAGAAAGAACAAACACAAAACACAAGCAATGATTAATTTTCTTTTTGCTCTCTTTGAATTCTGTATTGCAGACTTTGTGAGATCCTCTTCATTGCCATATTTTGCACAAGGAGCTATGTTATCTACAGTAGAACTTGCTGTCTCATTTCTTGGACGACAAACACTTTCTCTGTGGTTTTGAACTGAAATATTTGGTTCTTTGGCATGATCATGTTGATGGCAATGGTCATCACTAGTCAACAATGGTGTTTTCTCATCAAGTGTGGGTGAAGATGACATATTGTCAATGTTACAATGTACAATTCTACATGTAAAACAATTATAAACGACTTTAAAAACAGTCAACTAACAGATGAAATTATTACCACGGTAATACCACATGGCTTCGTTCCAGCTGTCATTATACATTTATACTAATTCACCAATAAGATTTTGACACTTCGGTATGAGTCTCATCGTAAATATTCATGCTACAGTACACATAAAGTCATACAGCATAATAAAATAAAAAACAAATTCCACGACTGGATTTGACAAAAAGCTATACTTACGAGTCCAGCAATTGCTTTTTATCTAAATGATTTCGTAAGCATTTCAAATATTTTGCAGTTCAGCGCGCGATGAAGACCAAACCACTTCAAGAAATGATACAGTTTCCGTTGTTTTGAACAAATACTGCACCTTTTTTCGCTACTTTGTTTGTTAAATACGACAATACGTACTGCCTCTACACCGATTTATTATTTCAGTTCTTCTTATGCTTTAAACTGTAAAACAGATCGTTTTACAAATGAAAACTGCAAATGACAGCGTGGTTAAGCCGTTAAGGTCAATAAACTCTCAAATTTCGTGGTTCTATGGACAATAGATACTTCCGGTTGTTTGTTGATTGTCGCCACAATTTAATTTAATTCTCTTTTGTTCACACCTGAAATCACAAAAGATAAGATATCTTCCCAAAACAAAATTGATTTTACACCTTTCAAACTTGTCATATTTGTCGTAATACACAAGCAGTCTTTGTTTGGTAATAATGTTTGCATTCAGTAAATATTTTAGTTTCAATTTAAAAGTGTACGTAAAACAAATCACAGTGAACAAATAGATCGTACATCGAGTTATGAATAAAGTAAACTAGCTTGTAGGTACACAACGTTAGTATTTATTCATGCAGTATTAAACACTTCATATGTGGTGTACCACTGTACCAGTGAACCTACAAGCTGATTCACTTCTTTGATCACCATGCAAAATTACCAGAATATTAATAAAATACTTTATGCTTGAATGGTATTTTCCCATCCTTTTTACACTTGCAAATATGAAATATATCTACCAGATCTTAAGTCAAGTCAAAAAATAGGAAATGTTCATCTATGTATTGTATAGAGATATTTCACTCCTTGTAAGTGAACTAAACTAAACCACTGTGCTCAATGCAAGATGAAGTACTGAGTTTATCAAATAATCCAGTTGGAAATCGAATGATAGATAGATCAGTGTCCATTGCTTAGTAACTGGGGACGCCGTTTGAAATAAAGCATTTATTTACCTGGATTTTCAACAGAGAAAATTTGGAAAATGGCTACGTTTAGCAGGTCAAAACCTAAGCGATCTAGTGAGTATATGTGCAGTTTGCATGCTTGAGAAATAAGGTTTCGTTGTGGATATTTTCTGATGTGTTTTCCCCCGGTAACTCTAGCGAGTCCTCTGCGAAAAAGTGCACCAGGTTCATTGTTAAAATCGAGCAGTAAGGACCTCAGAACCTCATCAAGTCGTGGACTCGCCGCTTCGTTTGACGTTGGTGTGAAGTAAGTTCATTTAGTTGCAATATCTTGTGGTCTTGTGTATAATATACTGAGATGATGTTATTTAAAACTTAATCTACGGAAAACATGTAAATTTCATAACTCAAATTGCATTCTTTTGTTTAGTCTTACCAGGACAGGCATGTCAACTGGAGAGCTGTCGAAAATTGAAAATGAATATATTAGAAATCTGCAGCAACAGATATATTTCCTTGAACTTGAGGCAAACTACTTGTATCCTTTAAAACTATTAAGCAATTAGACTTCATTGCTATTGAATAAACTGGGTCACCTCATATCCAGGGTATTTCTTTGTCATGCTCCCACAATATTAACAACTGGTCTCTAGGGATAGACCAGCGTGGATTGCAACCTTAACTATGAAACCAGGAGGGAACAAGCCAAGAAAGCCACAATCATTCCACCTCGAGTTACTGAAGAAGCAGACAAAATGATGAGAAAACTTCGGGTAATAATGCATATTGTAATACACTAAGGATTGAAAGAGGAAGGATTGATGATTATCTTTTCAACCATAGACACTTCAGAGTGAATTGGATGATCGCATCACAGATCTTGCTAAGAAGGAATCTGCCATTAGAGTGTTGGAAGATGAACGTGAAGCAGCATTACGGCGATTGAGGGATGCTGAAGGTGATTACTCCTTCATTTCAAAGTTGGACCAGAAAATGTTCTGTTTATTGACATCTTAATCTGTTTCAGACAATCACGCTCATGAGAAGAAACAACTGGTCAATGAGATTGTGTCCTTAAAGAAATACAAAGACAGTTCAACAAGGGAAAGTACCCGACGAGAAGTTCATGTGAAGCAAGTGGAGACAGAGGCAAACAAAGGATTAGATGCTTTGAGAGAAGCTGAAGAAAGAATAACAATGTTGAGAACTCAGGTTGAGCAATTTGATTAGAGCTATCCAGTATAAATAAAGTTAGTTTAGTTTAGGTTTCCTCCTGTAGTAACACTGGATCAATAAGTGAATAAGAGATGATTCTTATTTACTGGATGCTGATCGACACTGAGACACAAAAATATATGTTCTAACAATGACTCAATAAATTGTGTCACTGATTTTTAGCTGGAGGACAAGACGGAGGAGTTCAACCAATGCAGAGTTCAGTTGGAAGAAAGCCGTTCCCAATGCTTGAAATATCAAACTCAACTTCGTGAAATGGAAGAACGATTCTTTCAATCTGATATAAAGACAAAGGAAGAAGTCGGAAGAGAATTGAGGGTAAATGATGAACTACCATCCAGAATATCACATGCTGGGGCATGCATGAGTATTTTTACCACTAAAGTTTCATTGTTATAGCAAAAGATCCTTGCAAATCTTTTAGGAAGAAATAAGACAACTTCGTTTAGAAGGAAGACAGAAAGAAATAAATTCTCAACAGGACAGAACTCTTCGAACGAAGGTAAGAATGAATGATGTAATGGAACAACGAGGAACGCTCGTGGTATTTTACCACAAAGTCATCATTTAGGTATTGCTACTCTCTGTTTTCGTCTTTCACGGTAGATTCAAGAGGATTGCACTTCACTGATCAAAGAAAATGCGGCTTTAGCATCCCAAGTTGTTGAGCTGCGAAAACTGATCGATGCCGTAAGTGAGGTTTAGTTGTACACCTTGAGCGTTTCATTGGAGTTGTTTTCTTCCTGGCTGTGTTAATGTCGACTGTTTTTCGTTCAACAAGGACCGAGCTCACGAAGACGAGAAGGCGGTCAGACGCCAAGCAAACATTCAGGAGCTGGTGACATTGAAGGACAGCGAAAGACGATTACAACACGAATTGCAAATTACCAAAGAACAGCTCAGAAATGAACAACTGAAATACCGAGAAATGACACAGAAGGTAAAAAAAGGAAGGATATAATAATTGTGGTATAGAGCTGGTAGTTGGTCTTCAGTTTTGATGTGTGTTCATACAAGAAAAAGCGTGTTTTGTGATTAAGCAGTGCTTGTACTGTTTTCTAGAATTTCACCCGTTTCTTTCCCTCATTTTAACAATTCTTTTCATCCAACAGCTTACTCGGGAAGAACAAAACGCACTTCACGGTGAGTATGATGGAAGAGATTGCGGTGACCAAACACACATTGGATAAATAAGGAGAGTATCACGGCAGCCACAGAGACAAACTTGGAATCTTGAGATGAAGCTTTGTGTTTAGTAAAATTGAATTGCTCCAAGAGACGTTTTCTTATTTCAGTGACGCTGAGCAAAAACAAACTGAAGAGCAATGTGGAAGAATTACAAAGTCTAAATACAATTCAAAGTGATGAAAATATTACCTTACAACGGGATAAACTCTTGCTGACAGACGAGATTTGTGATCTGCAATCCAAGGTGAATAAAATCATTGAATTATCAAATCACTACAGTTGTATTTCTTGCTGTACGAAATCTCAGCATTTCCAAGGACGATCACCGCCTTATACCAGTAAAAAATTTTATTCAACATATCTGAGATTTTTGATCTTCATATCTCTTGTTTAGCTTGATGACAAAAACGAAGAAGTCATTGACTTAAAGACGCGTCTTCATGACGCAGAGAGCAGATGTTCGCAGCTTGATGCTAAAGTGAAGATGCAGAAAAACTTGGAAAGCATTAAGTGGGAAGAATTTCATAAGTTAGCCAACACCATGAGCCAATTTTCAAGAAGTATGAGCCCAAGGAGGGAGAGAGAGGTTGATTATGACGATTAGGATACATATTTAGATAAAGATTTTTTAAATTTTTTACAATGCTCAAAATGTAGCAGGACCAAGTGAACTGACATCATCATTGTATTGTAGCTTGGTAGCTTCAACCTTAATAGAGAAACTACTCTATCTCGATGACCGCGTGCTGAACGCCTCAACTTGACAAAGGTCTGGACCATCATTAAAAACAGAAACAAAACAATGAGAAAGGTTTAACTGGGAATATGATTATATGTTTCAATCTTGCCCAAGTGCATGTTAACAGAATGTCAATATTACAACACAGTACAACTACAACATTGTAAAGTTGAATACAACAAGTCACACAGCTAAATACAACATTGTAAAGAAAGGAATATAACATCATCTAGTGTTTGAACATTACTTCATCTAGTTTTTTTGAAGACTTCTATGAACATCTTAGAGGATCAGGATCATGTAGAAACAAATTAAAAATCATCTTATGTAGCTTTCTTGTGTTTCTTAAATCTGCATTTGAACTTAAATATATAGTCTCTTGAATGGCATTTCACCATCATTTTTACCACATCTTAAATATTTTTACCACATCCTAAATATTTTTAACACAACTTAAACATTTTTACCACATCCTAAATGTTTTTAACACAACTTAAATTTTTTACCTCAATTTTAATATTTTTAACACAACTTAATTATTTTTACACTAGTGTACCATGCTTGATCTCTTAACACAGTTGAAGGAATTTCCGCCGCTTTTGAACAGCTTCAACCCCGCGTTTGGCGATGATTTTTCTCATACCTTTTACATCATTTTCAATCAGAACTTTATCTTCTTCAATTCTCCAAACATGTGTAGTATCTTTATCATTGAGAAATGCTATGGTGTGATCCACATTTGCATTGGTCCTGAACAGACTGAAAAAGATCTGTGGCAAAGTGGCCTGTGTTCTACACCGTATCATGAGGACTCTTTTCATTACTATAAATTGACCACTGGGACATTTAGATTCTTTGAGCTCCACTGGCACATCATTGTTATTATTTCCCACCATATTCTTCATAAGGTGGGTATCATCAGGTGTTAAAGCACTTGCACCTTCTTCTTCCATTAACCTCTCAGTGTTGTTGCTTTTCACTGTCATTTCATTTTCCAATGAAACACTGTCTTTTTCAACTGTCTTTTCATTTTCCAATGAAACACTGTCTTTTTCAACTGTCCTTTCATTTTCCAATGAAGCACTGTCTTCAACTTGCACAGAATCACCATTTTTGTTCATTTCTGTTTCAGGTTGTTTCATTTCTTTATCATTTCCAAGAACATCTGAATTAGATTCCTCATCAGTTGTTTCTAGTTTTGATGCTTTCGATCTTCTAGATGAAGATCTTCTTCCTTCTACATCAGAAGTCAGACTCGATACTGCAGAGGAAAGTAGTGATAATTCTGAATCAGAACTACCACTACTATCCTCCCCTGCGTTGAGTCTGTTGCTTCCTCTGGCTAGATTTATTAGCTGTGATCTTTTAAAGTAGATGTACTTCCCATTCAGCTCTGTATGACAATCACTTTCTGAGTTAGTGAGTCCCATCATTTCTAAAAATTTTGATCTGTGGAAATAAATGCAATCTCCTTCAACATTGGGAGTACTAATGTCTCCTTTAGATTCAACATTTTTTTTAGTTGTTGTCACATTTGAAGACCTGGATCGTAATGAGTATTGCTTCCTGTTGGAATACTGATCATCTCGAGGATCATCTTTCAATTTTAACTTCTTTTGTCTTTCTATTAAATCTTTCAGACATCCATCGTCTGAATCACTGTCTTCAGGCTTGGGTCTTTTAGAACGAAGGATTTTTTCTGTCTTCACTCTCTTGGTATCTTCATCGGAACTACTAGAAGATACTATGTTATCTTTTTTCGTGCTGGTGCTGCTGTCTAAGGTTTTCGACCTTTTTAAATGGGCACGTCGTCGTAATATTTTCGCCCGGTAATCTTCCAAGCTACTATCTTCATTTGAACTGCTATCCATGACTGTCAGTTTAAGAGTTTTAGTCTTCTTCGCTGTTGGAATCTTTTATGTAAACGGTTATTATAAAAAAAAATAAACTCAATATTTCGTGCATTCCTCGTGCAATCGTGTGCCATGCAAGCCAAGCTCAGTGAACTCCACTCCAGATATGTATATCCAAGTCAGGTGATTTGGTCAGGTGATATGAAATGGCGGGAAAGGACTGTGCTTCCATCTGCAAGGAAATCTGCAAGGATTTAAAAATGACTAGGAAATGGCAAGGTTCTGGTCGTAAGAAACATTAAAATATGGTTTATTTGATTTTCGGTTGCAAATTTATGTCAGAGCTATAGTTCTTTAAAAAATCATAAATCACAAAGTTTCGACGAGTTTTATAAATCACAAAGTTTCGACCAGAACAAAAGATATAAACGATGAAAATGAAACACTGAGATTATTATATAGTCCAGTCAATCGAACTGATAGATCAGTGTATATTATATTGCCTGGTCCCGGGACACTCCCCCCCTGGCGAGTCTGATATGACGGGGAAGACAGATTTAACCATTGCTTTCTCCTTTCAATAATTTTAGTGAATGACCCTTGTCCTAATTTCGTAAGCTCTCCTTCTTTGTCATTAAAATGAATTATACATATAGGTTTAGGTTCACCCTCCATGACGAGTTTTTTTTGCCGAGTTGCTTTTCTATTTTTATTCTGCATATTTCCGCATCATTCAAATGTCAATAATAACGCAATCGGAAAGTTGAAATATACAATAAATATGAAATAAATGTATTGTCTGGAAGGTGTATTGTCTGGAAAGCACTACAACCGCGCTGCGTGAGAGCTCACAAATTGATGTATGAGGCCATGGAAAGGTTACGCTTCGAAAAGAAGCCTTCGCGAAAACTTTGTCAACATTAGAAAAAGGTGATGTCCTGACGATTGATATCAATGTGCGAGAAGATAAGGAGAAAAGGAAGTTTATAGAATTATGCGCCAGTGAAACAGTCAACGATATGGAAAAGTTATACAACCTGTTTATCAGAAAACAAAGTGAAGAAAATCTCTGTTTTCAAAATTCTGGTCAAATTACATGGAGATCATAGATGCCAAGTTCGGCGATGGGCCACGCGTGAGATAGACACACCCCCACAATTCTAGAGGGGTCAGGGGGCATGCCCCCCTGGAAATTTTTGAAATTTGGGTCTCTGAAATGGCATTTCCAGCGTTCTCAGGACATATTTAAAAAAAATTGAGAGAGAAAGTCGCTATTGACTAAATATAAGTCACCAACCGGCCATAAAAATCCATATTAACAGGGTGAGATCAAGTGGTGCGGAGGTAAAAAGACCCTGGGTACGAGGTTGATCAAATTTCACCGCTTAGGTCTCAACACCTTGCTGGTATTAAAACACATTCTCGCCCAGTAAAATGCGTCAAACTCTAATCCGTAATTCGATAGCGTTACTGCGATAGGCTGATATAGTATACCAGTTGTTGTAATATTGCAATATCCGGCTTGTTGTGTATAATATAGCTTAAAATTGGAACTATTTATAATCTCTAAAAAGTAAACTAAATAAAGCATTTAACTTGTTCAAATCTTTTTAAAAATGACTATGATTTCTCACTATGAACTCCCTATTTATGCGTGAGATATATCATATCATGCGTGTGAGCGTGAGAAATAATGCTGAGGCGTGTGTCACACGCATAATGCGTGAGACTTGGCATGTCTGGGAGATGGTACAGCTACTCTTTATATTCGGGTGACAAGAACGTCAGACTGGAAACTGCACCTCAGTTCATTACGTTCAATGATTCCGTTCAATCATTCATTTACCTGGATTTCTAACAGAGAAAATTTAGAAAATGACTACGTTTTAGTAGGTCAAAAACTAAGCAATATAGCGTGTCTATGTGTAGTTTGCATGCTTGAGAAACAAGGTTTTGATTACATCACAAATGTGTGACCAAGCCTACAATAATAAAATAATGTTTTAATTTATTTGAATTCTTTTATCAAATAGCCCTGTGATCCCTTTATACTTTATACTGGGCTCGTAATTATCAAGTCAAGTCTAAATGAGACAACATTACAGCAAAAGTTGGTGTGTCGCTTTATCACAACACAACCATCTGCTGGGTTTTATAACAACAGCGTTGCCGGCTTTTCAAGATATGATTTTAAATGCTGTAGCCACTGCGCACCAACAGCACCATCAACAACACGATGATCGCAACTCAATGTGACGCTTAACATCATAGCCTGGGTGAAACTAAAAGACAAAATTACAGAATTACTATTAAACAAATCAAACTTTATTTAGATATATCTATCAATCACTCAAGTTTATACCCGAGATCTGTATTTTCATCTGGTATTATTCTTTTCTCAGTCTGACCCACAGCAAGAATACATGACTGAAAACAGATGGAAATGTTATTATTTCCACTAGTTCAAACCAGTAATCTACATGAACCTTACTTAGTATCTCAATTCTCCAGAAAACAGGTGTATTTTTACCTGGGGTGGGTTGATCACAGCAGAGAAGTTTTTGACTCCAAACATCCCAAGATTGGAAACAGTAAATGTTCCACCCTAATGATTATGAAGATAAGAAAAACAAATTTCAGCAACAAATTAACCACCAGTACAGTTTAGCACCTACAGTTGACAGTAGCCAGTCCATCTTTAATCAACATGGTTGGGTAACAAGACATCCATAGATGATTTTTAAACTGGTCTACCATTGAAATCATCCGGCATTAGAAAGAGTGAAGAACACAAAGGGTATATTGAAGTGCCTTACCTGGAACTCATGGGGTTGAAGTTTATTTTCTCTTGCTTTCTGAGCAAGTGATGTTATGTCTGAGTTTATATTCTTCAAACCCTAGAAACAACGGAATGTTAAGTTGTACAAGGTCTACATGGAGATCTTTTCATGAGAAACCAATCACATAAATTTCTGATTCACTAACTTACTTTCTTATCAGCATTATATACAATTGGTGTGATCAGACCAGATTCTGTGCTCACAGCAACACTGATATCAACATTATGGTTCCTAAACAGAAAATCTTATCAACTTCTTTGTTGCAGGAAATACAGTAGTCTGAATTGTCATCATGTACAAAGCCTTGATATGCCTCAATGTAGTACTCACTGTCTAATAAATTCATTCATCCAATATGAGTTAGCTTCAGGGATATCTTTACATGACAAGGCAGAAGCCTTTATGATAAAATCATTAACAGATAGTTTATAATTGGCTGTTCCCAGCTTGTTTAACTCTTGACGAAGCCTGAAAGGAAAGCAACAACCAATTATGAGATAATCAGATGGAAAACATATGGTGCAAATTTACATCTCAACTTATTCGACCAACTATACACTCTCCCATTTTGTAAAATTTTTAAATCATACCAACCCTAGTATTTCATCCATTTGAATATCAACTGATAAATAATAATGAGGTATGCTTTGTTTGGACTCTGTTAACCTCTTTGCAATAATCTAGATAAGAAAATATTGAACAGAAATAGCTTTTGGATAGAGTTTGAAAAGATTTTGAAAGCGAATTATACAGTTGGGAATAAAATTGCTTCTATTAACATAAAAAGTTTAAATTTGTCTACCTTTCTGACATTAGAGAGAGGAATATCTGTGAATTCTCCAGCTGGAGCTAAGAAAAACAGAATCAAAGGATAGAGGGTTTTTACAATCAAAGTCATTTTAAGGCAGAAGACATTTTATTTCTCAGGCTAACGGTTATATTGAAAATTACCAGTGGTAACTTGTGGTGCCATGGGTTGTGCTGGCATTGCTGGTACACCTGCTTCGACATCGCTTGCGATAATTCTCCCCTCAGGGCCACTGCCTGATAAGGACTGTAAAAAAAAATGTAATACTTTTTTCTGATAATCTTACTAATTTGTAAAAGTAAATAAAGGTCATTATGTTTACATACAGGAAGATTAATGCCTTTTTCTCTTGCAAGTTTTCTAGCAAGAGGACTTGCAAATACTCTCCCTCCTGAAGGAGATGGTAAGGGGGGGATTGTTGCAGGAGGTGCTGAGGGCATCTGTGGAGGAGCTGCACTTGCTATTGGTGGTGGAGGTGAGGGTGCACTTGCTATGGGAGGTGGGGGAGGAGATGTTTCAGCAACATTTGACTGTTGAAATGGAATGAAATTGATGAAAGATTTTCAGTACATAACTTATTAACTGGAGGGTAATATTTCACTGCCAAGTATGTATATTAGATGCACTTGGTTTTGATGCAACCTTTACTGTTAGTAGCAATCAATCTAATGTTATACAGAAAGTAGCAAGCCTCTGGTAATGGGGTTTGTATGGGTTCAGAAAATAATTTTATACCTGTGGCAATGAACTTTCTTGGTCTACAAAATCCTTAAATGCTGCAATATCCTCTTCATTCTCAACAATTATACAAACAAGCTGACAAGAAAGTAATATTTAGCTGAATTATCATCTACTAATTATAGAGGACTAATGGGATTGTTACATTGAAATATGCATATAACCCTATAGAGACACTCAAGGCGTTTACCTTGCCAACGGGAACATCTTTAGAACCTGCAGGCGCCACAATCTTTGCAAGGTATCCTTCCTCAGGTGTTTCAAACTCCATTGTCGCTTTGTCTGTCTCAATTTGAGCCAAGACATCTCCCTCTTCGAGCTTCTCACCCTCCTCTTTCAACCAAGTGGCTACCATCCCCGCCTCCATTGTGGGTGATAGGGCAGGCAGGGGGACACGGATGTGAGATGGAAGAGCTGAGGGAGAAATTAAAAATTCAGATTCTCCATGATTGTGATACCGGATTAGACTAAGAAAATTGTGATAACTAGAAATAATTAACTTGATAGTTCATTCTGTACAAATTATTGGATTTCTTTGCATGCAAAATATGATCATTTATTTACAAAAATTGCCTCAAAAATGTACATACCATCTGTGCTAAACAAACGCCTTCCTTCTTTAAGCTTTAACTTTGATGTACAGCATAACGTCGAAGAAGATCTAAACAACATACAAGCATGAAATCCAGCGCTAAAGGTTAAAAATTATCCACAGATGAGATCACACAAACTGACATCGAGTACTCTTGTCTTCCAGCTCACCTTGGCAAAATATTTTGCACCGTTTTTTGAATCTGAAAACCAGATCTCACAGAAATCCTTACGAAAGTTCTTCTAGTTTGTAGCACTCGCAGTCGCTTGACGAAAACAGAAATAAAACGCCTAGAGTTGAGCATTTTGTTCAAAACGAAACAATCTTTACTAGAAATTTGTGTATTTTTTGCTTATTGCAACACTCAGCCCAGTTCTCCTTGTCAGTTAAACATGCGCGGTCATGATAATCGACGATTTTCCACTGAGCTATATAATAATTCCTGGAGGACCGGCTCCTAATGTTTTTTTCTGAAAAAGTGAAGCAAAAAACATGGCGGACTTCGCCCTTCTGCGCTTGCGCAGAAGCTTTGCTGACGCCACATGGTCCCCTTTGCCCATGGTAATTACCACTGACCAGGCTCAAATATGAGCCCGCTACAAGAGAATGCTCCCCCCTGGTTTTGTATGAATATTTTTGTTTTTGCCGTGAAACCTTGTTGTTTTGTATTTTTCGATTTATTTTTCTGCTACAAAGGCTTGCAATAAGGCGTTTATTTCAGTTATATACAAGTCGTTGACGCTGTTTTGCCAATGCCAGAAATAATAAATATTAAAACGCAAAAAAAAATGTGGACGAAGGATTTTTATACGATTAGCTGACAGGTTATTTTATTTATTTATTTTCATTATTCATACATACATGTATTTTCTGTAAAATTTTTAAAATACTTGAATATTTTTCGAGTCTTGTCGGAAATTTCGATTATCTTTCGGATATCAATCGCCGACTAAAGGTTACCGGCAAAAATATGTGGTTATGTGATGTTTTCCTTAGAACATCATGCTTATGCATATCAGCCCATGCATAACTCAAGGAAACAAAGGCCAAACCTCATGCAAAATGCTGGGTGGCTGATTAGTAATAGTATTTCAAGATATATTCGCATAGGATATTTTCATTTAGGTCATTATAGCTATAAGTTACCCATATCTTAAGTACTGTATCCCAAGTAATGCACTTTCAAATGGTTCCCTGCTTGACTCAAGAATTTGAGTGGAATCATATTCCAAATAATGCAAAGAAAGGCTATGGTAAATAACAAAAATTTGATTATATATGGTACCAAGAAGATTTATGGTACAGTTGTGCTATCAACAAATGTCTTATGAATTAATGAAAATGCAACTGAGCCTATTCATTCCTCCATTAGTCTATAATCTATTAACCTTCAATTCCTGATTAACCCTGTGATAATATTCCTTGTAATGGTAGGGAGGGTAAAACTGTCCAGAAAATTATAAAAGTTGCAGCAAATTGAAAACAAACTGCTCAGTCAATGCATGTCTGTATAAATTTATTTTTCATTCAGATAACTATTGTAACTATAACTAACAAAGTAACATGGTAAAATCAACAGTTTAATGTTCCAATAATTTGCAAAAGCCATCCCCAAATTCCATAACCTCTTTATCCTAAAAAAGAGAGATCAGACCAAGTTTAACTGTACTCAACAGAGTACACCAGAGGACAGAACCAGAGGAGTAGAAATCATTGCAAATTAACAAGCTTGAATCAAGCTTGTAGCTTGATTAACAAGGTGCAAGATGCCAAGAAAGTCTATTAAGCCATGACTTGGCAAACAAATAAATACTGGACTTTTAACAAACACTGTTGAAATCTAACAGTGAAATATTTTGTATCAGCACTCACACAGTCATCATGTTTAATGTTTTAATTCATCTAAAATAGACTAAGGATCAATAGAGAGACTAGTAGATTTACTGGGAGGATTGAATATTGATTTATCTTAATTGTTTGAATGAAAATACTCATGAATTGGCATTAAATATGAGTGAAAGCTCCAGTGCCTGACATTTCAAATCCCATAAGAGTTCTAATAAAAAAAACAACATAGCCAAAACTTAAAAGATCAGCTATTGATCCTTTTTCATAAAATATAGCTTTTCATAGCGTAACTAAGTCATGTACCATTGATCAAAAAGGCTGAAGCATATTTGCCGTTTTTAACATTAATTTCAAAGGAATTACTGCAACAGACGCTTTGGTAGTTGTCTATAGTCTATACCAAAGGCGAAAAACGAAAATGTTGTGAAAACCGGCTTACCTGAGGTAAAAATTAATATCCCGATAGATGAATTAGGCCATTCACAGCATCATAAGTAGAGCAAGAAACCACTTCTCCATATAACTTGTTGAACAGTGAAAAAGAGACTTTAGATGAAATGCGGAGAAAATATATGCCGAAAACAATACCGAAAACCGAAAATATTTTCATAAAAATCGGGAGGGTGATGGACACGTTTTTGACTTTGTATCGCGGTATGTCAGTGGTAATTACCATGGGCAAAGGGGACCATGTGGCGTCAGCAAACGCCGAAATCCGCCATGTTTTTTGCTTCACTTTCTGGCCAGGAGCCGGTCCTCCAGGAATTATTATATAGCTCAGTGCAACAAAGGTGAAAAACGTCTTTGGCCAATCAGCGCTTTTGTTGACATTTTTATTATTAACCAATCAGACTCTTTGATTTTACGCTACCTCCGGTGGCACACAAGAAATTTACTAACAGTGTAGTATGTTGAATAAAGCCTTCGGGGGGACAGGATTTTGAACTTTTTAGATTAAATACAACGGAATATGAAAAAATATTCATTTATCTAAAAATCTGTCGGCCAGATTTTCGCTGTCGGCCGGATTTTTGCGTACGTCGTTGTTTAAATGTCGATAGCATTAATACTAGACCTTGAAGCAAAAATCTGGCCGACAGATTTTTAGATAAATGAATATTTTTTCATATTCCGTTGTATTTAATCTAAAAAGTTCAAAATCCTGTCCCCGCGAAGGCTTTATTCAACATACTATACTGTTAGTAAATTTCTTGTGTGCCACCGGAGGTAGCGTAAAATCAAAGAGTCTGATTGGTTAATAATAAAAATGTCAACAAAAGCGCTGATTGGCCAAAGACGTTTTTCACCTTTGTTGCTCAGTGCGATTTTCGCAAATTTGTCGCCATTCTGAATTTGCAATGAATTGTGGTATATCAACGGCAACTGAACCATATTCATGAACTGAACTGCACAGAACTTTGGACTTGGAAAAGTTCTTCGTTTCGCCTGCTTTCAATTTTTCTAAACTTCATTTACCAGCGTATCTAAAGCTTCAGCGCGAACCTAAATAACGTTAGAATTCAGGCAAAAGATCGTATTTTAGAAATGGTATGAAATGGTAAAATGGTAAAAGCGACTCCGACTTATCAGCATGCCTAGGAAAACAATTCCAGACATGAACAGCCCTTCTTTCGAAAGACCTAGCAGTCTGGTTTTAAGGCGCCAGAAACTCGCCTTCACACCTTTGCCACGGGGCGAAAGGAGTTTGGTTGGAAATTGGTGTCTCGATTGTTGAGTGTTGTTGTTAAGGCCTATTTAGACTACACGATAAGTTGTTTGCAATTATCATTCTGACGGATGCAAAAGAAGGTCTATGCCACAATCTTCTTTCAATTTTGTTCAGGCCGGTTAAAGTGTCACGTTTGTAGTGTTGTTCATACGTTCACATACGCTAAGGTACGAATCGTATACGAGAAATTGCATAGTGTAAATGGGCCTTTATGAATATTGCGTTGTGATTTGTCGTAAACAACCGAGAACTTGCACTTCTAAGGTTCTTCGAATAACAACAGACGAACGTCAGTTTATAAATATTATTACGTATCAAACAAAAGATAAAAATACACGCGAGTATAAGATTACTGCTCGTACTTGAGTCAATGTTTAACTTCAACAGTTACTCCCGCTCTTTCTTATTAACATGTCCTACTGATCTCTATCTTATTAAGAGGAGATATTTTTTTATGTCGCGTAATATATGTTCAAAACCTCAGTTATATCTTCATGCAACAGCACTAAAATTTTCAGCATTAAAATTGTTTTGCAAATCTGAAAAGCATCCACAAAGTATGTTTACTGCATAATCTCGAAATATTGTTAAAATGAAGATTTCTGAGAAGAACGAAAAGAAAATGACACTTGAATCGAAGCTACTTTTGTATTCATCTCAGTTATAATGGCTAATGGCATTTATAACATTGTTGATAGCCGCCGCATTATATTTTGAAATATGTAACTCTGTCGTTTTGCAATCATCATCAAACACAGTTCAAAACTTAGTTCACAACATAATCTGAAGAATAAAGGTAAAATAAATTCATTTTGTGCGGTACGCCGAAAAGATTTTAGGTTTTGAGCGTTTTCCTGCCAAAATACGCGACATAATAAAAAATCTCCTCTTAACTGTACTGTCGCTAATCCGCGACATCCTCCGGGGCGCGCAAGAGGTCACCTGTCCAGTCCTTGATCTTCTTCTTTGCTTCGCGAGCTGCTGTTCTTTCTTGTTTCGTTGGGGTGACGTCAATCAATGGACCATTCGCGATACTTTCGTCGTGGGTTGGAGGGACATGGCTTTCATCTTGGGTACTTAAGATGTAAATCTTGTTTGTTCCAGTTGCTTTGTGGAATTCGCGGAGTGATGTCAGGTATTCTTTCCGCCAGCGGTTCCAGAAGTGGTGGATTAAATCAGCTCTCCTTTTCGCAAGGTGTTGGACTAAGGTGGGTTCTTCATTGAAGGTTGGATCGGACCAGTTGTCATCGGCGATTAAAGGGTGTGGTAATGCTGTTATTCTACGACCGTAAAGGAGATGGGAGGGAGTCAAGGGTTGTTCGATGTTGGATGAGACGAACGTAAGTGGGCGGTCGTTTAATATTGCTTCGATTTCTGTGATGATGGTTTGTAGTTCCGAGAGGTTGACGGTTGATCGGCCAAGGATTTTCTTCAGGGTAAGCTTGGTAATACCGATTAGTCTTTCCCAAAATCTACGATACCACGGAGCACGTTTGACAATGAATTTCCACTGTACGGCTCGTTTACTAAGATGTTCCTGTAGAATTGGTGATTTTAAACAACAATTTCAATTCTTCTGCTGCTGATTCATACGTTGAAGCGTTGTCGGAAACCATGATTGTGGGAAGTGACTTGCGACTGGCAAACCTTCGAAAGGCTTCCATGAAGGTGGGTACTGATAGATCGTTAACTACTTCGAGGTGGATGGCTCGGGTGTTGGCACATGTGAACAGGCAGATGTAGACTTTGAGTGGGCCTTCGGGTGATTTCACGTAGATT